ATTTCTATTTAGCATTGACACCATCAAGTCAATCTATTGAAGTTTCTTTAATCAAATAGTCTCATTTAGTTATTTACAGTATTATATTATCATATTATATATACAGTATGCTGCAATACACATAAACGCAACATTTCGATATTGAAATAAATATAAAAAATTAAGTACAGTTCGTTTTTACTGAATAATACTAAGTTTAGACCCCATTTCCATCAAGAGGATTCGCAGAAATCAGAGATTTTTCACATAGAAAGTCGTATAATTTCCTAGTTTTATTTACATCAATTCTAATAAGAACTCGAGCTTGAGCTAGTTTAAGCGAACCTTGCTTTTGGTGCTCTGCCAATAATATATCTCTGTATTCAATGTAAGCTTTGGGTAAGAGCCTAAGTTGTGAGCACAGCTAAAAACAAAGAGAAATTGCTCAGTGAGATCTGTACTTCAAACAAAAAGAAATTACTTGAACACAAAAACTTACTTCCTTTTCGTCATCATCTAATTTTTCCAGTTCTGGTGCGCCACTAATATCTAATCTTGGTGCCGGTTTACGACCTTTATAAAATATCAAGGTTACTAGCGTAAGATGACTTACCTATTTACTAATTGGCATATAATTTCGTATCAGTGCTGACTTACGCATAGGTACTATGGGTTTGTAAGGCTCATTTCTGGGTAGATGAAGCATGAATGCATTTATTAATAATATGCAAAATGTGTTAGGCAATTACCATGATTGAGCAGGAATGTTATGTAAGCTAATAAGAAATTACTAACCCCGCTGTAAATTGTCTATGAATGTAGCGTTGATAGTAAGAAAAGTTCTGTAGTAATTAGATAATAAAATAAAAAATTTGAGATTTGTGATCCTTTTATACATACACTGCAGTCGATCAGCTCACCTTTAGCGCACTTAATGTATCTTCGAGATGATGATGTCTCATTCTTTCGTCCTCCCGTTTGCGTTTTAATTGCTCATAAATATTGCATCCTTATATTATACGATTTTATTATCTCATCTTAACTATCGAGTAATACAGAATTGAATTAATCTACTATAGCAATATTTAGATAGATCGTCTTTACCGCGAATAGATGTAATCCCATTAATTCTATATTCTTTAAGTTTGTTAATCCGTTGTAGAAGCTGGCTTTCAACTATTGTTACAAAGATATGACTACTGTAATTAATACGATATCCTTGAGCTATGAGGCAACTACAGTGATCACATACACACACGAGGTTATATAGGATACGGTGACATTGATGTATGTGAAGAATATTTATGTTTATTTTTACGGCTACTTACACAGAATTAATTGTATACGTTTTTCGTAATCTTCAGGGGACAGGAAACGTGCAAAGGTTACGAATTGTTCTCGCAAATTGCTAAATGCATTGATATGGTGTACAAATACAATATTGCTGAAGTTGTAAAGTTACTGCAAGACATTGGCTAATAAAAAGTACCTACCGAATAGTTCGGTCGGCCCTTCGATCTATTACTGATGTTATCAGTGGAATATATAAAAATTACATAAGAATGGATTTGGAGCTTGGTATTTTGGCGTATATATTTTACCTTGCTGTTTCTTGATGTTTAATAGCCCGTATTCTTTCACAAATCTAATAAATGAACAATTGCCTTATCATTATACGTATAGAAAAATATTTGTAGTATTCAATGGAATTGCATAATAGTACCTTTTACGAAGCTGTCTTTGCTGCAATCTAAAGTTATAGATACTCAACATTGCATACTTATATTCTGAAGCGAATGATTAAGAATACATTAAGCTTTTTTACTTATACAGTGACATTTATAAATTACATATTACGCTACCTCTCGATATATCTGCATCATTTTCCTCAGGTTCAGCAACATCCTGTAATATACTTTCCGCGAAGTTATCATATTCCTACATCAATTCAAGTATATTATTATCACGTTAAAATTATTCAAATACAGACAACTAATAATTTGATCGTTATAAGCTATTTTGCCTTCGTAACATGATATATTGTAGAGGATAATTGTTACCGCTGTATTTTATCGCCAATTATAGAATTGTAACTTACAATTTCGAATTCTGCCCTCGGAGAAATATAACCGGCAAGGTCGTACGACTGTGGCGAATCAATGGTATAGCGACATAGATCTTCATTAGCTACGTAAAATTTATATATATATATTTAATTTTCACTTATCAGGACTTGATACAGCCACAGTTTGGTTTGACATTACAGATCGATGACAATTCTTGTGTACACTATTAAGAGTTGAATTTACCTTCGTACGTGATAAGTTTTACGGATTCGTTGATTTTAGAATCCTGCAATTCGTTCTTAAAGACTGTCAGTTAAACATAAACAAGCTCAATAGTAATTCCAAGAAAGCATGATGTAGAGAATTTCAATAACCCTAACATTATATTATTTAGGTACGTATTGTAAGATATAGACTGAAGAAATTTTCGTCATACGACTGGATTGTACTAGATAATAATTTAAAGGATAGATCTGTTGACTACCTGAGTCGACACGAATACTATTTACTGATTCCATCCAATAATTTACATGACAGACAGTAAAATTTCATCACATAATCACTGCCAAAACTTTACGATTTGGCACGAACTTTACTCTTTCATGTAATAAGTTTCAACTTGACTGATTGCATTTCATAGTCAATACATATATACTATTTTCGCTAAATAACTTTCAATCATCACAAGTTTTGTACCTGGTAGTATCCCTTGGGGGTTATTTATATACACGGAATTGTAATGTGATTCACACTCTGAACAGCAAAGACAGAAAAGTGAATAAATACGTACAATTTTCTACTGGTCACATCTTATCAATCTCTTTCATTATTATATATATAATTAGAATAGAATTTAATATTAGTAGCCATATTGGGGACTTTAGTCAGTGAAGATAAATTTAATTGGGTGGATACAACTGACCGTCTTTATTCTTAGTTCTTATTTGTTTGGCTATTTCAGTCCTAGCATTAGCAATTAAAATCATAGTGGAAAGTGTTTTACGATATCAAGCCTATGTATGAATTGTGGAGATCTTCTGATGAGCAAATTAATTATACGAAAGAAGAATTAAATGCCGATCCATACCAGTTACCGCATCCAAATTCATTTATCAACTGCAGCAATTTAGTTTCTTCACCAGCAGTCCAATGCGTTGTAAATAGTGTGAAGTTGTTTCTCTGTCATTGGGATAGCATACACGTATTATATTATTTTCTAGAATGAATTTGTTGTATATGCTACATTTCATACTAATACTTTCGAAATAACGTAAAAATATGATAATAATACATGCAGAATATTTAAACCGAAGTGAATTCAATTCTATCAGAACTGGATGACAGAACTACAGTACAGCGCTATCGTAATTGTTGTACACTGAACAGTTAGTACTTTCTTTAATGTCGCCCTTACCACTATCTCGTAGGAATGATCACTGCAATGTGTACCAAATTCTACTCCACGGGCGAAACAAAACATTTAGATATTGCGAATGAATGAATAACCAGCAGCAGGCTAAAATTTGGCTGTAATTAGCCTGCTTGTCACCAATTCCAAAACAGGTTACATTTACAATAGAGATTTGTGCTCGTATTACTTTACCACAAGATAAAGCACAGAAAGTTTACAAATCAATCCTATCAAGTTTACTTCACTATTCTACGTATTTCGACTACGCGTGTATATGTCCATTTATACCTGCAAGCAAATACAGACATTATTCACACTGGCTACACAGGATATAAGGCTCTTCCAGTAAGTTTGAACATTTGCCACACCATCTCTCGTTAAGAGGCATCTTCGAGATCAATCTAAATGTGTGCAAATCAAATTATGCAACTGCAGCTTGCCAATGCCAATGCCTCCGTCTGGGAATCTACAGCTTGTGAGTCGATGCATTAGTTCGCCAATCGCCATGTCCGAAATACTACGGTACAGTACTGTACTGTACAGTACACTGTACTGTACACTGTACAGTACTGTACACTGTAGGGTACAGTGCAGAGTACTGTACCATGTTCTGTACTGTACACTGTACACTACACCAAGTCGGATCATATGATCAAACTTTGATTGGCGGTCAAAATTCAAATTTTGACCGCTCACAACTAGATTCCTGAACACTACAGTACAGTGCTGTACTGTAAGTAAAGTGCGGTACGGTAGGTTGGAAGAGTGCCTTTTGGATTGGATTAAGCAGCAAAATCGAATTTTGGTCTTGATTGGTTCACTTCGACACCCAATACTGTTTCATTAGCTACCTACTTTGCCAAAATATAAAGCAATTCATTGGTATAACTACTTTCGGATCAAGTCAATTTCATGAGTATACTGTACAGTGAATGCCTTAATCAGTTATCTGCTGATCAGTTATATTACTGTGCAATGCTCGGTATTAATTAGCTATAAAATATAGTATACAGTAATCGTAGATCGATCGATTTAGGGTTCGGGTTATTTATCGTCTTCAAGATTGCTGTACTGGTGACTCTGTGGTGAGTGAGCAAATCTTGTCGTTGTCATAGTTTTCTATAAATGCTATTTCGTACTACATGTTGGTTCGAGTAGTGAGAGAGGAGCTATTATAAAACAGAAATCAGGCTGTACATTCTGTACATTGCTTCGGTATGCATCACAAACAATATTATAATATGTATGCGAACTTATTTATTCATGGTCACTTAGTCCATTAGCAGAAGAGAGCTAAGGATGGGCTGCGCCAGCTCTTTATCTAGTCTCTTAACTCGTTCACTTTGTACAGTATTAGCTAAATTATAGCATAACCAATTGAACTAACTTTAGCTATGATCAATTTTACAGATAAACTAGAAACATGGCATCTGTCCAAGTTGTTCTTAGAGTTAGGTCATCAATAGATGATGAATCACCACTAAGGATTTGTGACGACAATCAAACAGTTGATTTATGGAATTATAGATACGACGATACAATTCGCTTCAAGTTCGTATTACATAATAAGTAATAGAATTCAATGCGGTAATAGTTAAGATTTACAATTAATAATGATGAAATGATTAAGAACACTCCAATTCAGCTTCAGTGCATCTTGTTTACGAGTACTCGAGTTCCCGAAACTTTGGTTTTCTCATTAACACTGCAATGATTGATGACTTAATAAATTACGACTATTTTTAGGTTTGATCGATGTTACAACAGCGATTGCGATCACCAAGAGATCTTTCAAAGATCTATTCAACCCTTACTAAATCACGTTTTCGACGGTCACAATGTCAGCATTTTTACCTATGGAGCAACAGGATCTGGTATTGAAACAGTACAGTAGAAACAAATCGATTGATGTTACTGATGTTAATTGTAACCCATGCCGATTTATCATAAAATCATACTATTTCATTGATACTTTAAAACTTTTCACGTAGGCAAAACGTATACCATGATAGGAAATGAAAGTGATCCGGGTAATATGCCTAGAAATACCTGTAACAGTAATTTTACCATGTATAAATGAACTGAAATGAAGGCTATAACGGCTAACCATCATTAATTATTTAATTATCGTCACTATAAAAATCCTACTGCTACGTGCAGCTTGTCTATAGGAAAGTATTGCGCCTATGTTGATACTGCATGTAATAACGAAACAGCTAGAGACAATTAAATCCTTTCTTTATTAGCTCTCCTATTCTTTATTAATTAAATTACCTGATATTGTTTGTAGCTATGATAGCTAATATTATTGATTAATCTATCTATATAAATCAAGTACACTTTCCTTATATTTCTTTAGGCTTAATCCCCATGGCAGTTAATGAGATTTTTTCTTATACCTCTAAACAACATAAGTTACATAAAAACTGGAAATATAATATTAGCATGTCGTACCTTGAAGTTTATCAGGAGAAGGTAACTACGTAGTTTTCTGCAGTAATGCAAGATAAATTTTAACCGATTGGATTCTACTACAATATAGTATCATAGATTGCTTAGCATAAATATTGAATAATCACAGTCCACAGTTTCAGTTGTAGAAAAATTTTACTTGTCAAAAACCTCATACATCTCCGTTAATCATAAATTTAAAGTCCTTGCAGCTATGTCTAACCCTAAAATTTCTAATGTAGATTTTATTGAATTTAATAATGCAAAATTGATAGATTTACGACCTCATAGCCAGTGGAAACAAAGATTTAAATTTATATCAAAACAAATCTGGTAAAATTGTTGTCGGTGACTTAGCAGAGTCAGCAATATGTAGTTTTGAAGAATTTTGCAAAGTCTTTATGAAAGGTAACAACGGCAGGTTAGTAGTATTGTACATACTAGCCTAAATTAAGATAAAATACAAAGTCAACGACAGGCTAAATTACCTTATTAATGTAAGCTAGAAGCTCGTGGCTCGTTGGTTATAAAATACTTTCATTAACAGAGTTATGGTATTGTTCATTAAAAATTCATAATTATTTAACTGCTTAACTTCTCTTATTATTTAGGAGAGTAGCAGCAACAAAACTCAACCGCCAGTCGAGTCGAAGTCATTCCGTATTGCTACTGAAAGTACTGTATCTAACTAGATATTTCTAGCAGCAGTTACTTCATCGTTTAATATTCTTCTCTTTCACTACTGAATCGGAATATATTTGTGATGTGCTAGATAGTAATTACAATTGATTGTGTTTCTACAGGTTGAAAAAACGGATAATTCTACATTAGAGCGATTCAATAGTAAAGTATACTTAATTGATTTAGCTGGATCGGAAGATAATAGGAGAACTGGCAATAGTGGAGAAAGGTTGTGCTCTTAATTATACTTGTGACTTACAACATCTCTGTTAGTTAGGATATTACATATCGATACACCACATCGAATAATTATAATTGCATAATTCATGTTGCTTTATCTCATTACCATGTTGTTATGTAAAATAGATTAAAAGAAAGCGGGACTATCAATTCATCGTTGTTTGTATTGGGAAAAGTTGTTGAAGCTTTAAATCAGCAACTGGTGAGATTATCAATGTAATCATTTTTATTCCAGAACTTCTTCGTATGACACAACACCTTTCAATCAATTTCATCGCTATTTTAAAAACTTTTATATTGTTTTAATCTGTACAAAATGTTTACATTGACCATGTGTGTTGTATTTATATTCATAATTATGAATTGTAGGCTAGGATTCCGTATAGGGAGAGTAAGTTAACTCGACTTCTACAGGTGAGCGATCTTGTAAATATATGCCTAGTAGGTAAGCGAGTGTTATGCGAGTGAATACTAATACGCGTATAATTATAATTGTGGATATCTGGATAGGATTCCATTGGCGGTAGTGCGCATTCTTGCATCATAACTACTGTCTCTGCCAGCAAATCAGATTACTACAGCACCTATCATACACTCCAATTTGCATCGAAATCCAGAAATATTATAAATAAACCTTTTGCTCAGATTGAAAACATCAAGCCACGTCATGATTTGTCAGAAACAAGAAAGCGTCGAATTTCCACGGCAGAGGATGATAAAAATAATAAAGTATGTGATCAAATTGCTTTTATATTAATTATATCTTGTGTAATGCTTTGATCACCTACTGTATTATGTTTCTTGTAATAAAATTATTTTAAAAACCCAGAAAAAGAAATCTTCCGAAATTGTTCATATTGAACACGAAATTGTAAGTATTATATTTTACAGCAGCGTTTGTATTTAATCATATCTTGGTCTTGGTGCTGATAATCAATCAACTGCAGCAAAAAATTTATGATATTTTTGAGATTTTGAAAAAGCTTTATTGCTGTGTCTATTTTTAACTGTAAACTAGATTACTTAGTTTAATAACTAGTTTATGCTATTGCTGTAGGTACGCTTGCATATTTCTGATCGAATCTTTCATTTTAGGGCACGCATGATAGTTCGCCTGGTATTTCATCCAATAAATGCGGAAAGTAAGTATTATATTATGCTGTGTTTATGTCATACTTCCGAATTTCCAGGACTTGCCGACCGATCGAATATCTTCTTTATTATTCCTCCAGTGATACTGAAATTAAGTATCAATTGGCAGAATTTGAAAAAAAAATGTTATCAAGGCAGGAGCAACAGACTAAAGCCTTACTCCAGTGTTTAACGAATATGTTTCCTGAAAGCAATTCTCAGCTTGATGGCATTAGATCCAAAGTAGAAAAGGAATTGGTACGTGCATTGCCAAGGGTTGCAACAGCTACTAAGAATAGCAGAGCAGATTCGATAAACGTCTTAAACGGCAAAGAGAATTCAAAATTTAATAAACGTCCGGCTGGAGTGACGAAAAATTTGTCTTCTATAGCCCTTAAGCCTATCGAAAATAAACTTGATAACTTGAAGGTTCATCGTCTACACAACGTGAATAAACAGGCATTGGACGTAAAGCCGATCACTTGCAGTAAAAAGTTAAGTGATGATAATACCTTATTAGATATGTTGCGGAAAGTCGACGATAGAACAGCTAGACAAAGTAAGTCTGATTATAATTATTAATTTTGTAATATCAACACTATACTTAATTTACTAGACTTGCATGTATATGATTTTCGTAAATCTTATTCAAACACCATTTATCAATAGAGGCGTGAAAAGCTAATATTAGCGTTAAGAGAGATTATCAATTTATTGAATTAAAAAGTTAAAACATATGTAAATAATTCAGTTTGTTGCTTTTATTTCAGTTGATGATTTACTTCGTATCTTGAACCAAGGAGACTGTAAAAGTTTAACATTACTAAATACTATTGGTAAAAAAAAAGCTAAAGCCATTATTGACTTTAGGAATATAAACGGAGAATTTTCTGATGTAAGCTCTTTAATATCTTTGTATGCAACATCGACAAATTATGATTTTTACTTGATTTCAAAATTTAATCTGTATGCTTATCTTTAAACTAATAGATTGCTGGCTTACAAAAAATACCCTGCTTTACCCCTAACACCGTGAGAAAATTTGTTGAGGTAAACTGTAACTATTAGTATTTAGACTTTGTTTGAGTTAGTTTATTGGCCACGTTACTCGATTTAAGCCAAAAGAGTAAGAAAATTTAGAATTTAAGTGTTCGCCACACTGGCATAACTAAGCTGCTTTAGCATCGATAATATATTTAGCTATACTTATTATAGAAGCTTTGCTTGGTTTTTACATTTTAGTGCAACATGTTTTCATCGCTTGATGTCATGTGAACCTATGCCAGAGCGATAAAGTCCAAATGATAAAGGATTTATTACTCCTCAAAATACCCCCATTTATGGACTCCCTAAAAATACTACCTACTGTTCAATATGTAGTAAATTGGATCAAATTATGTAATATATTTATATTACTAGGCAGTTCATCAGCCTTTTAATTTAAAATTGCAGAAGAAGGAAGTCGCTGTAATACCTTAGAGTGTCATACTTTAGCATTGAGTCTTACATATATCATGAATTCTTATAATTGACCTGCTTGTCGAAACCACGTAGAAGAATCACGGTTAGACCTTTATATTCTTGTATAGTATCATTCAAAACATTTCAAAATCATGTAACATAATTTCCTCTATTTTATTATTACGGTAATACACGTATAACAATAATAGGGTTACGCTCATACAAGTTCTGTATTTTATTTGATGTTTCAATTCTATAGACTTTTGAAATTTATCTAGATATTTCTTGGTTTGTTTAAAATACTCGTTCATCTATAACATAAATATACGAGTATAATTATAATCAATGCGCATGCATTAAATATAAATGAATTTCATGTCACAGTAAACTTTAAGCAATAAAATTTAATATAACGTTGAGTACCCATTACTGTATTCATCACGGTGACCTATACTCATGACTTCAAACCAATTATCAAGATTTCCATGAGACATTTTACTAATTTCAATATTCAACCGTATCAATGATTTGTACTTTGGTAGCAGTGATGTTACGTTTTTTAGTCAAACTAATTTCTGGTAGCGCCACATTACAGAATTATAAAAATATTTTCGATCGCATTGCATTTTTAGGACAGTAGTTGTTTGAGGTACTATTAATACCGTTGCTTTGGCTATATTTGCCTCAGTTACGAGATTGTAATTACTAGCTTACGGCACGGCCCTGCAATAGCCTGCAACTATTCTTTAACATGTATAAAGCTAAATTGTAATATACAAATATTTTGTATAGCAAATCACATAGGATAAAAAATCAGTTCACGTACCAATTAAAACTTGATTCACTAGGTAAGAATCATATTATAATTATTGTTATAAAAGCTAGATTGATGGATAAGATATTCTTAAGGTAAAATATAACTGAGACATTGACTCGCAGGGTAGTTTTCATACAGTGGCCTAGTATACTTTAACCTTGTTACTTCCAAGAGAACAACGATCGAAACCCTGGCATACAGTAAAAGATGATTGACTTGTCCAAATAAAGACGAAAAATTAAAGCAAACCTTTACATTCTTGTATAGTTTCATTTAAAATATTTCGAGATCATGTAACATAAATCTTTGCGTTTTATTATATAATTAATATGATTATAAATAAGATCACACTTTTTATAAGTTTTGGATTTTATCGATTTTTATACGCTATAGAGAGTATATCTTATCATAGAATTTATCTAGGCATTTTTTAATTTGTTGAAATATCTTGTTAACATAGAATCAGTGCACTATGCATCAAATGTAAATGGACATCACGTCAGGCTAAAATTAAGCAGTAAATTTATATGATATCGAGTCCCAAATCCATAATCTTACAATAAGATAAGTCGTTATTATGACGTAAGTGCGTAAATTTTTCAAGATTTTAGTGACATTTTTTAATAAATTTTAATTTTCAATCTAATGAATATCATTACTCTGGTAGGACGTAGAAGAACTTGTGATAATAGATTCCAGTAAGACATTATAAGCTGTTAATATATATATATATTCAGTGATACTGTCTTCAGTTACAATAGTACTGGGTGGTGCTACCTTACAGAATTGTAAAAATTTTCCATTACTCCGCATCTATAAAACGGTAGCTATTTGAAGTACTGTGCTGTAAATGCAATTACTTTAGCTATGTCTACTAGAGGTACGAGATAGTAAGTACCTGGTTTAGGCAGGCTTTTACATCAGTCTGAAACAATTTCAGCTATATAAAATTAAAATGCAATATACTAATTTATAGTAGATGCTTTTAGTTTCTTGGTATACGTAGAATAGCATTAACATTACTTGATAATTATTAAACTTTGCTCTAATTGGAAAACTAATTATAATCCAGCATCAATACTACAGAATGAGGAGTAAAAACATATTAATCTAATAACAAAATTAATACACAGACATTAACATTATACGCTGTAGATGTACGCCTATACAGACACTGGACTATCAAATATATTTTATTTACAGAAGCAAAATTTCTGTACTCGTTTCGCCAAAAAATTCATTCAGTTATTACTGCAATCAAGGTAGCGCCCAATGAAATATGAATCTTGATAAGTGCTTTGTTAACTGGAATCATATAAAATGCATACGTATACGCTCATATACGATACTGTACATATGTATACAAGGCCTAAAAATTGCTTTACAACCATATTACAATCATCGCAATAAAAGCATGATAGATGCATAGATATTTTTAAGGCAAAATATAAACGTATGTTACAGAATTTGGACTTGTAAGGTAATTTCATACAGTAGCTTCGTAGACTTTAATCTTTCCATTTCCAAGAGAATAGCCATCCAAACTGTGGCAGTTATCCTCTAAACTGTGAATCTATGCCAAGATTATAACATTTATACGTTCTATTTTCATACAACTCAATATCATTTAGAATTGTAAAATTGGCAATTTCTGATATTATGCAGTAGATTGTAACTATCTTTATTTATTATTAGTCCTATAACTAAAAGATAGTACATTATTACGTATACCTTCCTTGGATTATATATTGCTAAGAATCTATTTCGGTCATGTTGATCGTTTTTTTCTACATCTTTCTTTTCTGCGCTTCGATAATGTACATATCTGTGCATCGTAATTTAATTTTCTTAACAAACGGTAGAAGGAATTATAGCTCCGTATCAGATCAGAGTAATATCTACGACAAATTACCTTGGTTGTTGACGATGGCAGAACATATATATCAGATTATTTAAACAACCACGATCGTAAGGATTAGGTATATTATTAAATTTTTGCGTGATCTATGATAATATAATTAACATCGTTAATAATTGTTATCCTAATTATACATGACCTCAAAAGTGGATTGAAATTGTATATTGATCGGTAGTATAATCACGTTACTAACATATTCATTGGTAGATTTATTAAAGGGGACTAAGTAACAATGGAAGCCAGTCAGTCCTATAACGGGTACAAGCATTAATCCACTTATGCTTAAACATGCTATACTGATTGATTTTGTTAAAGAAAGGTTATAACGCGTAGTAGTAACAGAAGAATGACAGTTAAACTATAGTAAATACTGTTAAAAGGATACGGAAAGGCAATCTCATCTCCATTAGAAGCTGCATAAATGATATGAATAACTGTTAGGGTGCATACAATAATTCCGTACGCTGTAATAGACAGTAATAAGATAAAGAAGTATCGGTAATTTCGACGTCCAATACAATTATGCAACCAAGGGCAATGATGATCGAATCCCTAGAAAAAAGGATGAAATTTTATGGTCGTGAATGCATCGGTATATTGTGCCCCCGGTACTGTGATTAACGGATAATATCTTACATGATCGGATAATTTATTATGATACAACTTTAAACTAACCTCAACACAACTGTCACAAATGCTGCAGTGAGATGTACGTGGCGGTCTATAAAAATGGCAGGTATCACACCATTTAAGTTTAATGGAAATATCACGGATGGTTACGGTTTTATAAAGAGGTGTTCGAAAATCATCCTCAAAACTGGAATGCCAAAAAGCTGAAATTTAAAAAATTAAAGAAGTAGTCATTAGCAAGCTCAGCAATGAAAAGGCTTATGTTTCATGCTATGACTTAAGCATACACATGGCATATCATGTTTAAGGGCCACGTCAAAATCTCGTACTCATGCTATAAATTAGATAACATACACGCAATCCTCGTTAGGAAAATTGATATTGTAGATATTACCTCTAGGATAATAACCAGGGTCCATGCAAGCGACACGTAGAAATAGCGCAACGATGAATAAAAATATTGCAGCCATAACGGAAGTAATAACAATTCCAGTAGTATGGAATTCAATGATGTAATATTGACAACTAAATAATAGCAATGCAAACGGTAACGTTAATGAACAACAATTAGTTAATATTGCTTCGATAACAAAGTGATTTGAAAGATAGAGTTTGCATTCAGAAATATTTGATCACAGTAAGGGGGTGATGAGTCTATAAAGCATATGTTAATTAGTGTATATATATTTTAATAGATGATAATAACAGAACAATGTAGAAGAGAATATTTGTGATATCGTGATCTTACAAATAGCATGCAAATGAAAATATTATCATATTGTACGTTGCAAGTGGAAGTCCTTATGCTCAAGGTCTGGTTTATTGGAGCATACCATTGCAATGTTAATATGACTAACCGAACATTTCCAGACCTTGACGCGTTTAGGGTATTTTGCCTGCTATTTTCGTCTACTTATGCGATACGGTATTTGCTAATAGGACGCTAATGATGAGGTTATTCATCAGAACATAGTCGTAAACGTTGGAATTTAACATTGAATCTATCTATCTCCTAACGATTGGTATTCGAGAAAAAAAGCTATTAAGGTGTAACCATAACAACTAGTCCAAACTGCTACCGGTAAGGTCCCCAAAATTGATTCATCTTGTATGTCATTTTTGAACTCATTTTGATTGTAATGAAATATTGGACTCTTGAAATTTTCCTTTTCAGCATTTAAAGCATTACTTATCTCCCGGAAATAGAGACTATTTTCTTCTACGAGATTACCAACTATTAGCTTATTAGACAAAGCATAAAAATGTAGCCTACGCTATATATAACATATATATATGTACATTGTACAGTACGTCGTAACAATACACAAGTTGGGTAGAGTGGATCTTTAACCTAAAGTTACAATTTGATTTTTGTATGAGCCTGTAAGAAAAAGTTGACCATAGTACGTTAATATAATCTAAATACGTTCAGAGCTCCTAGCCTATAACACGCACAGTCTAATTTCATAAGAATGGTTTTAAAAGGTAAAACTGTATCATAGTAAGTTATTGTTCACATCAACTGTATGTACTGTACTCCTTCCAGGACAGTTTATTGCAATCTACTCCTCCGATGTAATAAGGTATAATTGAACTATCAAACTGCTCCAAACGGATTCATCACCATCTTGTAAGCAATGGGTTGAAAACGGAGACTAATACCGGTTATGGAGAATAGAGAGAGTACGCCAAATTACATAACTATTTGTATATTGTACTGTATCCTTCTACTGGTAAAACTAGGCCAGATTGAATGAATGCGCCTGAAGTGATTCAACACTCTATCCTTTCAACGTAGAAATCAAAGAATAAATAATTTTTTTTCCATCAACGGACAATATTCAACCATTCACTGACGATCGCGATTGGAACGCTTATAGATTATTAGACTGATTGCACAATGACTGCATTCATATTGTCCTATTTGTAGTAGAGCTTGAAAGAGTCTGGGTCTTATTACATTTTCATATAGGTGATTACAGTACTCTTCAAGAGTAGAACTGGCTTCGAAAACAAAGCGGCAGTCCCTACTAGAATGATTATTTCCATATCATTGTACTAGACTCCATTTGTAAACGATCGATCTTGGAAGAGTCCGGATCTCATCTCGTCACCAGAAGTGTCCTCTACTACTGTTGCGATCAAAGTAATGAACTGGCTGGAAAAGAAAGCCAAGAGACAACAAAAGGACAAACTTACGTTGAGGCAAAAAATCCAGCACTTAAAATTAAGAGGATGCTGAAAGCCATGACTACTGCAAAATACTCTTTAATAATCGATCGAATTGGCGTAAAATGCGTCCTTTGATCGTTGTATCCATTTTTCTTTCGTTTGACCGCCATATCCACTAAAAATGAGATTATTGGAAAGGAGAATGACTGCTAGACATGATAGCCACTCTTGCAAGTTGACATGGAGTGGAGGCTCAGTCGCAGGAAATGGCTTGAGATTGGTCCAAACTCTATTCTACTAGTCGATACAGTACTACAGTACTGTACATTGTGCACCAAGCCTAGCCAACAGTACAGTACAGTACTGTACTAGGACCACAATCAGTAGGATACAGGTACGTCGTGGATGGCTGGCTCAACAGTTTAGTAAACACCTTTTGTTAAGCGCAGGCTAGACGAGACTGCTTTGATGGCCTAGACAAATGTTGATGTGTGGTGTTTAAATATGGCTTCTTTACCGCTATTTGGGACTGTATGACGCTTTGATCAAGCGCTAGACTGAATGGAATACAGTAGGTAGAATGAAGAAAGTAACAGGAAATAGGCCAATCAACGACACTACCACTTTATAGCATTTCATTCTCATCCTACTGAAGGTACAGCGACTGTCTTCGTCAGTATCTACCTTTGCCTTCGTATCCATTGCATGAATATCGGTCATGATTACTCATGATAGTATACTATTTGTTTCTGCACTCTGCTCGATTCGTAAACTACTGTACACTACTGTACTCCACTATATGCGGATATATTTCCACCTCAAACCAACCAATCCATTGGTGCATCGCTATTGCACTTTCCATCGAGAGACTGCTAAGCAAGTCCTGGTCTCTGCCCACTATCCATTCTTGATTCGGTCATTCGAGTTTGAGATAGTATCAAGGAGCTCGTTGCGCTCATGCTATGCGAGTAGTAGTCTGCTAAAAGCAAATTACTATACGGTCTACACGAATGGCTCGTTGATCGATTACTTACTTTATCGCTTTTCTTATATTCTAATTATATATGACCGTCAAAATGGCTCTGTTGCCAGTAGTGATTGCACCGGCTAACAAAAGGTTTACCCGAAATGGAATCCCTCCTTGCGAGTAATGTCTTTTCACTCGCACATCCAAATTGGACAACAGACTGTAGAATCGACAATGCTCATGACCAATGTGAAAGAAAAGCCTGGGATCAACTTGGAAAAATAGTGAGAATCTACTCGGTCTCTGTCCTAGTAGAAATTATTACTTCAACTTTCTTTTACCTCTATGCTCCCTCCATTGCGCTCGAGCTCGGACTGAGTCCACTCAGTATCACCGTCGATTCAAGTGGTATTGTAGGATCAACGCGCGCCAAGTTGACTATTTTCCAGCTTACTGTACAATACATGCGATAGTGTCCTATACGATGGTATGACAACATCAACATCGCTGCAAGTCAATAACCGAATAATATGACAACATCAGCGGACGCCGTATGTCTCCACGATGTCAAGTGCTACCGTGTTATGACTGTCCAACCGTCCGTCTGCACACTCATCTTACTGAAGCGTACCTTCAATACGCGTAAAAGGTACAGTACGCCGTCGTCCATGTCTTTGTGCTGACGTTGAGTGGATCCATTTCCTTGACCAGCTTATTCTGTAGTGGAAGTTCTCTCCTTCTCTTTACCTTGGCTAATGTTAACATCATTTGCCAGAGCAATTATCCACACGTCCATACACTTGAAATGAAGCTAGTCAAGCCAGATTGGATCGAACATGAAGGTAGCTATGGTGTATTCAATCATGACCGGTAGAGATGAATGTTTTCCATCGACAGGCATTTTTGCATGTTGACCTTGATATTAATTATAATTATTGGCCAAGAAATGGCATCATTTTGAATCATCATCTTTATGCATTCACCAACCTCAAAGAGGGTTCCGTTATCCTATCGGACTAACGGATAGGGAAGAGATAGCGATCATGTCCACAGTGTTAGCAGGAGTGGACAGTTTAATAATTGTAATCATCATGGACGGTGTCCAAACAACAAATTGAATTACATGTCCTACTGCCATACTGTATTTGGCACGCTATCCGCTACAGGACCACATACTCTCCTTGACAGTGGAGTCAATCCAAACAAGTCTAGTGTTAGCTGTTGCAGCAAGCCTTTAGTTCTGATGCTACATCATTTTTTCCATAGGGAATAGGAGTAATCCATAACCCTTGCTTGCTCGATTTCTTATTATCGGCCATTTTTACCTTTAGCTTATACAAGTCCTCAATTGGTATTGTTTGCAGTTTCCATTCTTGTTACGATGCAAATGATGACAAGATTATTCTTGTGTATATGTATTATACATGATTATACTCTGCCGATACAACATTTCTTATCCTAATTACTCTATGATAATACTAGTACACACACATAGTGATTAGTGGAAATAATCATCATATTGACAAGTTTTCTTACCTTTCTACTACATAGTCAATGCAACGGACACACTTATTTGCACATCATGTATCTCACTCACAACGACTGGAATATGAACAATGCAGCGTACGCATTCAAGTTAGAATGCTTTATTTCTACTGTTACAATTGCGCTTTAGTTATTTTTTTTTCTTAGTACTTCATCTTTGCCTACATAAAAGACAAGCTTTAAAATAATGTTAGCATGCACGCGTACAATTGTACACTTGTACATGCAAATTACAAACGCTAACATAACATAAGCAGCCACTCTCCTTTTCCGACTTATGGTTATGACGAATTATCTGCATTAGATGAGTATTGCATCAGCAGCTTGTCTCAAATTAATTACCATAAGCAGAACGGGTAGAAATAAGAGTATCAATGCTACTCCGCTATTCAGTTGAATTTCTTGACGGCACAATTTGGTATACTTTATGCTCCAACATAAACAAACGCCAATCGTTTTGAAGTGACGCTATGGCTGGCTGCAGTGAATTTGGCGTACAGCATCTCATCGACTATAATCAGCTAACCCTTGAGCAAAAGGAATGAAATGAAACATAGTTCTGTATTATCATCTCATTGAAATCGTCTCAGTCAATTGTAATCATTGTTATTACTTTGTTGAGCAAGTCGTATAGAAGCAAAATTATACTATTGCTACGCAAGTGGTAAAGTTTCAAATATTGAAAGCACTGAAATGCTCTGTTGATGCTGAAATTGTTGATTTATTCCAAAGTGGAGCGTAGTAGATGCAGTAGTTTACCTCGTATAACGACATTGCTTTCACCTAAACTGTTGAATTAAATGATTACTAGGCGGTGCTATCTACTCACTTGATATTCATCCAGATGGTTCGCGCCTTGCTACTGGAGGTGCAGGTTGGTGGATTATTAATATAATAATCATATCATAATCATAATATATGTGCTGTAGTCCTTGTATTAACTGCAAACGGAACCATTATTCTATGAAGCTTATCTATTCAACATAAGGTGTAGTGAATGATCGCAATTTAGTAATCGAACTTCATATTTTACCCTCACACCCTATACAACAGTAATTGCCTTAACTACGGCATAAACTCTGCAATTGGCAATAGCTAAAAGCTTTTATTATGTCTATTAGAGGCTATCTGTATTAAGAAGTCTATGAGAACTTTATTTGCTTGCGAATATTGTACTAATAATTATGGAAATACAATGAAAATAACGGATTGATTAGAAATAGTTAGCTTGAACTTTGGATAATTTTTTTAAAATATGACTAGGTAAAGGCTGCGGAGAGATTTGCATTTGGAATATGACCCCACTAAGAATGGAAGAGGAGGAGAAGAATGAAGCGTGCGATAGATTGTTGTGTAAGATGACAAATCACTCAGGTATTGGCGGTAATTGTGGAATTAATGGATGAGCTTGAGTTCACAAGTTTTTATCGAAATTAGAATGTCTTTGTACTCAATAATCCTATTATTGTAAGGCTATACCTATAATAATGATCGTTAATTGATTCTTTGTAATAGATAGTGTAAATTGCGTTCGATGGTCAGCTAGTGGTAACTATCTAGCGTCCTGTAGCCTTGGTATTGTGATAATTTGGCATAAAAGGTAATCAAGACTGAATAGTGCTCGTCAAGCAACTCGTATTTAGTTGATAATTAATCAGTAGCTGACGTGGCTAAAATGGGACATTCGTTCAATTATAGCAGAGTTAAAGGATTCTTTAAGAAATATTTTCTATTAAATGTTATAATGTCATACATGCGATATAGAACATGGGTTTTATTGAAGATATACGTTTTAAATATATGCCACCTTCTTAATTTTACTGTAACTAAGATAAATACCTTGCATAATTGCTCTTTGTAAAATTGACTACTGATAGCACTATCTCGATATTTGCTGATTTACTTCAAGCAGTGTTGAATCTAGTACTATATTTGGTGGAGGCAGGAATATTGAGAATTGGACGTGCTCTCATATGTTGCATTCACATAAAGAAGGTGAAGGGGTTTATAAAAATTGTTGAAAGTTTCAATCTGATGTAATTTAATCGAGGCTTACGTCTTCAATACCGAAGTATAGATGTTCTTGACTTAGCTTGGAATACAGACGATTCTATGCTTGCAACTGCAGGAATTGATGGGGTGATTCTTGTTTGGAATGCTAAGTGCTTCCCAGGTATAGTATTTATTGGATGCTATCTGTTAGCCGTACAGAACATCAGGCTTAACTATTTTAAAATTGGCCTATGAAAAATATACTATATTAGACCGTAGAAATGAAATCTGTCAACACAAAAGCAATAATTTTAGACAAACTGCGTATATACCTCGATACTATAATGTTTAAATAAAAACCTGAATTAGATACATATTACAAAAGATTTCTATCGCTCTTTTGAATCTATTCTTCAACACAAAAAAATAAATTACAGTTAATCTTAAATTTTAATGTTATATTTAGAAATTATATCAACTATTACGGATCATCAAGGCAGTGTAAAAGGCCTTACTTGGGATCCTATAGGAAAATATTTAGCATCTCAGGTTGTGTAGTAATCTCTGTCATTTATGTTATTTGATCCAATAATAGCTCGCTACAAAATGTAACAGATGGAATATTTTCTAATTAATAAATGTAGTCGATTGATAAATCCTTACGTGTATGGAGGACAATAGACTGGAAACAGGAGGTCGCTATTACTAAACCATACTTGAAGGTGCTGTAGATTTTACTCAAATGAACATAAGTACATGCTGTCGAATTTATCTCACTGAATCTAAATGACTATTTGATGATTTTATCAACAGACTGGTGAAACATCTTTTTTCCTCAGAATAAGGTACTTGCCGTTCATTAATGTCTGCAGCTTAAGATACAATATAATGAGACTATGCCATAACCAGTGTAACTTTGTTCTACGTTGTAGCTGGTCACCAGACGGCCAATGCTTGGTATCGTCTCATGCCGATAATAACGCTGCTCCGGTAGCTAAGATTATCGAGCGACGCGGTTGGAAAGTTGATAAAGATTTTGTGGGTCATGAAAAAGCAGTTTGTGCTGTGGTAAATTCAAGTAGCTATATTTCAGATAGCATTTTATATAATAGTAACAGCCATCACTAATATTAATACCGTTAAATACCGTTCAGAAATTTAATCCGACCTTATTTCATGAAAATGTTCCTACAGCAAGTAAATTTGATGTAAGCTTTGCTGTTAAGTATAGTTACGGTTATTCTACTTTTCATTATAAATCTATTGATGTGAACATTACAAATGGTTAAAAAATTTTTCATAAAAATCTTTTATAGATTTGTTGTTACTGCGCTCTTGGAAGCCGTGATTGCTCGATTTCTGTTTGGGTAAAATCTTGATATCATAGCAGGAATTAATTAACCAATATCATAGACCCTAAAGTTGTATGTTCATTATTTAAATAATGAGATGCGTTTGTTACAATTTTTCAATTTAGTCGACTGCTCTACAGCGACCGGTGGTTGTAGTTAATAATCTCTTCGATAGTACCGTAGCGGATTTAACCTGGTATAAAGTGCTTGATTATACAGATGTAACGTGCAATTGTACCTATCGTGACTTAAATTGTTTAATACTTGACTAGGAATTCATCCGGTAACGAGTTATTAGCCTGTTCTTTGGATGGCTCAGTAGCTTACTTTAGTTTCTCTGAAACGGAATTGGGAAAATCTCTAACAGAAAATGAAAGGGTGATAAAATTAATTGATTGATAAATTTTTTTTGTCATTTTTAGTTATAACCTGTTAATACTGTGTTTCATATTAATTTGTTATTAGCTAATCTATTTTTTCCTGGTTCTTACAATGTAATAATAACTCTTCTATCACTCTTCCTAATACAGGCAAAATTCTTTCATAAACATTACGGAATTAATCCTAAAGTTGATGAGAATGGAATGAATGTCGGAAATGCCTTTGTTGTTGAAAATCCTGACGTATTTCGAAATCAAGTAGAACAGAAAAAATTACAACAAGCGTTGTCGCATAGAACAGAGTCAGATACTACTTCCAACAGTAAGTCACTGCAGCTTTATCTACCTTCCTTCTTATTTGAAATTATACTATATTTTAAATCATGAAATATTATGAAATAGTAACGAAAAGGTTTTACTAACAATCAATAGCTGCAATTGATCTCATTGATAATTTATTTGATAGCTTTCTCTCCGCCAATTCTTAATAAGCCTACTGTAGCCAGAAGTATTCCTGTATGTACTTGCAATATGTATCCGCATCAATATTGGATACACTTCATGTTATAGTCATTTTATCAAATATTAATCTAATTATAGAGCAATGTAAAAGATCGTCAAATCGAAAGAAAAACTGGTGATGGCCGACGGAGGATAACACCTTTTACGATTGCTACATCAAATACAAGTGGGTTAGTCCAATAAATATTTATTCGGAGATTACATATACGAATGATGTCGCTATATACAATACGATATCTGTAAATCTTTAAACCTTGCTCCTTCTAGTATCGTAGATAATGAATACTCCGCCAATATACTGGATAAACCAAATTCCGTAAGATAATATATCCGATAGATATCATTTAACCTGGCAAGTTTTAGTTACCATACATTTACGTATTTTAATAGATTGAAAACATGGAACCTGATCGGTCGATTGTACCGTTAATAATGCTGTAAGCATAGCATCAGATAATACTATATTAACGAAAGAATCTGATTTCTTGCTAGAAATTTACCGTCTATTACTTACCGAAAATAACATCTTATCGTATTCCTACTTTATAGTAAAAGAAATGCTGATACTAGCATAGACCGTGACGCTCGGAAAAAGTTAAAGTTTAAAGGTCTGGATTATAGTATACTTTTTAACTTATTTTGATATATTCTAATGGAAATATTACTTTTTGTAACTATTTACCTACATACTCGTATACACATAAAATTAAGGTGTGCATGAGTTGATGTCGAGCACATCCAAAAGCGATGCTCACAAAGAGATGTACTGTCATTGCGATAGTCATAGTAGAAAAGTAGTAGCTACACGCTTTGAACCATCAACTGCAGGATCCTATTTTTAATGTTAGATATTCTATATCTAGATATGGATGGAGTAGGATCAGAAAGTGGAGACGCCGCTAATAAGGTAGTTAGGAAGTGGTATAATTCATCGACATGATGTTTAATTTAGCGTTTCCTGTTAAGCCTATAATTATATATCACATGGAATACTGGTAACTGCTCATATGATTGACCTTTAATGTTGATATATATCGGGATTGGATTTTCTAGATGTCAGAATCTGAAACTGAATGGATAAAGTCTGTTGCACTCAAGGGAATACATTCAAAAGCTGTGCTACCTATACCCGAAATAATACAAAAATTAACTCTACAGGTTGATACTTTTGTATTAATTTACTGTTGAAGAACTATTTGTTAATATTGCCACCTCATATGCTTATTTTTAGATTAATTGTGCAAGATTAAGCGGAAGTATAAATTCTGTGACTGTTGAAGTGATAAATGGCGAATCGTCAGGTATTAACCATGACTACATTATCATCTGATAAGAATGAATATTACTATGAATGGGTTAATAATGAATATCGGTAAGTTTTAATTTACATTACTTTAATTATCTCTATGTTCATTATAATCGTAGACCCGCGAAGCAAAATAAAGTGTACATCCAATGGCAAAATTTTGTGGGATGGTGCTTTAAATGGCAAGGTCTTATCTATTGCTGGTAAAAGGTTAGTGTTTTGACTTGCATTTCAATACGAATTTTAGTTCGCATTTAAGGAGAAAATAACTTTTTTATTAATACTAATGTGATTTTGGAAATCTAGCAACTTTATCTGTGTAGCCTGCAGCAATAGAACTATAGTTGTCTTTACAATAAATGGTCGGCGGTAAGAGGATAAAGAATATAAATTTATTATTTATTCTTTTCTATAATTAATAATCTAGGATCGTTCAATGAAGATTATAACCGCTCTAGTATTACAGTATTTTAGTATCAACTTTCGTACATTATTATTTTTTTAACTTTTTTAAAAGTATTTAAAATTATGTAGTCCTTAGTCTTAACTGCTCAATTACGAAATTTTTGATGTTCATTCCAGGCTTTTTCCAGTTTTACAACTTGACGAAGCTGTCGCTTTATTACATTGCAATGATCACCATGTCCTCGCTATAACCAGAACTGGCGATTTATATATCTGGTACGATGCTAGAAAATACTATACTTAATAATGGTAATTGTAGCACGTAATTATTACATGCAGTAGCATTTAACTCTAACTATCTTTTCTTAGGAACTGTATTCTAAAGACAAACGTTGTAAGTAGACAAACTATTTGTCCGGTTTTGGGAGGTAAATACGTGCTGACAATGATAATTAAAATTAAAATAATTCTGTAACTGATTTTTCATCGGACTATATTTTTGTAGATTCAAACCTAAAAATTATAGAAATTGAGGTTTCTCTGGAAGGTTTGCCAATATTATGCATGTCTGATGGCAGCGCATACTTATTCAGCAAGGATTTACGAACATGGTGATTATACCATTTATACCGGGTCAGCAAATTTGCAAAAATTTTCAAAATTCATTTTACATCAATCTTTAGGGTATTACTTTTCGACGGATCGGATGTGTCTGTCCGTAATATCTTCTCAGCTAGTTCGACCACATGTCATGGACGAAGTTTACCACCTAGAGGCCAATTATGGTCTTTGCAGGAGCGTTCGCGCTCACAAACGAAGTCCATCAGGTAAGTTGTTTAAATCTGTTGATTACAATTATTCGTAAGATACGTTGAAAACAAAATAGCGGTTAATTTTATGGAGCTATCCATATTAGTTAATCACTACACTATACGAGTATTTTTAAATATTTGTCCGCAGTAGTGTTAAAAACTCGAAGGCTAGAAGTTTTGATAGTAAATCCGATGATTTATTGTACATGCGGTACTTGGAGGTTAGTGCTGTTGTAGAATTTTTGTGACTTACTTATCGTTTATGTAGTATGGAATTCTTACACTAGATCTCTACATTTTCAGAATCAAATAAATGCAACTTTAGCTATAAATTCAGCTGAGGAATATGAATATTGGCTGTTATTATATGTTCAGTTGTTGACGAAGCGAGGTAGGAATTATAAGACTCAAAATCTATTTCATCAATTCGATACCTCTGCAATAATTTCAGCGACTGATATAGACCGATTTCGATTGGTCGATTCCATTTTTATAGAATATGAAAACAAAATTGAAGAGATTTTTCAAACGGTTACGTCTGAATATCAAAGGTTTTATTCTAAAAATTTGCCTTAAATTATTTTTGTTGACATTTGTTAGAGTTCTCATAATAGTTCTATAATTTTAACTAGATTATTCCGAAGTGATCTTAATCCTAAAAAAAGCAAAGATGTAAGTAGCCAAGCAATTTATTAAAAATCGTTGAAATTTATCGGCCTTTCATATAATTAAGAAAACAGTTCTAATCTCCGGAAATTTTGTGTTTTGCAACGATATGTAGGGGCCTCGAAAGCTACGGGAAGAAATTGTAAAAATAGTCGGTAAGCGAAATGCAAATCTTACACGCTTCCTAATGTGCAAACGTGTTACGAAAGTATCTGCTATTCGGTAGTTTTGATTAGTACAAAAGTGTAAATACACATTGTTCTATCTCTGTAATTATATCAATCTTGATTGCACTCAAATCAAATAACGTTTAATTTAAATGTTACTATATGAACTTCGTGTCAAATCAAATTGAGTTGTTTATTCAATTCGTATTAGGTAACTGTCCTCGACTAGAAAGACTCTTTTCTCGACTAAATGATCAACTTAATGATATAGTGGATTAACTAAACTGGCTACAGTAATGAAACTTCAGTGAAATCTTTTTTTGTAACGGAACTAAAACCAAATTATCATTAGATGATCTTTGAGATATACAAGTATTTTGTATGAATTTAATTATTATTGTAACATTTAGACTCCACTGAGGAGTGAGTTACGATTCATCTGTGCATACTACATTACTGTACTTACCATTAAATAGATACGATAAACTACCCATATTATGTTATAGTTCTCTTGTCGGTACTCAAATCGTAACTGGAAACTGTTGCATACCATTGTTGTAAAGCTCTTAGTCGCAAAATTATTTCATGCTATAATATCTTTTGTGACAGATGCGTCAGGTTATTAACTCAATCTAGTAATCCTATGATAAGGATTATAAAGATTGTACATGATATTGCTGAAACTAAATTTTGCCTAACTCTGATACTGTAATATACAACGTTAGAATATCACTTTGCTGTTGATCTAATCTATAGTGCCTGACACATCTAATATCGGTTACCATAAAGGTTATATGAGAGTGCAGGTAATTGCCGTTTTGTATTTTAATTATATTGTACTGTTAAAATATTTCTTTTATATAATATTTCGAGCTTCTACTGTCCTATATTATTATCCTATATGACGACAACATTGTTTATCTGCGTGTCATTTCACCAATCTAAAGTCAATAAAATTTTGTGGTACCTTAATGCCTAGTATCAAAATACATTCTCCTAGTATATTTGAACTTGCAGTTCGATGTGAATAGTATTTTTTACTAGTCTACGCTATATTTGTTACTTAACCCAATGGTTCATGAACTTCTATATTCTGTAATATGCCAGCAGATGCTGGAATCCCGCCTAAAATTAATCAATACGTGTAACTCCAAGACTTACAGCGTACATTATAATACTAGCTTTAGATGACACTGTGATGGATTATATGTCACTTGTAAGAGTTTATACAATTCGGATTTTAACGTGTCATTTCGACGCAGTCATGATGTTGTTGCTGCAATTTACGTTGTTAAATAAAGTACTTTTATTGTTGTTTCCTTTCGTAATTACTTTAATTGTTGCACGTGTAAATGGCCCTAAATTTATAATAAATAGAGACCACTATGCGAATTGAAAGATTCATTTGCATTGGCTATGGGCAATTATCCAATAAAAGAAAAATCTTTTTATTGAGTAGGCGCAGTATGTAGCCTAAACAGTTCTTAGCGCCGAGTCCAAATCATTTAATTTATGCATACCTACTATTAATAGATTAATAGATATCATCATATGTACTGTACCTGAGATTAGATTATTTATTGTTTTGTTTTAGTAGTCAAGTACAATAGTACGTACACGGCAGTAGCGGATGCATAGTGTAAGTCCTATAACTCTGATAGTATTCAGGAACCCGCGCAAAATCAAGCTGAAAATAGATCACAGTTAATAACTGGCAGTATTGTATCGATATTTGATAACTGCAAGCTTAATTACTTGGTAACAACTCAAAATGGCTCGCGCTGTCGTTTTACTCATTGCTGCTTTGTGCATCACCAACAGCTTTGCTGCTGTTAATTTTACCTATCATCATTATCCTGAAATGATAGCATTTATGCGGCAAACTCAAGCAAAGTATCCCAGTATTACGTATTTATACAATTTAGGCAAAAGCGTACAAAATCGCGATTTGCTAGTAATTGCTATTGGCGAGCAACCGAATGTACACACGCCTGGACGACCAGAATTCAAATATGTTGGAAATATGCATGGGAATGAAGTTGTTGGACGTGAAATGCTCATCCATCTAATCGACCTTCTAGTAGAAGGATACACCAATAACGACGCAGAAATACGAAATCTGCTTAAAACGACAAGAATTCATATTTTACCTTCGATGAATCCTGATGGTTTTGAAGCATCCTATGAAGGTAATTGTACTGGTGTTATTGGTCGCCGAAATGCCAATAACGTCGATTTAAATCGAAATTTTCCTGATCGTTTCGTTGCAATAAATACACCAATTCAACCTGAAACACAAGCAATCATCACTTGGTTGAAACAGGAACATTTTGTTTTGTCGGCTAATTTACATGGAGGTACTGTCGTTGCCAATTATCCCTACGATAGTTTGGCACCTTCCGTTACACCCAGAAATACATACAGTATGGCACCTGATGATGATATTCTTATCCAAATTTCTAAAGCTTATTCGGATAATCATGGCTATATGCATATCGGCCGACCAAATTGTTCTAGCAGTCCTAATGAATACTTCGCTGATGGAATCACTAACGGTGCAGCCTGGTATTCTATTGATGGTGGAATGCAAGACTATAACTATGTTGATTCGGAATGTTTCGAAGTGACTCTTGAAATTAGTTGCTGTAAATATCCAACAGCAGATCAACTACCCTTTTTTTGGCAAGCTAATAAAAATGCTTTAATGGCGTATATGAAATCAGTTCATATGGGCGTTAAAGGATTTATCTTCGATCAAAATCGAGTTGGCATTTCCAACGCTACGATCAATGTCGTTGGTCGAAACTATAGCGTCTCTTCTAGTGTTGCTGGAGACTATTGGCGTCTACTAATCCAAGGTACCTATTCGCTAACTGTTTCTGCTCCGGGTTACAGAACAGCAACCAAAACTATTACTATTCCAACCAATACTCAAGCAGTTCAAGTGAATTTTACGTTACAGAGTGCCGCAACAAGCACCATGAATACTATGGGAACGGCTACAACAAAGGCTTCTACCGTGGGAACAATTAACTCTGCTCTTAATTTACAAGCAAATTCAGTTTTATCGATGTTCATTATAGCAATAACCGTTTTGATGGCATGGTAAAATATCATATTGTAGTGAGTCCATTTTTTAGTGTAGAAAATTGTATCGTATCTGAGATAGATTTGTTATGTATGTAAGAATACAGTAACTTGTTGTACTGCACCTAACGTGTTAGCATAAGATAAGGTAATAAATTACTAAGATATAGGTATAATACGCCATTACGACTATACTATTTAAATGCAGTAAATCCTAAATAAAGGAGACTTTTAGTAAGCTTACTAGGAGGAGTGTATCAAGTCACTCGTGCTAACGTTAACGACTAAGAGTGGAAACACAACGGATTATTTCTCATGTAATGGACCATCAGTACTTCCAAAACCATGCTACAATTGAAGTTTTTTTAGGGTTTAAAAGTAAAAGTTATTTACAGCACCGGGTGAAATAGATGACGGGATACTCCCAAGAGTGATTTGTACTCTATCGTGATATCTCTAATAGTATTTGTATGAGTATTAGTTCAATTCTGTACCCGATCATCCAGCACAAGTTGATTGTTATTGATCTTGTATGTCATTAGCCTAGTTATTACCCGCATCAAGTACAATAAAATCTGCAAAATAATTGACTTGCTTTATTGTTGAATTTCTGGTCTGGAATGATACAATTTAAAATTCACTTATTCTATTTGGGGCTCTCATCGGTATCCTATGCTAATTTATTTGTGAAAAATCCTTCTTAATAGACTCTATAATCAAAGCAATATGAGACTAGTATCATGTTATTATTTCAGAAAAATTGTAAAACTTTACTGATCACACGAATTTATACGTTAGAAAGGTGATGTTATTGCCTTTTAACTGTCTATTCTACTTTCGCCTAAATTAATAGAAAGGTTGTGAGTAGTCGATTCGTTAATGTATCCGATTCAGTAGACTCGGAGCATCATCCGATCGAATCAATCCACACGATTAAATGGATCGAATTTCATCTACCCTAAAATTGGCTTGTTTGGCTGACCGCATTTTTTAGTTGATAACAGTTGGTACAGGATATCAGTCACATCATGCTTACCCGCCACCAAGTTCTTTGATGTTGTCAAAACAATAATAGATAAACATTGTGCGCTACAATATAGCTATTAATGAACGGGTACTATATTAAAAAGATGAGTTAATTATAGTTCTGTTGTAATTATTCTGCGGCGATAGTATACTGTAGCTCTATTGTCGCTATTGTAATCTATTGTAATGCCAGCCACAGAAAATTGCGTCATAAAGGTGGGCAATACACCCATGAAAGAAGGAACAATAAAGGTTATTAGCCTATCGCCAAAATGCTTGTCAAGTTTATCATAGCTCATACCAACATTTTTTTTCGATTAACATTAACCCAAGATTAACTCATGTGTTGATAGTGATTAAATTACTTTGAATCCGACAACATTGCTATTTTGTCGAATTAACATTACTTTATCGTCATCCTACCCGCTCTTGCTTTTGTGACTTTACCTTATCTAGTTAAAGCTCCGGTATCTTTGGAAATTGAAGGAATCCAAAGAAAACTCTTTGTACATGTATTATTGATTGATAGTTTTATCGTTTGTAGAAATTAAACATTAAACTACTTCCATTTTTATATTGATGCTATTTTGTTACATCCTAATACTAATACCTTATATGTTATTAGTAACCCAAGTCGCAATGAAATTCCTACCTTAACAAGCCCAGTTCTCGTACCCTTAGAAATTAGGTGACCTTGTAGTAAGCACTTAAATATCGCTGATACGTATGTGCTCTATCGAAATGTATAGTTTTGCTTGATAACGTTCTTATTTCTGCTAGATAAGCACATTTCTAGAGGAACAGCTCAATACTTTGAGAGTTTCTTATTCTATCAAGTAGTTTTTGGTAATTTAACTATATTTAGTAGTTTGTAATCTGGCTATTTTTCCACTCTAAATGTTCTATGATAATTAATTATGTACATTAAACACTAGTTCGAAGGCTTCTAATATGCATCCATACTATTCATACTATATGTTCAAAATGTTTAGAGCAGATATTAACTCGTAACTCTTAGCATTCAATATGTCCAGAAGGGCTATTTGGTTCATATAATTTCTTGAAACATCTATGGTCTCACCGCCAGAAAGTGAGAGCTGTATTTCTGCACTGACATTAGAAAATAACTACTATGACGAGACCATCTTCTATCAACTTTGTAATACACTATAATAGTAGCAATAGCGAAGCAAATTATGAATTAAAAACATCCATTAATATTCATTTAGCAGTGATAGATACGGATAGCCAACAAAATAAAATTTACATCATATTCCGTGTTTTAACAATACCTACTACCACATCTTCCATTAACGTTATCGTGGGTTGTAATAGAAAAAAAATTATAATTATGGCGATGATAAAAATAACATTCGAGTATAACCGTAGCCACCACTGCTTAATCAACACTAATACATGTTGGAATTATGATCAATAACATCTATTAGTGTTAGTTAAGTAGTGGTGGCTACAATAATACTCGAATATCATTTTTCTCATCACCATAACATCTGTGCTATTCTATTTGTTCAAACTTAGTGTTTTAAAATACTACCATATAGCTATCGGTAAATAAAATCAACGTAATGCATGAAATTTGTATCTGATTGGTTGTAGATATCTAGAAATTTTTCGGAAGAATGTAGAAATACCATCGAGATATTGCATAGAATTTTAGAGTTGAACTCGCTAGTTTGTAACTTACAACTAGCCACAACGTCTCTCTTGCAGTATACTTCACATGGATAATAAATATTTACGCCTATCACTAAGATATTGAGATAATTTTATGGCCAAAAGATTTTGTTTTTAGTAGCAATGCATTACGATACATTGATGCAACGCAGATATAGTTACTCCTTTATGTCATCGCATTCGGTTGCCGTTTATTAGAACGGGTAAAATATGATAAAATCGAAACTAAATATAGACTTGAAAATTACTCATGAATCAATGCTCTAATATTGATGATATTGTCATTTGTTTGAAAGGATAAAATACGAAGTAATCAAAAATAAAGATAGGCTTGAAAATCACTCATTAATTAGTGTCCTTGTATGCAATCAAGTATCTATTCGACAGCACAATATATTATATTTTATCCGAACGTGAATAATGCCATGGATTTAACTATGATTGAGATGGAAATAATCTTTAAAACCGCTCATCAATTAATATTTTTTATACGTAAAAGGAATCTATGTCATCGTATTTGGTTGCTCAAAAAGGTAAAATACGATTGCAACCGAGAAGATAGACTTGAAAATCACTCTTTAATCCACGTCCTTTCAAGTAAAATTTTATACGTACGAGTTTTAATACCATCATATTCGGCTGTCGCCTATCGAAAAGGGTAAAATGCAATGCAATTAAAAATAGAGATTGCCTTGATATTACTCTTTAATGAGTCTTTTTCCATTTTTACGCATATCTATAAATTGATTAACATCATACATATATATATGAAGCCGTGCTGCAGGTGAAGATGCAATCAATTCTAGCCTCATTATTCTATAGTATGATATCCAAAGCCTCTGTTCTTCTACTCGGGTAGAGAATTCAAGTAGGATATCCTACTTGAATGCACAAGATTAAACCTGTTACTCGCTTTTATCATTTCTTCAATACTTCCATGGAGATCGATAGGCTCATAATCACATGGATTGGTCCAAACGAAAGAAACAAAAGCTACTAATCCTAAAAAGTTCCATTGCCGGCAGCAAATGTTAACATCATCCAACAAGAGTGTTACCTTATTCAATCCTCACGACGAGATAAAACCTATTTAAGTGATCAAAATTGTGCGAATCTCACGCCCATAAGCGGTTAAATCATTGTTCTAATGCATTACTACACTTTGGAGTAGTTACTAGCTGAAGCTGGAGATGATATCGTAGATGGATTAATCTTTCCGTTAAGGAAAGATTGATAATATTCTCGAGTTTATTGTGAGCTGCAGGCACCGGTACGGAGTAATCCAATCGAAATATTGATAAGAATGATGCAAATAGATTTGGACCATGTACATCATTGAGTCGGAATAGAGATAAAATAATCGATGTAAAAATGACAAGACTTTACAAACGGCAATGATATCAATTCTCTTCGATTCTAATGGTCTTAGCATGATTGAATCTGCACAAGTAGAACAGAGCTTGTACAATTTAACTGATGCATTTTGCTAACATCGTACCGTCGGAATGTTGCCAATAAATTGCGACTATCTTATAACCCAGTTGGATTAAAGCCAAAATAGTCGGTGCAAAAGTAAGCCAAATTTTACAAAAAACAATACTGTCAATTCCTTTCGATTCCAGCCTATGTGTTTGCTGATTGTATTAGTAAGAATGATGCAAATAGACTGTGATCATGTTATAACCAAGTTGGAATAGAGGTAAACTCATAAATTAAATTTGAACCTGGCAAAAAGGAAGAAGCTTTGACGCAAATTTCTATCGATTTTGATTTGGCTGATGCACGTTGTAACTTACGGTGGTCAGTATGTGCATAACTAAGATGAAATAGCGCTTAAAGCAGTAGACGTAAAAGTGGCAATATTATAAAGTAAGCAGTAATGTCAATTCCCCTCGATTCTAATTTAGCTTACGCATAGAACTTGATTGAAACTGCAAAGATTAGAGTAGATTATAATTTAGCGGATGCATTTTTTGACTAATTAAGACCGTGAGAATGTTGTAAAGAAACTGCGACCAGATTATAGCCAAGTTGAATTACCCGCAGCTTTTAAAATAGTGAATGGAAAGTAGAAAAACTTTATAGTAAACGATGATGTTAATTCCTTCGATTCTAATTTAGTGGATGTATACTGTAGAATATGATTAAAATTGAATGTTACAGTTAATCATAATTGAACTGATGCATTTTCTGACGTAGTACCGTGAGACTATGATAAAAAGATTGCGACGAAGTTATAACTGAGTTGGTATAGCTGTTAAAGTAATCGATGCAAAATAGTAAAATTTTACTGAAAACAATGACCTTAATTCCTTTGATTCTAACTTAATTGATACATAGAATAGAGTATGATTAAAACTGTATGGTTAGAGTAAACTATTGTAATTAAACTGCTGGATTATCGAATTACTGTAAGAAGCGAATTGGAATACCTGTTAAAATAGTAGATGTAAAAATAGCAAAATCTCACTGAAAACAATAACATCGATTTTCCTCAATGCTGTATTGATTTAATTGATATTTAGAACATGATTGAAACTGCACGACTAGAGTAGAATATAATTGAACTACTGATTTATCGACTTACTGTAATAAGCGAACTGGAATAGTTGTTAAAGTAGTAAATGTCAAAATAGCAAAATTTTACTTAAAACAATAATATTGATTTTCCTCTACACTGATTTATTTGATATATAGAACATGATTAAAATTGCTCGATTAGAGTAGATTATAATCAAACTGCTATTTATAATTATAATTTACCGACTAAATGCAACAACCGAGTAGGAATAGCTGTTAAAGTATGCTTAGAAGATGTAAAAAAAGCGAAACATTATAGTAAACAATCATGTCAAATTCCATCGATTCGAATTTAATTGATGTAGAGATATAATTAATTGAAAGTGTACTATTACAGTTTATTACAATTGAATTGATGACTTGCCGACTTACTATAATAACCGAATTGGAATATCTGTTAAAGTGGTAGATGTCAATATTGCAAAATTTCACTGAAAACAATGATGTCAATTTCCCTCGATACAGATTTAGTTGATATATATAGAACGTATTTAAAACCTCGCGATTATAGTAGATTGTAATAGAAATGATACATTTTACCCACGTAGTACCGTGAGAAGATTGCAAATAGATTGCGACCTGGTTATAACCGAGTTGGAATAGAGATAAAATAATCGATGTAAAATATCGTGATAACAATTGCCTTCGATTCTAGTTTAATCGACGCATTTGTCGACTTTGTCAAACGATTGTAAGTAGATTGCTACCATATGTATCACCGAGTTGGAATAGGGGCAACATGGCTGATGTAAAATAGCAAAACTTTACTCCGTAAACAATAATTTCAATTTCTTTCCATTCTAATTTAACGGATACATTTTGCCGACTTGTTAAATTCGTATCGGTCGATGATGGCCTGATTAAAAGTTATAACCCAGTTAGGATAGACTAGTTAAGTAGCACTTGTGGTATTATATGGCCATGAATAAGATTGAAGCTTAATTGATAATCATTCCGACTCCGATTACCACTCTTGTTGTTATACGTATGTAAATAAACAATTTAAGACATGTAGAAAAAGGTCTCCTCTTCATGACATCATTCTTGCCAAGTCGAAAGTACTGGTTTCCTTCCATCGCTAGTTAAAGCATGGATTGTATCGACATGATCAGCAGCTGTCAAGAAATACATTTTTCCGAACCAAGTCTATTTTGCATGATAATAATGAGAATGAAAGATCAAAATTTAAGGCGCAACAAAAGCATTCATATCAATGGGCCCGTTATTGCATTTCTTATTTCCTATTGATTCCTTCCTACTTTTCAAATGGTTATTGTCCATGATTGAAAAAAGATTTGTCTACATTAGGACGCATCTGTTGGTTGGGTGTGATTTTAGCCGAATGGGTGACTGATGGAAGGCATCCTTTGCTTCGAAGATAAATCAATTTATACTATGGGTATTTCAATAAGACAAGAAAGCGGTTGGATTCAATCGCCACCAAATTCAATTATCTTTGTAGGTGTAATTAGATAGATTGTTGCTTGTTTAGGACAACCAGACAAAGAAATGAATTACTGATGTGAGGAAAGCATAACTACTGATACCCCTAGAGTGAAAAATTGCTTTTTGAGAATAGAATTGTATTGATCCTTGATTGTCAATTAAATTGGACCAAAAGTGAACAAAAAAGTGTTGAAATGGAAGAAGAATAGCCGATAGTCTATCAACAGAAAATCAGCGTATGGAGCGTATATAGGATAATCCATTAACGCCAAAATTGATCGCAATCATCATGATTCATTTTCTAAACATGACGACAGCTAATAGCGTTGAACATCGGCCATCATATCGCCTTGAAATTCAACGATAATCAACCTGTCCAATCGGTCATAATCAATTGCATTAGGGTGGCTCTAAACATAATATGTTATCCATTAAAAAAGGCAATCACTCCGATTAGGCATCATCAGATTTATTCTCAAAGAATCGATCAATCATGTCTATGACGTCAGTTCGCAATCAATACAAAAGCTTTCATTTTAAAGTAAAACCGGCAACCAATGGATAATGATGAAAGGGGATGTAAATAAAACAGATAGATAATTAGTTTGCGTTCAAGTTATTCGCAATCTTGGATAGATTATCGAGTGAGAAAACTTCCTGGTTATTGTTTCAAGCAATCAAATCGATTGTTGATTAAATAGACAAGAACAAATACTCCTTCATTATCATCTGATCATATTAGAACAGTTCAAAGTTGAAAGAAAGAAAGAGCATTGGAAAAGAGACAAAAAAAGAAAACAAAACCCGTGTGCGCGTTGCGGCATTGGCCTGGGGTTACGTAATTTCATTGAAGGAATGGAGATACTAGTTATTATCACTAAGTGAAAAGAGAGATTTTTAATTTATTTCGTCATATTGCAAGTACTCAAAAGGTTAGAATAAATAATTTATACCATCATATTGTTCAGCATCATTTGAAAAGGTGAGAGAAAGAGACGGTAAGTGAACAAAAAAAAATTTTCAATTCCGTCCAAATTACAATTCTGCGTATTTTTCACTCATTTATCCTTCTTTGCCAAAGTAGGACGACATCATGGCTCAATCAGTTCATTTCTGCTTGATGGTAGCAATAGGCTTATTGATGGCAACATCTAGTAGCGCTATTAACTCCACTTATTTCATGTATCATAATTATACAAGTATGACAGCTTTGCTGCAAGATCTCAACCAGAAATATTCTCATTTAACCAAATTGTACAGCATTGGTAAATCGGTCGATGGACGCGATCTTAACGTCTTGGCCATTAGTGCTAATCCTGATCGACATGTACCGGGCCAGCCTGAATTTAAATATGTCGGCAATATGCATGGCAATGAAGTGATTGGTCGTGAACTGTTATTATATTTGTCTGTCCATTTATTGGAAAGTTATGGTACCGATAATGAAATTACTTGGTTGTTAGATAATACTCGAATTCACATTTTGCCTTCTATGAATCCTGACGGTTTCGAAATGTCCTATGAAGGCAATTGTACTGGTGTTCTTGGACGATATAATCGCAATGGTGTAGATCTCAATCGTAATTTCCCCGATCAGTATATTCCAGTGAAAAATCTATCCCATCCATTACAGCCAGAAACAATTGCTGTCATGCAATGGATACAAAGTTTACCATTTGTTTTATCAGCTAATCTTCACGGTGGAACGGTTGTTACTGTCTATCCTTATGATAATCTACCATCCAATTATACCGATCGAACCACGTATAATCGATGTCCTGATGATGAACTCTATCGTACCATTAGCAAAATTTATTCCTATGCGCATCCTACCATGCATATCGGCATGCCCAACTGCACTGTGAATGATACCGAGTATTTCAAAGACGGCATTATTAATGGCGCCGCATGGTATGCTATTCAAGGAAGCATGCAAGATTATAATTACTTGCAATCCAATTGCTTTGAAACCACGATCGAAGTATCGTGTTGCAAATATCCAACTAGTGACCAATTACCTCAATTTTGGCAGCGTAATCAAAAATCATTGATTCAATATATTAAAGCAGTTCATATGGGAGTCAAAGGCTTTGTCCTTGATTCTCAAGGCAAGCCAATTTCCAATGCTACCATTACCGTCCGTGGCAACTCTCATACAGTCATCTCGGCTAAAGATGGCGATTATTGGAGGCTGTTAGTGCAAGGAAAGCATACTATCGATGTGACTGCTTCTGGCTATGTTAAAACTACTCAATTAATTGAACTTTCCAGTAATAGCGAGGTGACAGTCGTCAATTTTACTCTACAAGCCGTCACAGCAACACAAGCAACTGTTCCAGTGACTGCTTCAACTGGACAGGGTTTTACCATCCAGTCCAATCTCTATCTTATAGCTTTACTTTTGACCTCTTTAGTCGGTTTTATTTTCTAGTTTAGTGCCATTGCTTCCGAGTAGCCTGCTAGTAGAATGACTCACTTTGCATTGTAGTTAATCTCTTGCTATTTTCCTTCTCTTGATTTTCAGTCATTGGTTAAGTAAAAATGGAATGTATAAATTGCGTTGAAAAAATGTTTGTCTTAATTGTACTGTAGTTGGATTCAATTCCGTGCTAATTTCTCATCTCTATGAGTTTTCTTAGTGTATCCTTCTACACAGGTTCATTTTATTTAATTAAGTTGTTATTCTTGCTGGTGTCAAGAACTACTGATGACTGTTGATCTTCTACTTAAATATAATGAAATTGATCCCATTTCTTCTTATTGCCTTCGCTTTTAATTTATCATGTTAAACTTCTTGACCTAATGGCGTCAATCATCTGACGGCAATGAGTCAGCTCTACTCAGGCACTTTAGGTGATGCACTTTTTCATCGATTGTTCGTTATCCTTATGGTTTTAAGCGTAGTTTAACTCTTTATGTAGGAAATTCTACTTCTCTACTTGATAAGCGTAGATAGATTAGTTATGTCGTATTTAATTGAACTACAAAACCTCCTTTAGTGATAGCTTTAGGCATTTTCTTGCTTCTGGCGATTACACTGTCATGATGTCCTTCTGCGAGTATCATAGTGCTGTTTCTGCTCATTTGTCATCATCCATGATCGGTTGTATACTTCTACCAGACGATTTTTTAAGCTAATAAAATTCGATAGCTATGACTTTATGCAAGTGGGAAATGTTTGTGAGAATTTTTGTGATTGATGGGGTAGTTTTCAAGCCTAGATAAACGACGCTGTCAGGGCTAGTAACGCAACTTATGAAGTAATCATTTATAGATAGATACTTCCGTATATTGGAGAATTTTTGAACTGAAAAAAAAATCGCTAGCTACGACGCAATGGATAGGGAAGTATCGAAGGAAAGTTTATCGGACGGCTAGTTTGAAAGACTAATTAAACTACTCGTAAGCTATCGCGATTAGCCAGTAATTAATTAAGGAGATGTGTAAAGAAATCTTTGATACTGGAGGATTTTTGAAGCTATGGTAACAAGAAACGATGGCAATAAACTCACTAGGAAAGAAAGGAAAAACCTGCCCAAAATCAGTATATGAGACGGCCAGTTTTGAAGCCTAAGAAAACTATTGCTATCATGATTGGCCAGTAGAGTGATCAGCTGAAGAAGATGGATTGATTATGACATACCAAGACTGCCATTTATGAAGAAGATTACTAGAACGGCAGACTAAATTGCTATCGGGTTTTTCTTTGCCTAGGTAGACTGACTTTAACAGATTTTGCTGAAATTTGATTTATTAATTATTTATACTTAAATTTTACCTTATACTGTCAATGAATAATCGAGGAGAATCGTTTATTTTAAATACTTTACGGAAATGAGCCACCCTAAGTATGTAAACTAGGATTAATCCAAGTTGAAAGCCATCCTTGAGAGAAAATATTTGTATTCATGCTTTTCTGTAGTAAAGGAAGTTTCTGCTTTAACTGCAAGTAGATTAAATATCCCAGTCTGGAAAGTCGTGCAAGAGATCAGCACAAGTAATGGATCCCCTCCCCTCCACTCGTGATACTTGCTTACTTGTGATATGTACTGTAGACTATTTCACTATGTTGTGCTACATTAATTACCTTCATTCGAAAAGAAGAGGAACGATTTTGGCAGACTAAAGGATTGATCAAAATTTTGAATGCCTTCATAGGAAGAACATTCTGAACACATGACCTACAGTAAAGCAAGTTACATTATGAACTAGACTAAATAGCCAGCTTTAAAAAGCTAATAAGACGTCCATACAATTTACAAATCCTGTATTGCCATTTGAAAAGAAAGAGAAATTAACTATTTAAGCAGTCGAACAAATTGATTAATTAATTGGGCCGCTTTCAACAGAAAAACATTTTATACTTTTGACGAACATCGGGTTTTCTTTTGCGTATGTAGAGTGCGATTGATTATAAACTAACTACTAAAAAAAATACCATGGATTAATCCAAACTTAAATTAAATGTAATCATTGGAAGAACATTTTGTATTTATGACCTCTTACTGTGAAGTATGTTATTTCTAGGGATTAACATTTTTAATAGCTACATTGCAGTTGACTAGATAGTCAGTCTGTAAAATCCATGCAAGGCAACTTCTTGAGTTACATTGCAATCACGATCAATACTACCCTTCAAAATGAAAACAAATCGCAACGGCAAATAAATAGATTATGGCTATCGAGTGCTTCCACTACGATCAAGCGCGCCTTTGATGCTATCATTGCAAGAATATCTTCATGAAATTAGTATTCATGACCCTGTACAGTTCAACACGTTTATTCTTTTATTTACAAGACAATAGTCTTTCGCTTTGCCCTTCCTTCCAGAAGTGCTATGATTAATGTTAATATTTGATCTGTGTATTTTTCTATCTAATTAATAACGAGATCATCATTCAATTGCTTTATGAAAATGATGGCGCTACCATCCCTGCTGCGCTCAATGAATAACTCATTGATGGTTAGCAATCACTTAAGTTACAATGAGAGGAGTGATTGAATTAAGTGAAAATAAATGCCAATTGAATACTCTACTTTTTCTTGACAGCCAAATCACTATTGTCTCTAGCTGAAAAAAATAAAAACTGCAACAAGACTGGTTTTGATTAAGATCTTCTCTACGAGTAGACGCAATCCTATGGCGCTCAAAAGGAACGATTTTATGGCCATTTCCCAAGCAAACGATTGATATACAGCTCTACATAAAATTATATACAAATAATGCATGATAATCATGAATTGTTCATCACTTTTTAAATATCTCCACTCCTTCATCAAGACATCAACATTAGGTAAACAGCTGATAATTTGGACTTTATTCGAACGGACTATCCATCGAGCTAATAAGCTACACATGATGAAAACGTTTTCTCCTTCAATAACGCATGATTAGCTCATTAGTGAACACAATCAGTAAAATTGATCTTATTATGAAAATTATTCCATGCGTTATTCTACTCAAGTATTTGGCTAGGCATGATGATGACTCAATGTGATAATTGGTATCCAAAATAAACAATTTCAATTGCTAGAGTAGGGTAAATAACAACAGAAAGAAAACATCGGCGAGATGGATTACTTTCAGCGATGACTCGTGGCCATGTTGATTCAATATGAAATAAGTCCATTTTTTTCCCTACTATTCGTTAAATTAATTGTAGAATAGCGCCTTGGTTTGCATTAATAATGAGTCGGTAGACTAGGCCAATGTCTTTCAGATCATGTTTATATTGCCTATGGATGAATACCGCTAATTAGGCTTAGTATTTTTTAATATTTGGATTGATCCCACTATTAAAATAAAAGAGGACTGAGAAAAAAACGTACAAAAATTGCTGCATTAAGGAAACTATAATGATATGATATGTTCAGTATTGTAGAAGTAAGTAATCATAATTTAACAATTGTAGGTACACGTAAATTAGATGACTTTATAATATTTAATATTAATATATAGTGGTCTGTAACACGTAATATTTCAAGCTAAGAAGGTTTCGTCATTCGCTCTGGCCTTGACTAGAAGCTGTAAATGAATGAGTAAAGTCGAACATAGTGATTATGAAATCAATGCGGTTTTTAAAAGCAGCGATATATCATTAAATTACTACGACAGGGATTAAGAAATTCAAAAACTGCTTACATATACTCGTATAAAGAAAAAGAGAATGCAAGCAAATAAGTTTTGGCACAGATACTAGCCCTCTTTTTCAAGTTTAATAGGGGTTCGCCAACTGCTATAGCTAGGATTAGAAACTGTGAATTGAGGAGCAGTTGAGAATAATAATTAGGAAATCAACATGAGTTACTAAATGTGACATTAGATCAGTAAATTTAAAACAGGAATTGAGTGTTGCAATAATTGCTCAGACGGAGGAAATAATAATTAATAAGAGAATGCTAGTAAATCAGTTTGCGTGAATATAAACCACAAGGTGTTTGTTTCAAATTTAAATTTTCATAACCTGCTATGACTCGGGTTAGAAAATGTAGCGATATGAGCAAAATAGGGGATAATAATTGAGAAATCATCACAGTTTTTGAAAGTTGCACCAGATCAGTAAAATCGCTACATCAGCGACTAATTAATATAAAAATTACTTAGATGAAGAAGATGACAATCAACGAATAGAAGGGCATAAATTTTGGCATGGATACCAGCTCTCTATAGCAGGTTTAAATCAAAAAGGCTTCGCTATCTACCATAGCTAGGATTAGAAACTATGAATAAATAAGCAAAGTTAAGGGTAACTCTTAGAAAAATCAGTGCGGCTTTTTTATATTTCACTAGACCAGAAAAATTACTGCCATAGAAAGGAGTGACGCAAAAATTAATTAGATGAAGGAATTAGTGATCAGAGGATGGAATCAAACAGATTTTAGTATAAACGTTAACTCTCTATTTCAAGTTTTATATGGGTTTCGTCGTCATCTGCAGTCGGTTTGGATTAGAAATGAGAAATCAGTGAGCTACGTCGAGGGTAATAATGACGAAATTAGTGTGGCTTGAGTGTAGAAAAGGCTAACTTTTCAATTTCATTCATAGTGTAGTAATTGGTAATTTAATATCGTCTAATAATGATGCTAAATATTTTAAATCTATTTAACTAGCTTAATCTATTAGCATTATGCTATAACATAATTTGTAGACAAAACAGTCATTTTTCCAATCACATAAGAAATGGCAATTTTTTTGACTCCATTTAGCACTAAATCCGCAAATTTACTGCAGTTGATGAGAGTACAAACGGAGCCTATTTTGACTAATGTTTGAAATATTGCCACTAGTAATAGACTCCGAAAAAGACCAAATTGGAAGTTTTTCCCGTCATGGTTCACTAAATGTGAACAATAAAAATAGTTTAAAATATACATACATTAGGTATTGAAAGGTTTATAACAGAATTTCGCCCTGTAGCAATATTCCATCAATTATAATAGATTACTGATCGTTTAAAAAATCAAGTAAAATTGGCAGTGGTAGCTCTGAATTTTATTCAGTATAATATATTGTGCAGTATATGTTCTCGTTCATTTGAACGAGAACTCAACTAGTAATAATAATGCACCTTTAGTATAAATTATCACTTTTAATAATCTTACTCTATATTCCAAATATTACATGATGAAAAGTAGCCATTGCAATAAGCTTATTATTATCGATATCAAGAGTGATCAATATCATCTTAATAATGCTAGCTGACTATCCATCTTAAACGTTTCTTGAGGAAAGATAACTATTGCATTGCTTTGGTTGATATTGATAAAAGAAATGGCCAGCATTACTTATATCTTAATCACGTAGATTTACCATAAAATTTCAACGTGACTTAATAAAGGTAGCCATTGCATAAAATACTTCTACACTAGATGGGACTTGAAATTGATTCTAATTAGTTTTAAAGAAAACTATCTAGCATCTAATATAGGTGCAGAGTGCTTCTCTAATAATTTTTCCTAACATGCTGAGATTTTTTACTTTTACTACCGTGGTATCACATTCTCTCCATTGATTTAGTTATTCTTTCGGTAATTTTCACTTTTGACATACAACAGTTTAGATACAATTTTGAAATAAACCCGGCATTACGATCAAAAGTTACGAAACGAGAAGTTATACAATATTTAACAAGTAAGAGAAGTATTTGGATCGCTTGATTTTGGATCCATTTTGTCTTTATAGAATATACGTATGCTGTAGCATAACGTATAAAATGAGTTATTAATCAATCTCACTTTAACGTGTGCGTATTTTACAACTAAATCTCATCGAAAATAAATAAATAGGCTTAAAGTTATCCAATATTTTAATAAAGTACGAAAAACATTGCGACCGATTTGATTTCAGATATGTTTTATCTTATTGCAATATATGAAACATAAGGTGTAAGTTGCTTGGGATTCGGATGATTCTAGACTTAACCGTCCAGTTACTAGATGTAGATTACTAAATAGACTGGTATTGAAAACAAATGGATGCTCGAAATTATCCAATATTTTAACAAAGTACGAACAGTATTACTACCGATCTGATTTTGGATATGCTTTGTCTTGTTATAACGTAGGTAACTAATATAAGGCGCATTGAGTTAGAATAATTCTAGACTTAATAGTCCGGTCACTAGAGGTAGATCATTGAAATATACTGGTATTAAAACAAAAAGTTGTTGTACGGCACTACATGAAATAGAAGTAATTTCTCAATTTTGACTTCAATTACTATCATTTAAAGATTCCACTGTATAATGCTCTCAGATGAAATCATAAATGACCATCTGGCAATGGTAGTTAGCTGGAAGAGAAACCACCTCGAAAATACCGCGGTATCTTTAAAACTGTCATACTGCTTTTAAGTTAGTATCTTGTCTACGCTGCATAAGATTGCAAGTACGATCTATGAACTAGCAAATCTCTTGAGAGGGTTGAGCAAATGAGTAACTTCTAATCCTATTAGCTAATATGTATACATGACAGACAATAATCATTATTTTAATTAATCTGTATTGATCTGCAATAGGTTCCAATACGACACCATATACGAATATCTTGGAACTAGTTAAGATTGCGTAAAAATATCTAATATTGAAGCGTTTCCAGGATTTAGGTTAGCATTAAATTATCGCGTCTGATCGTTGTAAATTATCTTCAGGTTAAGTGAAGGCTTAGTGTATTTTTTCCTTCCTACTGCTCAAAATAAACTCTATATGCTATAACAGAATTAACATTACGAAAATCTATATTTCACTTATTATTTAAATTAATCAAGCTTCTCAATCCACATATACCACGAAAGAATTCGTGATAATTAGACTGCCTTACTCATTGAAAAACTGCAAGTATCTAACAAATTGTACAAGTCTATTCGTCGACTTTATAGGAGATTGATCTTTAAATTAATGCGTGACTGAGTTGAATAGTTACAATAACCTAATTAAGAATATGACGTTAATAAATCTATTATACGTTCGTAAGATGGTTATGAATGACAGAACTTATAATAGAATTGAAATCCTAATTAAAATTAATAAAAGTTCTCTTATCATCTATGGGCGGCTATGATTAAATTATACAAAAATATATAAGAAACGAAGGCAATAAAATTTGTCGTATACATTATAAGATACAATAATCCTTTATTGATCTAGAAGAGCCACTCTACGCGTATATCTATCGCAGAAACTGATTTCCGATTCAATTTAGAATAGATAGGAAATAAGATCACGTCTCGTATTATTTAAGTTGATAATATTGTACATTATTAAAAATATTTTTAATTATTAATAAATATCATTCAATTTCTTTATTATAATTCTTTTATAGATTATCCTATTACAGGTTAATTTTTACTTTATAGGATTGACAGAACTCGATAATAAACGCGTTTTGACAATCAAGCATTTAGTAGGATGATGGAGGATCATTGAAGATTGAACGCAATGATACAATATTAATGGATATTAAATAGAATATTAATCATTCTAGATGGTTACTAAATTTTGTAGATATTCGCAGTAGAAATTTAAGAATTGGATGTAGGCGAAGGCGATCGTATGGCTGGTGAACGAGAACGAGAGCGAGAACGAGAATGCGATGATAATCGTTTAGAAACTGAACCTGACCTATCACTACGACCTCGATCTGGAGGCGATAGGATATTTCTAATTTTATCTTCTTGTACCTTTTGCTTTAAATTTTCTGCCTTTTGTTGAAAGCGATCTCCTTCCTTTGCAGTATTTGCTCCCAGTACTAATTCACTGTAATATACATTCATTGGTGCAAAGTGAATCAATATTAAAATTTTATCTGAATCAAATTTTATGATATAAATCCATATCAATTTTAAAGTATTCTATAGTGTTTCCTTCGTACCTAAAGTTAATTTCTCCATCACCATCCTTATCCAATTCATCTAATAATTGCTCAAGTTCTTCTTCTCGTAATGGCACATTTGTTCTCTATTAATAATATTTTAATATTATTTCATTATATTATGCTATTTGACAAAGTGAAGAAAAAGGAATGACTACCAAGCTTGAACAAGTCCATGTATGGCACAAGTATTTCAGCTAATGTTAAAATTTTACTGCCATAAATTAGCAACTATTCCGTTATACTGTACATATACAATTGTGAAGAGTGCTAAACTATATCAGCAGTATAAGGTACATGATCCTATATCATAACTAGTGAATAAAGAATGCACATGTTGGATTACAGCCTTACCCTAATTCCAGTTCTAAATTCGTCTCTTGTAATACTCATACTTTTATCTTTATCGAGTGCAAAAAAGAAATCGATTAATCTCATCTTCTGATCTGTAATATATTCACGAAGTATTTGCATAGGGCGTCGTTTAGGTTGGCCTTTTCTTCCTAACTGCGCACCACCACCGCCATAGATAAATTTAAGATCTGGATGAGTTTCTTTCATGCTTTTCATTACTTCTTCGCAGTGCTCATCGACTTGAACATTCTATGGGATAACAAAATACATATGCTAAGAATAGACGTAAAAGATATATCGATAAATTCTATAAATAATTAATTTGTCTATTTAGGGTCAAAGTTGAAGCAATGCTATTCTATAGGTTATACTAACAAATAATTGGATTTCTCGCAGAGCTGAGCCGAGGTTCATCTTTATAAAAGTTAATACTGGAAAACATTCAATTGGATTGTAACTGATCTGTAGATAGAGCATAAAATGAAATTTATCGAGTGAGCAATTCAGTAATTTTTCGTGTCATTCTATCTTACGATGACCGTAGAGATGCTATTGCATATTCACATTTAATTTACGGATCGTTTACTATCATTAGAAAAATATCAAGGACTAACTTTTAGTATTTCTAAAGTCTCATTTACGGCTAATCCTTCTGCAAGTCCTACTATACCCGGTGTGAAGATTCGATTATTGCTATAATTATGATAATAAAAGAAATTTTCAACCCATTTATGACATTCTAAAGAATAGACAGTATACTATAGAATAGAACATAAAATTGTATCTTTACCTTAGATCGAGTTCTAGCAACACGTTATTGTGTTTCAAGGCATCACCCATAGCAATTGCACCTTCGTCTGCAAATCCATTCCACGATAAATCCAACTTCTTCAGTGATACATTATTCTAAAAATAACGAAACCGTCGAACAAAATAAGCGAAATCAATTTTCGTACACTAAAGTATTAATTAAAGCATACTACGAAAAAATATTAATAAAATTAGAGTTATCTAGTTTTCAAAATTAATGAAATTGCAAAGAACCTTTAAACTGACTGCAATAGCAATAGCGCCCGTTCTACGAAATGCGTTCCAACTTAGATCAAGATTTTCAATTGAAGAATTAAAACCAATAGCAGGCCCTAAAGTTGTTCCAGCCTTTTCATCAAATTTGTTTTTACTTAGATTGAATGTGATTAATCTTGTATTCGCCTTAAAAGTTCACAAAGATGATAGCTATTAAAATGCTGTTAAATTTAGTATCCAACATACACTATATTCACTCTAATATTCGTAATCGATATTACTGGCAATGTATTATTGATACTACTAAGTAGCAGTAAAGCTTTAAGAATAATAAGGTAATAAGTCAATGACGTGAAATAATAAAATCTAAAAGTATAAATTACCCTGAATGCATCAGCAAACTCTGAAGCAAGTTGCAGATCGAATTCGTTGTTGCTTATGTTAAGGTCTAATAAAGTCGCATTTTGTTGTAACATTTCTGCTATAGCTAATCCACTTTTATAACTTAAACGGTTACCAGCCATATTCTAGTTAAGCAAAAATAATTACTCCGTTAAGCCTATCACGATGCTATTAGTGAAGCAGTATGAAAATTGCATGTGAATTAGCTAAAGGCTTACTTATTCTATACTTACTAAATGTGTTAAGTAGCAGTTTTCTTTCATCATCTCAGCAATTGCACAACCACCTTCATCTCCAATCCAATTGTCGGCGAGATTAACTTTAAGTATACTAGTGTTAGACTATAGAATAGGGATCAAAGTAGTAATTTATTAGCTCGAATAAAAAAAGTAATCGAAACTTCATTTATAACTCTTGATTTATGATTCTATATTAATTGCGTATATCTGATGACAAACCACTAGAGTTATGGCTATCGCCTTTGCTCCTGCAGCACCTAAGCCATGATGCTTTAGATCAACTTCTGTCAAGTGTAAATTTCTACTAAAGAAGGAGACTGGCGTCACTTTCATTAGACGGCATGCTTCAATATAAGTTTTTCTCCCTGTATCATCATAATTGCCTTTCGATTCTAGGTTTAAGGAAATAAAAAACTTATTGGTGACTTAGCCAGTCAATATGATGGTAAACAAAATGTTAAGTAATTTTATCCTTGGACAGGAAATCCCCAAATTTAGATACTGTATTGATCGTATTCATAGTGAAAAAAGGATCAGTGGCCGTGTTAATAAAGTTTTAGATTAATTGTTATGATTATGCTTCGACTTTTAAGCCCATAAAGACATACATTCGATTAAACCCGACATGTTACTAAAATTTGCTTCCTTACATAGGGCAAGTCTCATATTAATAATACCTTATACGAATATGCGCGATCATCTTTATCAATAGACGTACCTTCTACTTCTAAATCAGTTTCCCATCCAGAATCATCGATATCAAGTGAATCGTCATCATCTTCTACAGCAAGATGGGCTTCAACATCGTGTTCGTCATCCGTGGATTCATTAAAATTCTGTTTCATTGAAAATACATCAAATACGTCAATAACACCACTTGTGTTTAATTACATTGAATGCCAATGACAATTTATATTTTGAAGTACAGTACTAGTATCTTGAAAATATTCACTAACAACACTAATCATCGCTTTTTGCAGCATATTATAATAAGCGCAGTCAAAGTTACCAGCTAATTCAATAGCCTTTCGTTTTTCATGACTGAAAATGAGTTCAACGAATAATATTCCGAAAGACACGATAGGAAAATAATCAAACTATATCGTCAAGTTTCACTTTTTAAAAGTACACGCTCACTTTTGATTGCCGACCAGACGGGCTATCTTCTTCATTTGATATTTGTAAATGTGTAGTGCGAAAGCTATGTAGTGAAGATTTCGCCGACATCTTGACACCAAGTAATTAATTATAACTGCTGTTGTTGTCATGGCAACAAAGGTCATTCGCATATGCACTGTTTATCAGGTTATTGGATTTATATGAAAGCGCAAGACTGGTTTAAATTAATTATCTTTTAATTCAACTTAAGTACGGAGGCGGTATGACTTATTATATTCCTGTCGATGCTAAAAACATGATAACGAAGACAGTTTTCACAAGAATACACGTACTGTATAATGCAACCATTATATCGTGTTGAGTAATTCAAGAAAGATATAATTAAATATTATTTTTATTGATTTAACAATGGTACCGCTACATAAATGGTCGATAGAACTGAAGACATCTTGTCTTGTACTAGTTTATTTGATCATTTGATCGTGTAATATTATAATACAATAATACGATTATAGCAATTATTAATATCATTACTACGCCATAACAACTTTATACAAATGCAATATATCTCATGTAAAAAATGAAATAGATAAATAAAAGTCTTACATTCATATTTCTATAGCTACTAGTAGTATTCACATATTAGATAAGATTATCTAGCGTGGACAAAACAAGAGTAGCAAATTTCGTACTCGCTATGACTTTATCTCTTCGATAGAGAAATGTGGTATAACTCTGCATAGTAGAACTATAAGAATCCTAAGAATAAAACTAAATAAAAATCAGTTCTATACATTTTATTCAACGTTATCCTCGACGATCATGAAGATACTGGGATCCACAAAAAATCCACGAAAGAAAGTCTATTACACGTCTTCCTCGGAATCTGTATCCATTACTAAAATATCGCCGACCTATAAAATTCATTATAAAGTGGCTTTATTATCAATCATTTGACAGTAACTACTTTAAGAATTCAGAACGCGTAAACATATCATGCCTTATCGGTAGGATTCGGAATAGAGGTAACTGATCCAGCGTAGAATACAGATTTTATCTACAAAGTTAAAGACGATATGCAATATAGCAATACAATTATATTGTTATCAATTTACAACATTTTGCAATAAATGAGGTTCAGGCAATGTTCAGTTTACAACCTTTTTATGAGGTGGTGTTCCAGGGATAAATGCATCACCATCGGAATCTACATCTTTTCATGGTCATAAGCACATTGCAAAAAATGTAAACGTAAAGATGTGGTAATAGTTTTGTCAGTTATAGATTACATCATTAAGACTGGCTCACCTTCTTCTTCATTGCTTTTCTGAGTTATCTGAGCTAAGTGTGCAGATGAACTGATAAAGAATTAAGACATGAGTATTTTTCTAGTTTTTGAATTGTAAGGGTCTAGTGGAAAATTTAGTAGCCGGGTACGTCTCTTTTTACCGTTTATCCTGCGTCGCTGAATCATCTTCAAGATTTGATTTTTCTAAGATAGAGTCTTCGATAATGTGACAATGGGAATCGTCTAGGTTGGTTGTCTATGATTTAAGATTAATAGTCCAAGCAATATAAATAATGTGTCGTTCATTGCCGTACAAAATCTGTACTGCTACCTACATTTTGATGAAAAGCATTGCTCCTTTGCGATGGGGTATCGGTATCAACTAAGCTAGCCAATACGAAATCAGCTGTAAATGTATTCTCTTTCGCGATATGAAACATGATTGGCCTACCGTGTATTACAAATCATTAGCTATAGCCTCTATTTACATCATTATCAGCATAGTAAGAACAAGAATTATCGCTATCTATTGCCTAGAAAAGTAACTCATACTTTCCAGCCGATTCAAAGTGCATGGAAATAGGCTGGCCGGTATATTCGCCAAAACTAACAATGGCCTTTTGGAATATTAAAATACATCGGTACGATTACGATAGTTATATTCGATATTAAAGATAACATTTATTTTAATTCATTGTAATATATATGGAGATAATATCTCATCTAATACATCTCTTGCAAGATCTTACACGGAATTCTTTTAGGCAGAAAGTAATGTCACCTTCCGTCTTGACATCGTAAGATAAGAATTCATGGGTAGCCAGATTCATTTCTGTATATAGCATTTTAATTAATTCTACGCAGGGAAATAATTAGTAACAAAAATTTCACTGCTTGGAACATACTTTCATAGCTCATTACTAATAACCAATGTAAAGGAATATAAAGTACCTGCTTGATCTTCAACATAGTTCTTAATGATAATATTTTCTTTCGTAGCAACAAGTGTAATTTCTTCTTGCGAAGCGTGGAAGTTACATATAGTATTGCTGAATATCCTTTTGTGATTAAGTCATAGTTAATCCGTTATTGAACTGAAATACTCGCTAAAAATTTGTTGGATTTAACTATCAACTGGATTATCAATTCTTATATTTATGAATAGGTCATACTTGGGCAGCGAAACGATTGCATTCGGGCAGTCGTCTTTTGTAAACATTGCTTCCAAGCTTTCGCAATCTTGTAAAAGGAGATCGAAAGCTTTTCTTATTCCTAGGTACAGGTTAATAAAAGTTATGAAATAATATCAATCGTAGTGTTTAGTAATAAAAGTATTACACCGCAGTCCTATCTTGTAACTAACCGAAACGACATTCTAGTAAAAATTTTAGACGATTTTCATTTCCATCTAGAGTAATCGAGCAGCTGTTTACATTTTTATCCGTACTTGATGATCTGAAGATATTCAGGCAAGGCTATTTTCGTTGTACGGTCAACAAAGAAATCAACATGTCAGTTTTTATTACCGAATTGTCTTGTGTGCAGTGCTTCAGCATGACTAACGATATATTAATTTAGTGCATTTACCTTCATATTGATTTTGCACTTTAAAATGCTGTCACTGCCACCAGAGTCTGATTCTCGAACGCGAAAAGTTGAAAAGAAGCGCGATTTGAATTCCATTCGGGAATAAGCGGAACGGGATGAGTTTACTGTTCGTAAATCGATCTGCAAGAGATCATTGTTTGGTTTTACTCATTTTGCCACGGTACCACTATTATTGTCAAAGTATTTTTATAAATAAATAAATTTACATACGCCATTTTCATTAATCTGGACATAGAGTTCGTCTCCAACTTTAGATAGACATTGAATAGCTTTACCAAAAACTACATGATAAGAATTGCTCTTTAGATTACAGAACATTGTTAAAATCTGAGTATTGTACGTATGATTTATCTATCTTGCATACTGCGCGGGCTTTACTGCTCGCTCGCACACGTATTGAAGTCACTGATTGATCATTTGCATAATGACCGTAAAAATATTCCTGTGTAAGAAATGGGGTAACAGCTAACACTAATCTATGATAACTTACATATCAGTAATACCGTATATAACAGAACTGTTGCTGCTGTTGTGCATCTAATTCATTCAATACCGTACTGTGCAAGTTGATTGATTATATATTGGACTAAGGCAGCACAATTTCGTGTTTGGGGGAAAGATAATATTTCTCACCCTTAACTGATTTTCCAGGGATAACCGCAATAGCGGAGAATGCCATAGTATTCGACATTGTGCCTGCAGTTGGAGATATGAATGGGACAGCGATCAGTTTACTCAGATATCAATTACTGTACTTATCAGTGAAATAAAGTTCATTTTCACACACCTCTACACAAATATCAACACAAGTAGTTGCTTCTTGGCCTTTTAATCCGTCTATTAAGAACGTCTCTACAAATTTACTCCACCATCATGGTCGCCATATACGCCGAAAAACTTGCCAATCACTGTGGATTATATCTTTCAAGCCAGCCAATGTTAGAAGTGGCTAGAATACAATTCGAGTCAGTGACTGAATTTGGTAGGCAATGGCAGAATTTCAAGGGCAATCATTCACAGTGAAATGACCTAGAATAGAGTGGCAGTCTAAGCTTAACTATTGCTATAAAATATGCTAGAACTGAATGATATCCTAAAGTAAGCTTGAATTGGTTATGAAATAAACTGGAATTGAATGAAGGTCTAACCTTGAATTTGTTACGAAATGAGCTGAATTGACTGGCAGTCTATGCTTGAATTTGCGATGAAATGGGCACAGTGAAATGGCCGAGAATAAAATGATAGTCTGAAATTGAATTTTGCTATAAAATACGCTAGAATTGAATGACAACCCAAGGTGAGTTTGAATTAGCTATGAAATTGACTGGAATTGAATGATAGTCTAACCTTGAATTGGCTACGAAATAGGCTGGATTGATTGGCAGTCTATGCTTGAACTTGTAGTGAAATGGACTGGAATGGAATGGCAATGAACTAGGCTGGAATTGAATGGCAGTCAGTACTTGAAATTGCAGTGAAATGGGCTGGATTGGAATAGCGGTCGATGCTTGAATTGGCTATGAAATGGACTGGAGTGGAATAGCAGTCTAAGCTTGAATTTGCGGCCAATGGCGATCACTGCCGGTCAAGCTGAAATGGAAAGTAAGAAGTTTGTGGTTACTATGGATATGAAATGACCGATCATGTTCGTTCTTGCATACCGCAACCTGAGGCTGCAAGGCAAACGAAATACAGTACAGTATAGTACCGGTACTGGTCTACTGTCTAGTGGTAGTTAATACCGTACAGTACAGCACTGTCATGGAGCTGCAGATATCGTACTGTACTGTACACTGTACACTGTACAGTTCGTGGTTGGAGTACTGTACTGTACCAGTACTTCAGCATTCAACGGATTGCTTTGACGTTCAAAATGGCTGGAAGCGATATTCAAGTTGGTGAGGAGAAGCACAATCATGCTGTCAGAGGAAGACGGAAATCGGGACGCGTTTGGAAAGAGCAACATGCCAGGTAGAATACTTCGTTAATCTTGATGTGAATTTGAACTTTATTGGGAAAGGAGACGGTACATTAGGTAGCATAGCACTTGAGCAGCTCAAGCTTGTAAGATGCACTTTACTACTGGAAGTGTGCAGCGGATTTTTACCTGGACGATATGGGGATTACATGTAATAGAATCCGATGTTGGTATAGGGATGGAAAGAAGATTGCATGACGGTCAATTTCTAAATAATTTGTGGCAATGTAGAGATAGAATTTAGTATTGTACTCGTAGACTTGATGCAAAGTGATATTATAACAGGTAGTGCACAGATACTAGTACGAAAGCGATGCATTTTTCATCTGTGTGATAGTAGTATAAAGATGGAGACAACATTTCCTCTCGATCTGTTCCTAAAGAATAGGTCGTAGTGTAGAGATAGGGTTTAGTCTCGTGTAGATTTGATGTAAAGTGGCCTACTGTACGTGATAGCTTCGTTGCTCGCCATACCTTTAAAATGGATAGCTTAGAGTAAGAGGGATGGAAGGGAGTACTGGATAACTCAAATTTGAGCGCATACTCATTATACGATAAAATCTCAACAGGAGCAACGCAAAAATGAATGTCAAGCCCTTGCGTTCATCCTGGAAGGCGAAAATGAATAAGAAATTAACTAACCAATCCATTAAAGATTTTGAGAGAGAGCTTAAAGATACCGACCGAAAAGCAAAGGAAGTAAGTTCATGAACTAGTAACTGACATTTAAATCATTCCAATGTAACAGCTATATGATTGATAAAGCTCGTTAGCGTCATAAGCTAATTAAATCAATCGTTCCTCTGGCAAAATTTTCTGATTGATTATATTTGTCATCCAATATCTGGATTTCAAATCAATTCCCTCCAGCATTGAACTGAAACCATTCAACAGGAATCCTAGCTATTCTCTCAGTTTATCTTGCGTAGTGATCAGAATTTTAGTGTGGCAGCTAGCTGCTCTTTACAAGTAATCGCTATCATAAGCTACATACGTATATGTTATCAGTTACTATCGTTTGCGGATGCATATAAGAAACTGGGAACCAATCTTTTGAATATATAGTATGGAAATATATATATATATATACTGTGCGTGTATATAGCTACTAGTGGTCTATTTCTGGTACAGCGTATCAGTTCATATCAGTACAGACTCCTCAAACCTTAGCTATTTAATACATTCCAAATATAACAGAGGCAGTCATTTTGCTGTCCAGTTGGTCGAGATGAATACTACGTTGAATAGACAGTAGTCACGACTATGATAACTACGGAACATATTCTAATCTAGGAGAAAAGACTAATCATGGAGGCCAGGAAAAAGCTCAAGGAAGAAAATGCTAGAAAGGCAGAAATCGTGCAAGTGGTAAATAGACTATATTTTGTAAAATTTACAGCAACTATATCCATCGTTTTGCAATACTGTAGATAATTCATTATCACAGAAATACTATAAATTATGTCATTGCTTGAAAGAATGTGATATGTATCTTATAAAGTAACCTTTATTTCATTGAATAATAGATTACTAAATCCAGCACACTGAAGAAAATGAAGAAAAAACATTTAAAAACTATCAGAATGGGATAAATAGATATTTTACTATTAGAATAACATACGATTTACTTAATCAGTGCAATGTACATAACAGTGTAAAGCACCCTGATTATCCGTTATTGTTACGATTGGGCAACAATGTCTTTGGATATTTATATAAAGTATGTGAAAATTGATGAGGATTTTTTAGATATTATATACAATTGTAAAAGATAATAGTATGACAATCATGGCAGTCAATATAATACGTTTTTATAAGACTCATTCCTTATCATGGCTGTCGTAATGCTCCACTAACTTTGAATAAACCACATGTGATACACCTGTAATTAGTGTTTGATTTAAAAATTCTAATACTAATTGCACGATAGGCCATTTTGCATCGCTGATATCATGATTACCGTTGGCCATCCATGTTTGCAACAATACAATCATTTCTATCGGGAAAATTTTGATGATATCTCTCGCTGGAGGGAGATCATCGATGCAATGAATATGCCTAGATTTAAAACTATCAACAACGCCATTTACATCTGGTTGCATAGTATGAAATACTTTGCCTATCCATTCACAATAGGACTGTAGAGCTGACTTTTGGTCATTTTTGTTCACAATATTGTTAGCATAATCAATCATTACCTTCCAAGGAATTTCTTCCCACTTTTGCTGATAGAATAATACTAAGGTAGCAACGAGAACTTTCTCTAGTGTATTCATTGCTATGCTAGGGATAGAGAGGTTTAACTTAGAGCATATATCTTTAACGATAGCGTCAATAAATGATGTTATATTATCAGGACGTGTATAACTTGCTTCAACATTACTATTCCGAATTGGACTGGAGCCAATCTGATCAGCTGGTATGAGTTGGACATGTAGATCTTGAGTCAGAGATAGATCATGCTCTCTAGCCAGCCATGTATCCTGTAAACTTATTAATATAGATTTTTGACAACTTCTGGACAAGAGTTCGAAGGCTGCTTTAAAGACACCTTGAATACTATAAAACCATACACCATTGGAGGTCCCACGGATGCCTTTGATGCTTATATTATCCATGGTTAACTTAGTTGCTAGACCCTCTTTTGCATAATTTGAATGAACTCGAGGTAAATTCTCTGTTCTGATGCTGGATGATTTTAATACATCAGCACCCAAGTATAATGGAATACATTGGCTGTCTTCTATCAACATCGTACTTACATATTGATATTTTATCAAGTAGATTACGCGAAGCTGCAGAGTACCTACATCGATTGTTGCTAAACTAATTCTATTCATAGCAGAGCGTTCAATGTCTGCTAGGGAATGAGTAAAAATTTGTAACTCTTTCTCTTCCAGATGTGCCACTATTGGTCAGTCGGTCTCGCCTTGAATCTTCAATATACAGTACACTATGCAGCACGGGCGTGGGTATACATAACTTACTCTCGAATTAATTCTTACAAGGCTTGTAGGGCCTTGTAGATATTATTAAGTGCAACAACTTTCAACTATGCTTATCATTATTCCATCCAGTTAGCAATAGCCTCGCTCTCTAGCAATCTACAACCTGTATTTTCTATAGAATTTGGACTTCTAAACTACAGCACAGTAGTGTTTTGAATTAACCTATCGTCGATGTTGATTGATTCAAAGCTCACTGTATAGTCGTCGAGAATCCAAAGTCAGTAAAAGAACAAGCAGCAATTGTCAATTTGTCACTGCAGTTATTAACAATTATCTAACATGCAGTACTCGATTTACTGCAGAAGTCCATCCTTCTGGACTGCTGTACACAGGGACTAGTCTGGAGAACGGTTCGGTTCGGTTCAATACCTTTACGATCTACTATATATCAGGGACTAAAAGGAGAGACGGCGTAATACCGTACTGTACTGTACTGTACGCTAATGCCACAAGCACTTGCGCAGTTGGAGGTCCCTAACTGATTAGAGTCTCTGTCTGTTTACTGTGTTCAGGGCCCCCACTTTACCTTTCTAATACGCTCGGTTTCCTAGACAATCATGGCGAGACTAGCGGTCGTAGGCCTTAAGGAGCTTTTACAAGTTATTGCAGAGAACAAGAGCCGTTACACGACAATTTTTGTCAAATATTACGGAGATTATGATGATCATGGCCTTAGTTGGTGTCCAGATTGTGTAAAAGGTAAGTTACATGCTAATACTGGAGGATCGAAGCTTTTGCAGGCATGTTACAGTGAATGACAGTATTCTTAACATGTTCTAGTCAAATAGATCGTGGCTTGGTTGAAATATTGCTCTCCACTCAAATTGAACTCTGTGTACGATAATTAGATTAAACTATTAGTCACATTGCTATAGGAAGTCGTTGCTATTCTATCGCTCCACAGTAAGCTTTACTTTAAGTATATAAATGATATTTTACAGAACTAATTAGCTAATTATCTTACTCGAAATACTGCACTCTCTTACTATTCTTCTCCATCCAAAGTCATACTAATAACTCACTAATAGCACTCATTTTTGAGTAGGACAGAGATTTAGTAGTCCTTGACTGTACGTATCATAGTGCAAACGCATTCAGTAGCTTTATCTTATTGATGAATTGAACTTCATTACATGATCAGTTAAAAACGTATTTCGACAAAGTAACCTTGTCTATCAATGCCATCATAAATTTGTATGTTGATTTCGTACTATAGAGCTTCGTCATTTGTTAAAGGGTATCGAAATTAAGCTGTATCTGTAAATAGTATGACGCTAATTTTGTCATCAGTTAAAGGATATCAAAATTAAGCTGTATCTGTAAATAGTATTATACCGAACAGGTGCTTTACTTGTAAGCATGATCTGTTCTACTGACCAGAGGACAAAGTAGAGTACATTGCTCTTCTGAGTTCTTCTAGCAGCTGCCACTCTAGTGGCGGCCTAGAAATACACTTCTATGCTAATTTAACTTAGGATCGCGACTACTACTACGAAAAATGATTGACAATAATTAATTACAATATTAGACGTTGTACAAATCGAAATAAATGATACTAATGACTATGTTTGGTAAATACATTCCATTTAGCTGAACCCATTATCGACAAAATTTTCAGTGAACTGAAGGATAACGTGCTGTTAGTTTCCTGTGCTGTTGGAGACCGACCAAAGTACAGTATTAAACTTTCAATTTTTATAATGGCTTTTAACTTAATCCATAGATATGTAGTCACATACACGAGACATTTAAAAGTTTTTAATCAATGATTCTTTCAACGTTAATTGAAGAGGGTAATGTAACACAGAATTCGACGTCAATGTGTATCATGCGTCAGCGTTAACATCAATTTATATATGAACATTAATTGTTATCATGATTAAGGTGGAAAGATCAAGAGAATGAATTTAGAAAACATGAAATCATTCAGCTGAAGTCTATTCCAACCTTAATCGAATGGGGAACTGTAAGATATTTTACTTGAATTAATAAAATAAAATACATGGAGATGAACTAACAAACAACGCCGTGATTGCACAGTTATATTACATTATGACAATAGTAAGTAACAGTCCGTCGATTTTAAGCGTTAATTCCTTCACTTAATTCTGCACATGAAAAGTATGGTAAAAAATTAACGATAGATGAATAATTTCGTTCAGTGTTACAGACAATTTGTAATTGCTATAGCATATCCATAGAATGTATGACATTAATGCCGCATAAAATAAGACAGTAATTACAAATGCATAGGTATTTTGTTTACATGAAGTCGTTATGAGGTCAATATAAAATGAAGGGATTAGAAAGATCCCGTATAACCTAAAGTAGTTTAATTTCAAGTTTTCATTTATTTTACAGGATCGTACGGTAATTGAAGAAGATTGTCGAGATGAAAGCCTAGTTAAACAGTTTTTTCGATTAAAGTAGTTTCTTGCAAGGTCCTGGTTATGGCGATTTAAAAATTCAACTAGTCGTCTTATTTGGAACATAGTTAATTACATAGTTATTGCATAGCGTTATCATGAGTTGGCAATATCTTGTGCTTGTTCACGATTAATCTTCCTTACTGATATCTCCATGTTTCATTCTTGCGATGCTTTGCAAAACATCGTCAAATCTTGTCATTTTATCACGTTTACTTCTGTTAGTCATGGAAGTTATTTTAACAGGCCGTAGTAAGTCCTCTTCCGCATCGATATCATCGAATATATCAAAGCTACAATAACAAATACGGAGAGATCACGATTGCAATTTGGTATATCTGTTTATGTGACTAATATACTGCGCAAATACGTAAAGTACTATAATCGTTAATAAATGCGAGGCTACAAATCTACTGTATATTGATTGGACTGAGTATTAAAACAATCAATCACCGATATTGCTTATAATTTTCAATTTTATTGGCATAAAGTGCGTAACAGATACTGTCGCACCGTGGCCATTATTCAATCATAGCAATTTGTCGTACTGTTCGTTGTCTAGCATCTTCTGGTTTACTTTCAAGTACTGTATACCGTATAGTGATGACGTTTAGAAGTCAATCAGTAAAGTTTGATCCGAATAATACCTCAATAAACGTACAGTATTGTGATCGATAAGAGTTAAGACCAACGAATCTGTATTACTAGCATTGTTCTGTTAAGCCCAATTCATAGCAAATCTTACTGAGATAAAGAATCTCAATCTTACAAATAGAATCTTTCAAGCATGCTATACGAACATATCCTACCTACTGCTTTCTTGAATAGTTTGACTTTGGTGCCTGGCCTCTGTTATTAGCTTATTTTGGCCATGACTCTGATCAGGCTTAGGCTGCTTAGCATTTTGTTTAGGGCTCGGGTATCTACGGGTTAATTCTAATGTACCTTCCTTGTGTATTTTTTCGTATAAAGAGGCTATTTCGGTATCGTCCAAACCTTTCAAAGTTTCAGTCATTTTGATTAATTAACTGGTGGAGTACATTTTATCAAATCAATGCTTGCAAATATCCTAGAGTCAGCATTCCATGCAGTAGACAATCGTTGATGCTGTTCTATTTCAATGAGTTTAATTTATCTGCTTGCACTTTATTTCTCTTAATTACTTCAATGGCAGGTTCGCTATGGGGGCCAATAAAAAGGGTACCAAGTAGATCGGAATATTTGCTGGAGATTGTTGTATAAGCACTTGCATATAGTCTGTATGGCTATGTGTTGTACACTTGTAGTCTGTAGATTAATTAACGTACTGTACGCCGCGTCATTAATATTATCGAGCTTCGTGCAGTCCACTTGCCAGCTCTCGATCAGTTGCTCCTTCCGCCTTGAACTACAGAACTTCAATTCACAGAACACCTTGACAAAGATACCATAAAATCTTTAGGGTAACCTGAACATTTTAAATTATAAGTTGAAAGCTTACTTCATTATCCGCTAGAGCGTGAAGGTAGAATATTGGACTTACTCAAGATTGGATCATTTCATTAAGAGTCGACTGCCCCACTTGCAACCACAGCCATCTTGACCATCTCTTTCAAGGTAAAACCGTCCATCTGGTGTTTACGTTTTGAAGCGGCGCGGCACTATTACAGTACAGTACAGTACTGTACACTGTACGCTACTGTACTGTACTGTAGTTCCCGCGCAAACTCGGTCCGTACTGTACAGTACAGTACAGTACAGTACAGTACAGTAAGGTACTGTAGAAGTCCACAATGCCATGGAAACTAGTCAGTGAAATCCGATCAGATTACTCATTGCACTACGGACTTGCGGACTGTCTGCTATGAACTAACAAATTCCAAAATATGGAGAACCTACAACGAAATATAGCGTCCTATTATCGATCGAAAGATCCTATTAGAAATTTAAAAATTAGGTGAACACTCTATCCTACATGTAGAATAGAATTCGTCCTTTGTATAGCTCAAATGTGATAATAAACTTATCAAATATAATATCATTGATGATAACTTGGATCCGTTTCCCGAATCATGAATGGGTGGCGCTTAGCATACTGGATCGACATAATTGAAATTTAGCAGATAGAGAGTTAATGTTTTAACTCTTTATTTTTATGTATTCTATTTAGAGTCACATTGAAGAAGGTTACAGCGGCCAGCGTAGTGCCGACCTTCGCCCATGAAAACAAAAAGCCAAGTGATCAGATTGAAATGCAAACAATAAAGAAGGAAGATGAAAGTATGGAATTGACGCAGATATCGATTACGTATTAAACTTTGCTTTCACTGTTTTTGAATACATAAAATAAGACAGCAATATTTCCACGATATGGCATTTGTTTAAGAACTCTTATAAAATATAATGATTATATCGTATTTCAATTTCTGTTATAGAAACTGAGAATAAAGCCGAGGAATGTGTTATTGGATGGCAAGAGAAACTGTATTGTAAGGTAAACTGAACGCAACATCATATAACTTTTTAATAAGATAAAAATATCGAACGGATAATGTTAATGGTTTATGGTATCGCTGAAATAAGTTATCAGCTAATGTCAAATCTCATTTAGAGGGAAACAGATTATTATGCTGATTCGGAAAACTGTAATAGCGTCCTGGATCACCTTTATCATAAGGAAGTTCTGTCCGTTAGGTAAGATACAACAGATTTTTCTCCATAAATTGATTAATCATTATTACTGAGCGTTAAATTGTTAAAATGAGTTCTAATCCACTCTAAAGTAACGCTTTAAATTGATCAACGTTAGAAATAGCAGGACAAACAAAAGGTTGTTTAGTTATGTGGATCATGATAATTTTGCCGATGATGAGAATGTAAGTCAACTGATTCGATATAGGATAGAAATTTAATAGTAGAGCTCTTTAACTCTTACTAATGGAGTAATGGAATCATATGATATAAGCATGAGTTATGCTTCTAACTTGCAATGCACCTTTTACTTGAATTGAACTCAAGTTTACAGACGGTACTTCGATAGCTTGGATTACTAATAATAGCAATTGCTGAATATTTATTACTATATTTTTTGTAGAACGACGATGATGAAACAATCTATGTCACTCCTGTTGCGAAACGCATTTCTAATTTAAGAAGAAGACGCTTAGCTAATAAATCAATGGGAGATAGAGCGTAAGAGATGACTATAAATACGAAAACCAAATTTTTTTAATTAAAAAAACTCTATCTAATGCAGTAATTCCTACGAATAAATATTAGAGACAAAGACGGCAACAAAGTGGCATTGCAGTTCAAGAACCCTATAAGCGACGATTCCTCTCGCACCTTATCTAAATTAATTGTTCCAGAGCAAAGCATGTTCATAATGGCAGATTTAAGCAATGACGATAGGTTGCAAAGATAATTTATTATTGCCGTATACACATAACCTTTGATTTACTGAGCATAATATTTTTTATTTATAAATAAATCAGAGAGCCAACTAAAGAGGACGAATACGTGCTATGTTCTGTTACGGTAATGAGTTGGTAACTCTCTTTCTTCAAATACTTGTTTCACTATTAACGTTATTATTTGCCGCATATAGATTAATAGTAATGGATTAATTTCAATTAAACCGGATTTTAATACGTCAAATTCCTCATATCGTATAGTTACTAAATCAGAATATCAAGGTATTGCTGATGAAACATTATGTTTAATAATACTAACCGATTGAAAAATTCTCAAGCATGTGATTGTCATTTTCCGCAGAGGTTTATGAATATCGTTTAGAACATTGTAGCAAACCAATGTCTAAAGTAGAAGAAGATAGGGAAAAGAAGGCACTTAAAGAGGTTGTTAGCTCTCCACATATTAAACCAGATATGATATTGTATTCCTCATATATCAATGCCTACATTATACCAATCTCATTCGTAGCTTGAATTTTAATCTGATATATCAGATTTTAAATACTAAGACCTTGCACCTATTTAGTTATATCAAAGGCACGGTGCTTACCAAGCAAGTCTAATCGGTACAGAATTTGCAACACCGGTTAGTTACAAAATATTACTTACAATGCTTTTTTCTTCTAACAATTTGTCAATTTTAAGCAAATGTTAACATTTGATCGATATTAACTAATAATTAGCCACCCTCTGGAACTTTAAGAGTAAACATCTTTGGAGAAATTAGTACGTTAATCAATTTACATGCATCTAAAGAATGATATTTTTCCGCGATTATTAAATATGAATTATCACAACTTTTCTGTAGATATGGCAAAGAATTTTGAATACAATGATATTTATATCCACTACTGTTTATATCTTACAACTGGTATGATCACTGGAGCTATTTCACGCTACATACATACAGACGGCTGCGGTTTAGCTAATTACTTACCTGCTGCTGTTGCTGTTGTTATAATTTAGAATGGAAAACAAGAGACTCGGACGTAATTGCTGGCTTTACCCAAATTTCTAAGTGCAAAGGCGATAAAGTATGATAATTGCCCAGTAACCTTAATTTTATGTAATTTTATCGGCTACTTTAATGCTAAAAATCAAGTAATTTTATACTTACAACATATGTCTATGACTTGTGGTAATTAAGGAAAAAACTGCTCATTTTGGGCATCCTTTCGAGTTTGAAATTACGTATGAGAAAGCAAATTTTAACCAAGGTATGTTCGGAATGTCTAGATGTATACATGCGCTTTCAAATGTATGTTCCATTCAATTTTTTAAGCATTCGTATTTTTTAAACACTATTAAACATCATATAGTTGGTGTATCAGAGTGGCCACAGTTATTCATAGAAGTAGTATCTTGCGATAGTTGGCAAAGATATCGTATAGAGGGATACGGTTATACCTTAATACCGCAAGCTCCAGGTATGATTAACTGTGATAAGTTGTAGTATAATACATTTGATAGTAGTAAGCTTATAATATGTTAATACAAACGTAAATTTACGCTTTAAGCGACAAGTAGACATGACAAACTGTGAGAAATCGTAGTACTATATGCATTATGCTGTAGTTATAAACTTAAAACTGTGTTAATATAACGATACAGGTAATTTAAGTGTTTAAAAACTAGCAAAAATCATCTTACCAATACATTATTATTATTATAACAGGTATGCATAAAATCGAGATTCAGACGTGGAGACCGGTGGCCCCCGATTTAGTTTCCGAAATGAGAAGATTTTTTATTGGTGGTGCACCTGAACTTAACGATATAACTTATGTTTCACATCCTGCAGGAAGTGATGTAATTATAGCAGCGTATTTTAATGATATAAAATATTAGATTTAATGCTTGAAAGGTATTAAAAGACCAAAATTGTATTGTTGAACGATCTAGGGGCCATGTCTTAGCAAATATGGTTTAAAAACTGCTAGTTCGGGTAGTGTTACGGTTAAAATGAATGTACTGCAGCAATCGCAGTAAGAAAGCATGATTTTTATCTCAACAACCGTCTTGATAACAACAAAATTGGAATTCCTACTTTTCAATAATGTATCGATCCTTATTTTAGATTCTTTGTGGATAAAACAAAGTCTCGTAAGAAGGTTGGAACGTTGCTTGATAAACTCGGGTTAGTTTTTTCGCTAAGTTACATTGTGATTATGCATTCAATAATGCCAGTAAAATCTGATAAAAATTTACTTAAGTAAACAAAGTTAATTCTGCTACATTTATTATTTCCTTTAGTGGCGAGGAGACGCAAGCAGCTTTGGCTAAAGTAATCGGTAATAACTATGAAAGCACTATAGTTCAGTGAAGATAATATTTACTTTTTATTTTTAATAATATTTATGTCCATTAGATGCCTTTCAAAAAGCGCGAAATCGTTTAAAGGCAGCACGAGGAGAATTAGATGGAATCTATTAGTGATAATTAAGTACGGCCAATACCTCGTGTGTATTTTATCGGCAGTTTCCAGTTTTGGAGATTAAAATTTTTGAAGTCAAGATCTTGACATCCACTGAAGCCAAAGAAACGATAGCTGATATTGAAAATAGTAATGTACAGTTTCGTATATATATAGCTATAAATATTTACTAACTTATTTCATCTGTAAACTAGTTTGTTACTAGTGCTGCTTGGGATTACAAATTTTGAAACATTCTAATAGGCAGGTTGTAATTTCTAGAAAGAATAACAATTTTATTTGTAACGTAATACCGTCTTTCGCTACAAATTCCTTTAACTGTAAATAAAACCTACGAACTGCAACTTATATTCATTTAGATATCATCCATTTCGCATGCAAATAAAGGCGAAGCTGATATACGTATCTCATTGGGTTTATATACAATTTATATCCATAGTAGTTAGTAAACTATTACGTAAATTTATTTTAGTATCCTTTCATTTTATTTCTTGAATGAAATTTTGACCTCAATTACAAAATTTGCTATTTAAAATATTCTCGGTTTCACTTGCAACAGAGGTGAGGCAGTGCTGATGTACACAATAGCCTCATATTCGATTTCCGTCGTAGTTAGCAAGCTATCAGATAATTTTTTTAATATCCTTTAAAATTACTTCTAGGGTGTAATCTTACACTTACACATGTTATATTTCATCATTTTAATAGATTAATTATTAAAAGTTCTTGTATGGCGTATACAATTATTCACCGCTACAATCAAAGAAACTATAAAATTTTTCCTCTTAACTTTCAGCTAGAATAGGGGTTTGTACGGTTGCGTCATAAAGTCGTTTTTGCAACGATATTGAAGAGATCACTGATGTAGTCATTAGATATTAATTTAAGCCCTGGTTAAGGTGAATAATAAATATTCACATTATATGCTCTCGCTAATGTTCACCCCTTAACTTATCAGAGGTAAAATAGCATTGATCATATTAAAAACAATCGTAAATCTAGTATTTTAATTCAATTACCATGGGATATTGCTACCGTCATAACCTAACAGTTTTCCGCTGTCACTTAAATTAAGATTTTCGATAACATTCATCATCCCTTTTATTGACTCTTCGACAAAGAGAGGTGCTTTTGGACCACCTAGATCAGTACGAACCCAGCCTGGATGCATTGTGATAGCGATAATATTTCTTGGAGCAAATTCAATAGCCATACTTTTTGTAGCCATGTTAAGTGCAGCCTGATGTAGAATGGATATAAAAATACAACCGAATTTAGAGTTATGATTACGTGGACCTACAGGTGAAATGCTTCATGTAAAAATTGTTAGTGTAGTAAAGCCAATGAAGGTATGCTTACTTTACTACATCTGTAAGGGTATAAGACTCCAGATTCAGCATTATTTGATTCGATAGAACCAAGGATACTAGACATATTCACAACAACTGCAGGTAGAAAGATATCACGAGTACTTGATGGGTTTGATGCAGCTCTTAGTAATCTATAAAACGCCTGGAGAATAAAGGTTATAATCTATTAGCAGATTTTAAGTTAAATACCTCACTAAATAGTTATGAATGGTCAATCGAGGTGATTCCAATTGTATTGATGAATAACGCCGCCTACTTATACCTTAGTTAACATGATAGGTGATGAAACATTAACATCCATAACTTTCATGAAATCGCTTCTGTTCACCGTTGGAATTGGTCCGCCATTTATTGATATTCCAGCGTTATTAATAAGTAAATTTAGGCCATTACCGCCGACTTTTTTGTTAACAACCTCAACAGCAGAATGGATATCTTGATCATTTTGAACATCTATGAAATAGTGGCGTAGCCAATAATTTAAGCTAGTAATCTCTTTGGCAAGTAGTATAGGTGGATGGATGTTTTATAACACTAATATGAAGTTATTCACTAGAATAATGGAGTTGTTTTTCATTAATGTATAGTAATTCTAATTATCAGGTCAACAATCACGCACTCATTACTAGTCGTTACTAAGAGGTAGCTTATGGACGAATTTTGTAGAGTAATAATATATCATCAGCATAAGATCATACCTAGTTGTACAATTTGAACTTTAGAATTTTCTTTAGCAATGGAGAGCAATTCCTACGACAGAGAAATCAATAATACATCTTATGTACAGCTTGTAACCATTGCTGGGCATTTTATACAGTAGTATGAGACTACCCATAGTCGACCTCGGTTGAAGTGACAAGATATTTAATCTATTTCCTAATTCATGCAATGTTTACAAACAACCAAGTTAAATGACAGATTGCAGCAATCTGCTACAGAGATTATAATAATCATTAATTCCTTGCAGTTTAATGCCTCTAATTTGCTTATCGAGCCGCTATACATTCATTGCAGGTATTACAACGGTTCCGTAAGCATATCCTCAACCATTGCTAAAAACCTGTACAGCGCCATGGTTACACAATACAGTACAACTTTATTCCTCAGGCATTCTATCCGAGCGACAAGTTCATGTACAATATATTGCTGTACTACGAGTTTATTACTGTAATATGCAGATTTCTACTTTCTATCCACATTCGTATACTGCATTATGTCACATCTTGACATTATCATTATTAAAGAGAACAAATCAATTCTCGATACATAGTCCTAGTTTACTACTGCCATTTCAATTAACAACTCACTTGAGCATCGTTTGGCTTGCGGCAAGCAGCAAAAACATGTCGATAGTTTTCATTTTTAGCCAACTCTTTGGCAAACTGCAAGCCAAGACCTCGGTTCGATCCAGTTATAAAGACTGCTCTATTGTACGCCATATCCTGCACATTCACAAATTAGAGCTGCAAGTATTAAATTCAAGTTTTAGCACGGATTACTCTTAGCCTTGATGACTTCTAGCTCATCTCATTTCAGCTCGATAGGGTAATGTTATCACGTCCCAGTCTCAAACTGGTGTCCAGTAGGCAATAAGTTTAATGTAGGCCCCCATACAGTCCATTTGCGTATGCTGGTAATCTCAACGATCCTTGATCCTGCGGCTTGCTCTTTTCACCATAGTAACTGACCCTTGACCACAAGGGTCAAGGAAGCCACAAAACTGTGTTACTACGTATCTTGTCTTGACAGGACTACATGTATTAGTTACTATCGCAGTCCACGACTGTATGGAGTACTATATAGTCTTTCCGGACTTGGGCATCAATTGCAGAACACTACTATACTATTCCAAAAGCACCCCATATGCTCCATGGAATGAATTAACTGGAACTACTTAACAGTCTACTGTTTCGTGATTGTTTATAAGAGCATCGGAAATCGGGAAACAAATGCTAAGAAATTAGGCCAGATATCCGCCTGATTTATCGTACTTTAATCAGTAAATATAAAAATAATAGCAGTCTAGCACTGTACAGGATTAGGGATAAAAGACAAATGAGGATACTAAAAAGAGTCTAGAATCTATACTAGCCAGACTACATTACTGCAAGACAGTGGCTAATAGCTGCTTTTATGCATATACCCGTTTATTGATCAAGATTTTATGGAGGAAGAAATGAAATCTTCTATTCCTTCCAACGTACAGTATGACAAGAGTAGTGTAGGACCTGCCACTAATGTACTACTCTGAATGTGATGCCTTCATAAAACAGCAAATAATAACAATTCTCACGCTCATGGACCAACAGGAATGGTGTATTATTTACTACTACTGTAAAAGAGAAAAGATGCAATCGTATACGTAATTTAAAAAAGTGTATAGATTAGTTTAAATAATTCTTGCTGCCTACATCACGTTCTTAAGGAAGTTCATCACAGATGAAAGTAAACGAATTTCATACATTATGATACAGATCACAAAGACAGTAAAATTTTTGTAAACGAATAAAACGCAGAAGCAGTTAAAAAGTCGAGAAATTTAAGATACTCGTAACATTCTGTGTGGGAGTATACAAGACATACAATTTACAATAAAATTTTAATAACTCTTTTTCGTATTTACAGTGAAGGATACGGTACACAAGTATTTCGCCAAATTTATAGCATGGCAAAATTATTTAAATTTACACAAAGTAGCAATAGCTTCAATTAACTTAGGATTACGATTTACTGTAAAAGTTAATTAAAGATATGCCAATACCAACGCCAAATTTAGCGACCGGTCCAACGTTTATAGCTTTGATGTAATAAATCTTAATCTAGCGAGTTGTCAATGTAGATGTGTCTACGTAGTAAAGGGATGGTAACTTACTAGCTGTCATTATCACTAGCCTTATTAGGTGAATCGACAGCTTTATTCGAGATTACGTCTTGTGGTACGTTTGTGCTTTCAGTTATTTCACTCTTACTAGGGCACGAAGCAGTTTCGTTAAAACTAGCCGAACTTAATTCAGTTAGTTTTTGAGTTGATATAGGAAACGTTAGGGCTGAATAACGATAAGGTGAGTGAGAAGCTATATCTTCACTATTACTTAAGCCCCCTGCATTAAGCGGTATGACCGAAGTTGGCATAGTATTTGGAGGTGGGGATATTGGTTCCGTAGCTAACGGAGAATCTTCATCGGATGTGATATCTTCTATACCGTCACCAGTCAATTTTGCCGCTTTAACTACATTTCTGCTATCGCTGCTAACTATGTCCATTTGTTCTACTTCTACTGAACTGTCAGATGATTGATCCTCTTCCGGTAAATTTTTCTCCTCTACCACGTCATCCTCGTTGTCTGAATTACATTTAGCTTCTATGACGTCTTTGCTGCACGAATCTTCAGTAGCATCCTCTTGTGGATAGCTTGGCTCTACTGATTCTTCTTCTGCAGGGTCATCAACTACACACGCATTATTCGCAGATTCGTTACAGGGACGCTCTGAATCTTCACTAGTCCGCGATTCATAATAATATCTAGAAGTATTAGCATCAGTTCCGTCTAGACCGAGACTCATAAGTGCAGCTATCGCAACATTTTCTTTCGAGTCATTTTGGTTACATGCATTGGAATGACTAGCGAAAGGCGCTAATTCAGATTGGACAGTCTCGGAAGCTTGACTCTCATCTCCTTTTACGGGATCGTAGTCTTCCTGCTTTGAATCAGAACTAGCTACAGTTATGATTTCGCTTTGTTCCATAACATCGTCAGAGCTCCTTTGCACTTCATCAGTTTCCATCGTTGACATACTATTATCCACTTCAACTTCATCCATTTTAGTCTCTTTGGTATCCGATACGGAAACCTGTGACGCCAGCTGAGTCTCGCTTGGCACTTCAACGGGTTCAGTCGCTGTTGTCGGAGCATCTAAATTCTCTTCCTTACCTTGGACTAACGATTCCATCTCAGAATTGGATGCGGTAACGCTAACATCTTCTGATTCATTTTCTTGATCGGCTGCTTCTAGTTTTGATGAAATCGTAGTTGTTGGAATATCTTCAGTTTTATCCAATGGATTGGTGTCTACTTGAATATCATGCTGGTCTTCCGGGTTGCTTACGACTGGAGCGTTCAAATTTGAATTATCTTTATTATTAGAATTAGCACTCTTTGCTTTATTTGTTACATTAGAGGTCTTATTGGATTTAGCATCACTTTGGCCACTTGTACGAGAAGATGTACGATGAGATCGATTGCTTTGACTGCCAGATTCATTTTTTGATTGCTTAGAACTACCAGAAGAAGCGCCCTGCTGAAAATGATATTATAAAAAGCAACTAACGTTAGAGAGGTACGAAAACGTAATTTATTTCAATAATTATAATCGCTTACGAACCTTATCCATTTTACTTTGCAACACCAACGCTTCCAAATTATGCTTTTTCTTATAATTAAAATAGTAATTTTTACACTGGGCTTCTGTTTTTGTTATTACCATGCGAGAAATTTCAGACCACAGGCGACCATGAAGTTGTAGGCCTAAAGCGTAGCGCAGGTAAACAAAACAAGCTATAGCATATCAATTGTATTAATAAAGAATAATTGTAACCTTAGTTTGCTAACCTTGCTTTGCGATTTCAATTTCAGCCTCGGTCCAACGTGGAGTTTCTAAATTCAAGACGTAGTAGGCAAGGAAAGATTGGATACCAAAATTAATGTTGAAGTAGTGAATGATTGAAAAGTTATTTATAAATTCAAACAGTTGCACACGAAATCTTACCGACTCCTCGGTGGTGTTGCCCATCGGTACTCTTTTTGTCAGGATTACTATAGCAGAGCATGATCGCACAACCTGTTATCCATAAAATCATCTTAATTGTGATATTACAGTACTTGTTAAATACCTTGATGAAGAGGATTCATCAATCTTCATAGTTTTGGCACTTTTCGGTAGATCTGTATCACCCCTTATTTGTATATCAGGATTCATAGGACTGTTGTCATTCATCTAAAAATTAATCGGTCAAACTATTACACAAGCATTGTGGCAAAAAAACGCAAGCTACACAAATGTTTCGAAAGATAAGATATCCTCGAAACGCTTATGATACTGATGTTATTTAACTGCCTGTGCTATCTGGCTAAAATAATATTAATATGACGCATTGAATTACATCTTTCAATTCTCTCTAAGTGAACTCAATAGATAGATTCTTATTCGCACTAATACTTACTGTTACTCTTCTTTTTCGTTTTCCAGTTCTATAATATTGCTTATAATTTACTTTTTTCTTTGTCATATAGTAAAAGTGAACACAGTCTTGGACTGACTATAGTTCAAATGGAGATATGATTGCAGTTATGAACCGATTTTTGATTCAATCATACGAAACATATAAATGGGCATTTGGAATCAAACGATAAGTTATTAAATACAATTATACCTTGTTATAAAAAAATGAAGCGATGGTGAAAAAATCCTTTGGATATAAAGCAAATCTATGAAAATGTTGTAAAAATTAAACACTCAGTTCGAATAATGCTTTAAACTAAACTTCAAAATACTGTAAGCTTACTTCTCAACGAAGAGTTTCTTTTCTTCTTCAGTCCATATACTTTGAATTTTTCGTTGTAACTCAAAGGCTTTGATGTCAGTAATAAGGCCTTTTTCAAGGGTAAAGTAAATATATTATTTTCTTTAATCAAAGGATAACTTACTTTTTTGTTAAGCACTAATGCATTACTAACCATTATTATTTACGAATTTAACCATTTTATCATCGTCATCTATCATCTGTGGAGGGTAAATGGCTAGATCTTTGACCTCATCGTGCTTTCGCTGTAACAAAAAAATGTATATTTATTACAACAGCAGTACAATGAAATCTGATGAACTCATTTCAACCAGCACCTCACAATATTCTGATGCTGTATCACCCCCATATTCCGGTTCGCCTCTGGCTGTATCCGAACGAGTGGCTGCGCCATAACTTCTGGTTCCAGCTCTGATAAGAAATTATTTAATTTATGCAAATGTTTAGACTAATCCTATAAACCTAAGGGTTATAATTTAATAATTATTATATAGATGAACCTTGCAATTCTTTCTTGATACTCTCGATTTTTTTTAATATCTGGAAAAAATCGTTCATACAATTCCCTAGCTTTCGCCTCTCTATTCCTATGGTAACATGTTAATAAATCAGCGGTGTTGAGAATTTAGAGCATAGTCACAAACGCAACCTACTTCCGCTTTGGGTTATTTTCTGTTCGGCTAAGTTTTTTATCCCATAACGATTTCATTTTCTCAAAGTCCTTCCTTAACTGGATCATCTATGTAGACATCATATTTCTTGAGTTTACTTATCTCAAATAATACAAAGGTATCGCGCATAGGCATCACGTATTATAAAATTATCCTATTAGTGTTTTACCCTATCAAATTTGGTAGCTCTCCTTTCACTAATAAACCTCACCAGTTTAAAGTAGGTTTCTTCACGAAATCTTTAAAACGAAATTAAAAATGTGTAATTAATTTGTATATTTATTTATCGTTGTGCATTAATTTGCAAAGCACCTTTCTAGATTTTCATGAAAAATAGGCAAGTCCGAAGGTTCTCGATATAATGGTTCTGTCTTTGTGTACGTGTTATAATCTTTCAAGTCGTTATACGATTTTTGCGCTTTCGTCTACAAGAATTTCCGAATAATAGATGACAATCTGTTATGACATACAGACTGAAATTTTAATTCGCATTGCAAAGCATTTAAAAGGCTATGTATGAACAATTTACCCTATTATCAGAGTAGATAAGCTCAATAAGACTATTAGGCTTTTTTTCCTTTATTTTCTCAACCTTTTGTACGCTTTCAACAGTTACACTAGATTCAGCTTCTAATCTTTCCTACATTGGAAACGTATTAACGGATAGATATTAGAACAAGTTTAATTTAAACGATGAACTTTCAAGTCATATCTAAACCAATTACTCAACAGGATAAATTAATACGATTTGAAATGTAAAACAGCATGGCTGACTTTCATTTTACGCAATATTTTACGTAGTAATGTAATGTATTATAAGTATTACTTAAATTCTTCTATATCTACTGAGATGAAAGTATACTCTTACAAGTATGCACGTATAATTTTCTTAAAGCTATCAGTTTCGAGTTTAATAGATCCTTTATGTAATACCTGTTTTTTCAGAAGATCTCCTATTTCTTGCTCAATCTTAGTTATTTCCATATCAATACTATCTAGTGATTGCAATAAATCTTCCTTCATAGTTGAAGTTGGTCGCTGTTGGCTTTCTTGAACATCGGCTTTAACTTCATCTTTGTTTTCATCGTCAGAATCTGTTAAAGCAGATATACATCGCAGTATTAGTCGTCATCATAGCTCATCGGTTCTTTTCGTAGCGTTTTTATAGCGATTTTATATGATAAAAATTTTTCAAAATTAAACACAGAACTTTACCTGATGATGAAGACGGAGAAATCGCTTCGAACTCAGTATCTAAAGGGCGTTCATTCTAAATTTACAAATTACACACTTAAATATAAGCAACTTACAGCGTTTGATCATAAAGTTTTAGTTTATGTTGTAACATTTTATCATTGAAAGTTACCTCTGATTTTATTTTTACTGTAGGAGTAGGCAATTGATCATGTGGGATTGCGGATGATGTATGATGAAGATTGAAACGTTTGGCAGGAGATGGAAACTTTGATGTTCTCGGAGAATGACTTTTGTTGGAATGATGATAGGTGGAAGACCTGCATTGTAGATTAAGATAATTATAATATATATGGTAATGATGATACATGTTAGGAGTATCTTAAAAGAAATTAAGGGATTAAATTAATATCTACAATGATTTGCAAGATAGATCGAATTATCCACCGCTTTAATGCAAAGGACAGATCAGGTGGTCATTAGAGCAGAATGTCTACCGCTAGTTCAACACACTAAGTTCGAAATATATGCTGTACTACCAGTTACATAGGCTCTCTTTGATTTACCTTTCTTTTCCGCTATTGTGACTATGAAACTCAGATAACAGGGACAATCTCTTAACTGTCTTGCCATTGTAAATTCGATCACTGGTATATAATGATAATAATGCAGCGAATAAAGAAGTTAATAAAAAAATAATTTAAACATGATATAATAACGGTAAAACAAATCGCTCCCGAGTATACATGACTATGATAATGTTTCACATCTGTTGTACTTCTACGAATAACTATGTTTTACTTTAAATTGTAGCTGATACTTGAGATAGGTGTATTGCCTAAGCAAGTTACCTCATAAGAAAAGTAAATAAGTAGGGTAACATTTTATTTGACGACATACTTGTAGTTAGAAGAGTCATGGCTGTCTCTGTTATTTTCCTTGGAGTACTGCCACTTAGGCGGTATACTGTTTCCTTCGCTTACCTAAAGATTGCATTTATTTAATACTGTAGGCTGAAGTATAATTTCATCATGAAAATGGTTAAGCATATATTATATCCATTGATCGCTAAATACAAGTCAAACAACACTACAGTACTAGACATATGAGTCTTGCATGCACGATTAAAGGACAGAAATAATCTCTGGACAATGGCATCAATACGAGCTAATAGCTTACGAAACTCAGGCTAATACATCTATATCCCTACATAACACGGTCTATGAGTACAACAAGTAGCAATGACAGCATGGTAGTGGATGGTAAGTTGTGCAGGTAATTGATATTTTTTGTAGGTAGGTCAGGTATTCTGAAACCTTACAAGATATAATTTTAGATGACATTGTCACTATAATCACTCCAGTACGTCCAAAATATGGTATTAACGCCATCTTTAATTGCCTATGTTAGCTATTACGTTGCATCCAAAGGCTAGTACCTTTGCAAGAATAAGTTGTAACTGAAGACTATGTAAAATATCCTTTAACGATCGCTATGAAACATAACAAAACGGTCGTTACCTTCCAACATCGAGCGCAATCATTGACGATAAAAGCACTCATGCTAAATAGATTAATCGCCATTTTTAAACCCTTGAAACTATGACTAACCTGTTTAATGTCTGAACTTTGTTCATCCATGCTGCCTATAGGCGTTTCATTTTGAAATTTTGGATTCATATCGCATGAACTCGGTGGTTCACTATTACTGATCCACGGATGACAAGTGTATTTCATGAAGCAAAAATAATATTGCAAGCATATTGATTTTAAAATAGATAATTGACTTTCAATCTAACAAGAGCATTATCAATACTCTTTCTTTGAATTTAAATGATAATAAACAGCATTTAAGACTTTCCATCTTGTCAAGAAGGATCAGTAGCTTACCTTTTGATCAGGTTTTCAGCCATTTTAATCCGATACGACAATCATCATTTGCAGAATTATTACAGTTACTAGGAGATTGACAGGTGTACTACTGTAATGAAGGTACAAGACCGGACAGACGGCAGCCGCCTTGAGCAAGGAGTGCATAATGTTCATCATTTAGTGTCCAGTACACTTGTTACCGTAATACAGTTTACTATGACATCGCGCGCAATGTTGTTGTTGTTACCATCACATCCTGACCGTGTTACCCTTGAACTGTATGCCGGCGATGCCGCTATGGCCTAGACTTGAGTTCGGTTCGGTTCGGTTCGAACCGTTACGCTCTAGATCTTTTTGAGCATGGCCACGGGTGTAAATGGGCACGATTATTGCGCCAGTCTGAGACAGTGTCCAATGCTGACTGCGCATGTCAAAGAGCTATCCGGTACGGTACATGGTACAGTACTAAAACATCCTGTATCTTTGTTCTCAACAGTACTGCTGTACTGTACACTGTATGCCAGTGGCCTGCATTTGAAGAAATATTTTTGTACGTTTCAAAATTTCTAGTGTACAGCAGGTAGAGAAGTGAACTTTTCGTATGTGTAGATAGATGTGAGATATTCACTTCACGGACACATTCACTCAACTTTGCTCCAACTATCGATGGAAGAATTTTCAAGGCACATAGCAATACTTTGCTATTTAAAAATGGAAGGTGCTGTAGTGCTGTACTGTATCGAGATATCGTGATAGCGTTGCATGGTACCAAAAATGCAGTGGAAAGAATGCCGTGATAGTAGTAGTGTTATATACTGTACAGTTCTATTGTTGATTGGATAGTAGAGAGTGCTGCATCATCTGATGGACGGACATATCGTATTAAGGTAGAGATGAAAATGTCGAAAATTGCAAAACAGACTATACAGTACAGTCGTTACGGTACTTGCACTATGGTTCTTGTGTGTCTCTTTTCTAAATTGCTCTTACTAATTCAAAAACATGCATGACATCAAATAACTTTGAACAAGTAGAAGTTAGACTTCATGATGTATTATACGCGATATAGCGTCAATGGAATAGTGCTGCATCGACTGATGGACGGACATATCGTATTAGATAGAGATGAAAATGTCGAATATTGCAATACAGTACAGTGGTTACGGTACTTGCACTATGGTTCTTGTGTGTCTCTTTTCTAAATTGCTCTTACTAATTCAAAAACATGCATGACATCAAATAACTTTGAACAAGTAGAAGTTAGACTTCATGATGTATTATACGCGATATAGCGTCAATGGAATACATTCATAGTACTGGATGAATATTAGGAAAATACTGCCAAGTCGATCAACAGTAGCTAGCCTGTACGAATCGTCTTTTGATCCGAGCTTTATAAAAGAGAAGTCAATGTAATATTACTTGATTTATAAATCTACTATAATGTATAGCGTATCGTATCATGGACTACGAGATGTAAGTCAGTAGTCCATGACTGTATTTACACAACCAAACATCTCCACTCCATTCTCCTCACAGTGGAACAGTAGTGTAGTTTGACGACACAGTACTTGCAATAATCGTGCATCTAGTCGAAAATGTCCGTCTATCCAATAAGGTTTCCTGATCAGGCAAACGCTTTTTTCGAGCATAGCATCGAGTAGGTCCTCCGATCGATAAGATACATAATATGACTAAAAATGTCTTCATGTCGTGCTAAAGTATTTGATCCTATATACAGTACTTCAGGTCAGATTTGTGTTCACTTCCAAGACGAAAAGTAGCGCTCTTCTTTATTGTAGTCATTGAACTAGGCTAGAACATTTGCAATTTCATTATAAGCCTGTTGCAAGTGTATTGCAAAATGTTGCAATGTTTACATTGTATAAGATTATGATGATGACGATTAGTTACTCAGTTTAGCTGCATGAGTAGACAGCAGTACAGTACAATAATAAATAGTCTGACAGGCAGAGGTCGAACGGTCTCTGGACCCATTCTTCCTCCACCTCCAGTCCCTCTTTTTTCTGATATACACTTGTGCAGTCCTATCCTGTAAATCAACAAAAAAAGTTGGAGAAGATTTTCCCCCTGCAAAAACTCGAGCCCTGAGTTCACCGCGCTAAAAGAATGGACCGCTCCTACTCCACCTCCCACAGCCCCTTTTCTGTTGACACAGTACAGTACTGTACTGTATAGGATTGTATGGAGCACTATCACGGATACCATGACGGTGCTTTATTCTATACTGTAGCAAGGTCTTCTCCTTGCAATCGTTGACAGCACCGTTATTAAGGCTCCACACTTAGCCATTTTAGTTAGTTGTTCGTCCTAACTACAGTACAGTACTGTACTCTACTGTACTTCTACGGACTGTACTGTACACTGTACAGTATGACTCGTGGCGACATCAGGTGACACGTATCACTGGTTGACAGACGTGACCGATCACTCCACGCTTGAACGCTTGAAATTGCTTCTTTTTGCTTTGATCGAAATCGTTATGGCTGTAAGTAACGTTCTTTTTCTGCCCACACTGATTCTTTTAGCTCATTTCTACGCCATGTAGGTTGATTTTTTTTCTTGTTTATTTAGAAACGGTATACTGACAAGGGAGAAAAGGTAAAAATAACAGCAATATTGTCCTCCTTGATGGATTGAGTGTGTACTGTACTGGCAAAATAACTCGATGCTACAACATGGACCAGCGAACTTTGCATCATTTTACAGCGTTTAACTGTTACGATTTTGTAGACAAGTTTTGACCAGATAAAGTTGTACTCCTGTTATTATGCAATATGATCCATAAAAGATGAGTAACTTGCAATCGCATGGTTTTAAATGGCCACTCTAAAGTACTAGCGTAGGGTAGAATGTCTGCTTGATCCCGAGCACCAATCATTGACAGCCAGATAAGTGTATTATTAGTTAGTTAATAAATAACTGCACTTAACAGGCGCTTGACGCTAAACTAGCCATCAGTCGATATTAATGCCATATTCCACATTCCACAAAGCAAAAATATGCAACTTTACTAGTTGCTGTTTTATCCCCTAAATGATCACAGCCTTCGATCAATGTTTTTCTTTTGCGTACACGTACGTCAATGGGAGAATGAGCAGTTAGCCAGTGGAAATACGTAATTAGAATTGCAACGCAAAGTTTGATTGGCGAAAATTGGGGGTTTGGCATGAATCAAAATTGGAATTGGACTAAATTTGACTCAGGAAATAGGCCCTGTAATGTAACGTACACATTACACTATACTGCCAAATCAACTGTTTTTGAGTCATATGGTGTTGCAGGAGTGGCTGTTAAGCTTGACCATAGCAATGTTTACAGTATTGATTATTCGTATTTTAATATCACTTGCTACAGTTACTAGAAGGCTTGATCATGACGGTCAGACCAGTAAGTCATTAATTAATTAATAAACACATTGCAGCATTCGACCTGATACTCTTTATTCGTATGTTGGATGACCATTTACACGTACAATATGCGATCATTATGTTACAACAAAATTTTTTTAATTTGAAGGATCACAATACCAATGATGTGTGTTCGTTCAGGTAATGTCCATGTGAACGTGTTGAAAACGGAAAGCATACGCAATGACGCATACTTATATTATGTATAAAATTCTATATTTGATGATAATGATATAGTGGACTTTTGTCTCTATCAAGGAGATAACAATGAGGTGGTGTTCTCGTTAATTTTCACCTAATTTGACCAAGAGCGAATTTGAAGCATGTGAAATTTTGTAAAACTTCTATAGAGGATGTTGTAACAGGGCTAAGCTCGACTATTAGATATTTTGATGCATATCGTCTAATTAAGAATTTCTATTTTGCAGCCGGAAGTCGGAAAATTTCTTTCTTTCGATCATCTAACATTTTGGGTCGGTAATGCTAAGCAGGTGAGTACCTAAGACAGCTGTAGAGCTCGCTGTAAAGTTGTTGGGCTGTACTCTACTGCAAGCTAGTGAACTGGATATGCATGTTACATTATACATTATATGATGGCCATTTTTGGCAGTATGAAGACATGCCTGTAGTTCCATAAAATAGCCTAGGTAGTAGGTCACAGTATATATCAGAACTAGTCAATGAACTAGACTAGTACATTTGCATTAACCAACGTGAATTATGTTTATCTCGTGGCAGACGCATTCGCCTTGCAATGGAACCCATACTAATTAAATCTCTATGATTGAACTATAGGCTGCTTCTTATTACTGTACATGCTTCGGATTTGAACCATTTGCGTACAGCGGGCTAGAAACAGGTGAAAGAAATGTCGTTTCGCATGCAGTGAAACACGATAAGGTAAAATTGGATCTACGCTATATGTAATGTAAGTGATACCCGATATACTGTAATTACTATGCGGACATGCTGTAATTTTAACTGTTCATGGATGCTAAAATTAAATTAATTTATGTTTAATATAGATCATCTTTGTCTTTCAATCTGCTCTAAACCCTGGTAGTGATGGTATGCAAAGCGTAATGTTATAAAGACCGTATAGGACAAAGATGTTTTGATAGTTTGTAACATGCAATTTCAATTTTGATTACCTTACCATGCGCCTTTCTTACAGAAATGGGCAAACACTTGGTTATTCATGGAGATGGTGTTAAGGACATTGCTTTTTCGGTTGAAGATTGTCGTGGCATTGTAGAGGTAAGAATTTGGCGTACTGTTGCTCGACAGAAATTGTGATGTAAGGTACTGTAATATGTCTCGAAATTTATCCCATCGCGCTTATTACTTATCCCATCATCAGAAAGCAAGGCAGAAAGGTGCTAAAATTGTTCGTGAACCTTGGGAGAAAAGCGATGAATTTGGATCCGTGACATACGCTATTGTACAAACGGTAATCAATGGACTGTGAGCATATTTTTCGATGCGAAATTATCTTACTAAGTTGAATATTGCGTCGATATGTTATGATGTAGTATGGCGACACAACTCATACATTCGTTGAGAGAACTAACTATAAGGGACCATTCTTGCCGGGATATACGACCGACGTTTTCAGAAACCCACTTCTTGACACACTTCCAAAGCCTGGACTTCGATTCATTGATCACGTAGTGGGTAACCAGCCTGATGATGAAATGGTAACCATTGCTGACTGGTATGAAAAGAACTTGTTATTTCATCGTTTCTGGTCCGTTGATGACAGCGTTGTAAGTTCTAGATAATGTTTCTATTTCTTATGGAAGACTTTACCAATCGATCTGTTTTTATGAATTAAAATGTCGCATCAATTTTGGATTCCTCATTAGTTACACACTGATTATAGCTCCTTACGATCGATTGTGGTTACAAACTACGATGAAACCATAAAAATGCCGATTAATGAGCCCGCATCGGGCAAAAGGAAGAGCCAGATTGCTGTAACGATAAGCATACCTTGAAATTTCGAATGTACTGGGCACTTCCTAATATTAATATCTCCTTTTACATCGACATCTAGGAATACGTAGATTATTATGGTGGAGCAGGTGTACAACATATTGCTCTCAACACCAGTGATATCATAAGCGCGGTACTAATACAATATGAAAATTTTAATTTTTATAATAGTTACTAATGAATGCTACAAAGCACAACGTTGATTTTATAATCTCTTCATTAGATTACAACTTTAAAGAGCCGCGGGGTAGAATTCTTAGAAGTACCTGATAGCTACTTTAATATGCTGAGAGAAAGATTGAAAACATCTCCCGTGAAGATTGAAGAATCTATGGATAAGGTAAAATAATTCTGTATAATTAGTATAGGAGTGCACCCTGTATTGCTTAAACTTCTCCTGATTGGTTGGTTGTTGATTTATTTCTATTGACAGCTACAACAACTGAAAATCTTGATTGATTACGACGATAATGGCTACCTCTTGCAGATATTTTCGAAGCCAGTTCAAGATCGCCCGACTTTGTTCATTGAAATTATACAACGTCATAATCATACTGTAAGTACCAAAGGTCATTCAAAATTACCGTATACAGTATTGCGCATTTACTGTTTTGGTGTATCCTATAGTTAGTAAATATTTAATTCAGTTAATTTATTGGACTTTGACATAGGGTTTTGGTGCCGGTAATTTTAAAGCTTTATTTGAAGCTATTGAACGGGAACAAGACAAAAGAGGCAACTTGGTTTAACTTGATTATGCTTAAATATGATAGATTTATCTGCTGCAATCTAAAACATTGGTTAATCGTGTAAAAAAAGCGATTCGTTAGTAAAATGCAGCGTCAGATAGTAATATATAATTATTGCTACTAAAACTTAAGGATAACTAAAGATCTTAGACTAGCTGTCACTTGATGGATTATTTTCGATTGCAAATTATATCTTTGTTTACAAATGATAATAAAATCTGTCTGGGCCGCTAGAATATTCTGTAGTTTCTAGTAAAAGTAAATGTTTTGTAAAACAAAATTTTTAATGACATGACAAGTTTCATTGCGGCTTATGTGGTTAGTAAGATAGTGTAGTAGGTGGTTATGATAACGTTTTATTCTTTTACTGTACTTTTTAGTTTTGGATAGCATTACATGAATGGAACATATGCAGTAAGAATATTCATGTTATGATAATCGTAAAGGTTAAGTACGGCATTGCTGACCGGACGAATGTGCAATGGCTCATGTCAGTCTAAATAAGCTGGAAAACGTACCGTAAACTATTGACTTTTAGGGAAATTTAAAGGGTAGAGATAATCGAATAAAATTTCCAACGTTTTAAATAAATGATACATCGTTTTATGCAAGAATGGCAATCCTTACCCATCTTAGCCGCATATCACTTGTCTCAGAAATTTACAAGAAATTACATTTATCGTTCCAAAGATTTTAAGAATATTGCAACATTATAACATTTTTACGACATAGTCTGAATTTGAGATCTAGAATTGCAGAAGTAAATGCATCGTACATCTACTATTGGCTACAGCAGTGTATCAACGAGTGCTACCTGTGCTTAGATTGCTTCTATGCTGCAAGCCCAGAATTAAAAGATACATCCAGCAACTATATATTGCATCCGTAATCAAACCAGAAAAATAGTACGGTAACTTATGTGCTTGATGCGTACTAACATACTGTAGTTCAGTGATATAAGCCAAAGAAGAGTTACAAACAGTACGTTGTATCATTTCTTAATTTTTCCGCCAATCACTTATAATCTTACAAGCAGAAATGTAGCATTCGCTTTGCAATGTTAACTGGTTGAAAGTTTACTTTAACTGAAAATGAATCTTTGATCTGCCGAATTCGTTTACTACATAAACGTTTAAAATTAGGCCAATACATTTACTTATCAAGTATGCATATCTTACAAGCGACTAAAATATTATAAACAATCAGTAAATAAAATTCTCTAAATATTCCTAGTGAATGGTACTAAAAGTATGTGCAATCATACTATTATTAGGCCATTCACCGTTTCCTTATTAAACTAGGATATATTATACAACAGATAGAAAGTACACCATTACAATTCGTAATGTTACAAGCATATCAAGGATTGTTAACTAGTACTGAACTTACGTATTTGACGCTCAGCTTTGGAAGCAAAATACAGCGTACTAACGTAATTTTACATAAATTGAACCTGATCGAAATACTGAGACATAAGTACTATTTTGCTAAGGATATAAGTTTAAAATAAAATAAATACAAATTATCTAACGATTGGATAACGTATCGTAATCCTTTTCGAAAAACTCTGTTTGCCAATAAAAGGAAAGTTAACATTTCTATAAGAGTTAATAGACAATCATCGCTACTTCTTGCGTTGATGAGCTTTTGTTGTAAATATGTAACGCTGTGGAACTGGAAGCGGGGGAGAATAACCGTGCTCATAACTTGGATCTTCGAACGACACAAGATACTCCTCATCAATCTGTATTGTTACAGAAATGAAAGTACAAATATAACAGTAAAAATGAATAATAAGTTTGTGTCTAATTCATTATACTCCAATAGAATGGAGGACAACAAAAAATTTCGTCTTACTGTGGAAGGCCGACTGTGTACCACACCAAAGTAGAAGCAAGTTGTTTGAGGATATAAGGCGTATACTTGCTAAAATTTACACACCAATAAAACTGTCACATTAACGTATTAACATGCATTACGATAAAATTAAAAAACATAACATGAGGTTGAGAATTGGAAATGAAAAGTGTAAAAAAGCTATCTTGAATTGTATATATATATTAATTAAAGTCAAAACTCTCTGTCTGATATTACGGAGATTACAATATCAATATAATTTATTCTATAGTAACATTTACAAATCTGTACTATGTGATGCATACTAGGTGATATCAGTTTATGTTAGTGGGTAATAAACAGGGCTGAATAATTTACCTGATGTTTTTGATACAATGCCTGAGGATGGGTGCTAGGATTTGCTTTATACTTAGGCAACGGGGTCGTACGACGACATGGAAGCTGATATCGCCTAAAAATTAGTGATGTAATTAACGATAGGCATCTTTTTAGTAACGATGTTTATACATAAATCGACAGGAGTCCCTTCTAATTACGAGTATAATCAACAAGCACAGAGTGCTACTGACTCTTTTCCATGCTTTCCTTCTCCATCAATGTCTTCGATTTCGTACCTAATTAGAGTTAATAAAATGACGAGTGAATGATATGAGACTTTTTGAATGTAAATAGACAAGAATAATAAGATGCGCTATACTTATTAGAAAATGTGCTATGAGAAGCCACTTCTCCAAGAATCCACTGATCTTCATCAGCATCAACTTTCACTTTTGCTGCAACCTAGTGGTGATAGAAGTAGAAATTGCCCATGCTACTGATTCACGATTATAAGATAGCAAATTGATAAGATGACTGGAATTGTTTACCGACATACCTTATCACCAGGCTTTGCTACATATCCACTTTCAGCAGGAATACAACCGCAGAGTGGAGGAGGGCTACAGATTATAATTACGAGCATTTACTAGAAATTGTAATGTAGTATGCGAACTACGAACACAGTTGTAGACTAATAAAAGTAAGATAGTATAGTCGTTAAGTATAATTTAAAACCATAGGAGCTAACTTTGAGATCACAGAAACAGTATCATTACTTCAAATACACAAGTCATGTTTTAAATACGGCTTATTTATGGTGAGCAACCTCTCAGATAACTTGCCATTCCAAATCGGTAGATCAGCTGCTTCTTGTTGGAGAATAGACATCAGTACACTCTTACGAACAGGAGCCGGCTTTCTGCTAATACTGTAATTGATTGATATATATAAGGAAGTAAGCTAAGGAAATCCGATAAGTATGATAACCAAATACAGACTGTTAGTACCAATATTCTAATTGCAAGCACATTTAAACTTTGGAGATTTTACATAATTAAGTTTTTGTTAATAACAGTCAATAAACTGCACAAATCCACAAGTGACCTGCTTTCTTCATTATGACCAGATTGATTGGTTGGCGTTCGACCACCTATAATATTTATTGATACGCTCTTATTAGGCGATTTAGAACTATAACAGTTCAAGAGCATAACTGGAGAAAGAACAAACCTTGTTTCTTGTCACTCTTTAATGCATTTATCAAGGCTATTTTATCCAGAGCTTTCCTAATTAAACTATTTCATTGAGTCGATATTGAAAGAAGTAAATTGAAATTAATAATTTGCATCATTGTTAACTAATTCGAATACAGGACAACTGCGCCATTTTTAATTCAATAGTATTGATTTTGGAGGTATGATCCATCAACATTGTCAACTTACGAAACTATGCGGCAATTAAAAATTTACCGTATAAATATTAATCGTGTTTACAGTTATTAGTCGATGCGGTAAGCCTCCTACCAGTGTCCTTATACTAATCCATTGCATGATCCATTTATTTACTATTTTCATCATTTTACCGTCGTTATTGCCTACTAACTTACTCTGCTTCAATCTTAGCATCAGCTTGAGCGGATGTATACAATCCACGCAGTTTTTGCTTGAAATACATGGACACTATGAAGAAAGGCAATTGATAGTCCATTATTCATAATAGCGTATAAACATTGTTACGCGTAATCGATTTGTAGTACTGCATAAAATGCTACTATGTAAAGTGCCTTTAAATACTTTATGGCGTATAACTTTGAAGTACGCCCAATAGAAGTAGAACTATGTTGATGGAATGCAACGATGGGAAGTAATTCTAATGATTACGATACTCGTATACATATTATAAACAATTTAGCTGCACGTTATCAATGTTAGCTAAGGCAATTACCTCTTTGTTCGCTTTTCATCCGGTCATGGGTTTTTCTAATATTAAGTAAACTATTTGCACCACGAGTGCGTTCATCCTAAATCAAGATCGTTATTTATACTTGCGTTTAATTTAATCATTTGTATTATTATTATCCAGGTGCAATATCATGATCCTACCACCATAGGCAAGCTGATCAAGGATAGGAATGATTGATGTTTGTTGTGTGTACAACTGGACAATCAGTTAAAATCATGATTAACGGGTAACACTATTTCTGTATCGACCATACCTGTAACTGATGAATTAGGCTGTGTAATTCTCGCAAAAGAGTAGGGATACTATAATTTCCACTTGGTGGAATGATAGCGTTAGGAACCGAGGTGGCAGAAACAGTCTGAGATTGGCGTTTACGAGGCATGATATTACTAATTTTGCTGGATTTGAAATGCTCTTCAGCCTTTTCAAATGTTTGGGCTTTAAAGCATTTTGCGGTTCTCTCTACGCTCAGTACACCATTGAATAGCGACGATGCTCATCGCTGTGTACAGTGTATCGTCTACAGTATACAGTACTTTTCGGTACTGTACACTGTACTGTAAGTTGAACTTGGATGCACTGTACTACTGAGCACTGCATGGTCAAAGGAGTGTCTATTGTTTCATGGTACAGTACTGTACTAGAGACCCTCTATGGACATAGAGGGTCTCTAGTGTACATTATACAATCAAAGTTGGATCATCGCACGTGACCAGAAATCCCCAATGACAGCGTTAATAATAATCATTCATTATAATGGATTATTTATTAATAATTACATTAGACTGATACTTTAGAAGACAAGATTACATTATAGAATAATAAAATTAAAATCAGTTATGTATGACTACCTAGAGAGAAGATTGTAGGAGATAGCAAGGAGTAAAATTGACAAGGTACTGTCTATTTTGATATCGAGGTCATCATGATATTTATTTACTGTGAATACGATACAATATAACGCTGATAGAGAGTAATTCAAAATAGAAATAAACAGTACTTTAGTCTACGGTAAATTGGAAAATTGGATTGATTCCAAGCACGTACAGTACTATAGTATGGCCGGCAATGACGATGAATTGCATCTAGGTTCGAAGTTGATGCTTTTATCGGTGGGATGTGTTTACTTCCCATGTCTTTATTATTTTGTCGATTCACTGCTAAGGAGAACTTGTCAAACTCTTGATGAAAGCCAATATAGAAAGATCAACGTTAGGTAATTGATGTATGCTTATTGTATATTATAGAAAGGATAAAATATGACGCTATAATCAGAGTTACTACCTCAATACTGTACGCATACATCAATGATCAAATTTGAATCAACGAGTGAAATGAACTTATAATGCAGTTATAATTAAAATGTCAATTTTGAAGAGAGCACTTTCCTTACAGTGCATGATCCTAACGTCTTAACTTTATATGCTTTCTTATCTAATGCGCGTAGATTGATTTTCTACGCAATCTGTTTAGGCTAAAGCTGTGAGGCATCATTGATAGAGATTGATCAATATTTCTTTAACCGCTGTACGAGTGTTATCTTGATATACAGTATGATTAATCTCTTTCTTTTTAGGATCGTATCATCGTTTCAAGCTTTGATGGCGTGTACTGTTGGCGTTACTACCGTATTCTCCGTACATGATATCATTCATGATAGGTAAGACCTTCATAGGTATACGTATTTAATCGTTTGTTTACAAAAAGGACTAGAAATCGTTGATCATTTTGCTAGTTCTACAACATGCGAGTAGTACTGTACTGTACTTCCTATACGCATATAGTTTTTAATTACGTTACTATAACATATAATGCCATCATGCACACCTTACAGATTCTGTAAGCTGTAGAAATTCAAAATTATAGCTTCAATTCTTACATTGAAGCAAGATCAGAAACCGGGCCCTATTGCGGAAGTAATTTATCAATATATCGTGCGTGTGGTCAATTGGATACCTATTTACAGTATAAATTAAATTAAAGCTATAGATATTGTAATTAAATCGAAATATTTCCTTGGTATTATTATCTGTCTTGTTGCATTATTTAATAAAGTACCGAATGTTTCCTTCCACTGCCATAACACTACAGCACCAATCACCAATGCACTGTACAGTACGCGTACAGAATATAAAGTTAAATGGTCGATATTGCATGTAGCTTATTCATGCTGCCTTTCATACGATAGGCGATTACTAATTAAAATAATTGTTGCCTTAACTCATCTGCCTTTTCTATAAGAGTACTTTTTAACTGTCCAGTAATACTCTAATAGTTAATCTTGGAGTGATTTTATGAGTTGCACGATTACAGGACATTGTTAATACTGTATATTTGGATTTATGGTAAGATTAACCAACTTATTAATAGTCAAGCTTGTAGTTGTAAACAAGATCTATCGGTAACACCTTAATTAAACCATCTTGCTCGATTCTTAATAGATTATAACTGCTATAGATTATGGATTATCACACACTAATGCAATAAACATTTTCCGTAAAGGTATAAATTTACGCATATATCGCATAGTCAGATTTCAAGTTTAGGACGATGATACAGCATGTCGCTTGATATGTGTATGTACGATATACATAATCTCGTAAAGTAAACCTTACAGAGATTTTGAAACTATTCAATAGTCTTTTTCGTTAGCAATCAGTGCGACCATATAAGCGGTTTATGTTACAAATTAAGATGTCATGTTTACCTTTGCAGATTTTGGTTAATCGAATATTACTGCTGGTTTGGGCTAGCTTATTTCTTTTACGATATATGGGCAATGTATCGAAGTTATCGGTACGAACATAAACAATTACAAGATGAAGTCTCACTTCTGCGAATGTTTCTACACTCGAAAACATCAGTGGTAATTCACCATATTGCCATTCCGTGTATTGGCTTCCCAATAGTCGTGGTAAGAAAAGCTTACTAGCATGTGTCGACTGCTATTCTATTGAATTACTTACTGTATATTCTCGTTTAGAGTGGTAAAACGTTATATAAATAAATACTGCCGTAGTTTCATGACTTTCATAACGCTTTTTCTTTAAAGTACATCCGTCGTGGTTTAGGTGACTACTTTTTAGCTCTTTTCTTCCTATTCGAACTAAGTACTCCATTTCTCTCTTCAGTTTCGGTACTACAAATTGTAAGTATCACCCAAGTTACTAGCTTAAGTTGCCTAAGTATAAATAACAACAGTAACTGTTGTTATCATTCTGTTTAATTTTTAATTTCAATATTCGAACTATAACATTTTATCGCAAACAGCTGAAAATGCAAACTTCCAAACTCTACACCGTAAATGGTATACTGTTGTTGGTGACATTTTTTTGTTGTCGTGTCCTGATGATTCCTATTATGTATTGGTCTTATGCACGATATAAAAATATTTCCTGGCTATGGCAAGTACCGTTGTCTATTCCCATGAAATGTAACATAGGATGCACGGTTATATTACTATTTCAATTATTTTGGCTGAATCAAATTTTAAGAACAATCACGTCCAATATACCCGTCAAATCTATCGGCGAATACCTAGTAGGACGAGGTAATTATAACTTTATCGTAAGAATACTTTTGTCTATCGTTGTAGATACTACTATAAATTCTGGTTCGTTGTGTATGCTGCACCAGTCGCTAACCAACTACCAATTTTCTCACTGTAGGCGTAATAAGCTAGCAAGTATGGCCTATGCAGAATAGACATTTATAAAATTTGTTTATTGAAATGTACAGAACGAATGATCACATTGTGTTAAATTTTATAAACGACATAAGAAAAATACGGTAGGGATGAATACACCAACAGCAACTGCAATTGGTACAACATAGCTACTACCATCATCAACTGCATATGGATTGACAACAGGCGGCCCTGATAATTTCCTGCTATGCGGTGTTTGAGTATTGTCTGTGTTACTGTTTGTATCGCTTGTATCGTCATCGTCATCAAAGTCTTTATCCGCTTCCTCTGCTCCAGCTAGTGGGGCTAGCTTGGGTACATCTGTGGACATTAAAGTTAATTAAAATGAGCATTGTTAAGGAGATGATTACACCGCAAGGTCATTAATATTGCAATTACCTGATACTTGTCCTTTCATCACCACTATGGCATTAACTTTTGGATTATCTAAATGTCCCTAATTCGATGTAGAAGACCGATTACTTACATTTAATGATATTCTCTCGTACATATCTGATGTATTAATGAACCTATAACGCATTTATGAAGTACTTTGAGTACTAAATTACAAATATTACCTTGATAAACTCTACTGTTAAAACTCCTTTGAAAGGAGATGACTCATCGTTGATCAATAAAGATTTATGAGATATTTTAAAGGGTATGTATTCATCGTGTGCTGTTCCCTTGCCAACTTTATGATAAATATCTAGCCCTTTAATAACCTCATGTTTTGAATTCAAACGGACATCAAATACCTGTATTGGTACGATAAAAAAGTAGTATTAACATTAAATGCAATAAAAGCTGGTATAATACACGTATACATAAATACAGTATGTATTCTCTTCTATCAGCAACTAGGCGATTTATACAATACTTTGTATACCAACTTACACACTGTATATATTTGTATAGTGTAAGTTGAAGTCATGTTACCGTAATAAACGCATTTGATATCGGCTCCATTCATCTACAGTATAGTGCTCAGTTCTAAGGACACGCTTGAGCATTGACTATCTAAGCACGAATCTAAGAATCATAATTGGTATTTTTATCACACTATCACATAATAGAATCAGTCGTGTTTAACATTGTCATAGTGTGCTTAATGGAAAAAATACGCTCACAATCCCAACCATGCTATGTCATTAGAGTATCTTAGGAATCACAATAAATCCTAATGACAATACTATGTAAGGCTAATTATAATTAAGGGTCACCATCATTGTACAGCAATTGTAAAAACCATTATCACAGCATTACCCTGAATCAGTCATGTTCAATATTGTTGCCATGTGCTTACTGAAAGATAGGCTAATGATTACAGCTGTACTGTGTAGTGAGAATATCGCAGTAACTACCGTCAGCATTAGTGTAAAGCTTCATTGCATCCATATACGAGTATGTAATTGTTTCAAAACGGGATTAACTTTGACCTTGTGTGTATAGTACACCCAGTTTCATAGAAATACACATTTAAATCTCCAAAAACTTTCCATACACGCTGTACAATGGAAATCAGCTATATAACGGATAGAATTTTTAGAGTGTATCCATGCAGATGTGTACGGAATTTTGAAATTCTCAATGTCTTGATTTGACTCGCATCCATTACAGTATCCTTAACTATGCAAGTATTTAACATCTACAGTAATATACAGTCCTATTATAGCTAAAGTACAGTAATCATGCACTTGATAAGAGGTTATAAAAGGAGACAAAAGAGCAGCTTACCTTACATCGTTACACTAGTAGTATTCAGGCAAGTACAATGGTATCTAGTTGATGCTGATAGCTAATGAAGGTACTTTGTACTAAAGGAACTGGAAGGAAATTTTCATCACGAAATAGTCCTAATTGAGCGCTATCATTTTTTATCTGACTAGTCATCTGCAAGATATATTGTATTGAAACTTTCTATATCTCGTATAATCGTATTGAATAGTGGGACCTGCTTAACGTTAACCGGCAGCTACTGATAGTTATAAATCTGCTATTATTTCATTTTAGTAACTGACCGGCGACACTATCGTTAGCGATGATAATTATAATTAGATGCGCGTACATACTCTATACTAAAACAATTGGGGTATAAGATTACGGAAAGATTTGGCCTATTGATAAAATGTTGATAACATCTAATTCATAACGTCTTTGTATCCTTGCAGGCATAGTAAATTGTTCTATAGCATTGAAATCAGTGAAGATATACTGTATAACAGTTTGGTATCGATATACCGTACACCTTGGAAAGCAATAACAGTCTTGAGCTACTACTCAACTAAAGTGAAGGTATTTTAATTCTAGTTGTCCTTCTAGTCAAAACAGAAAGCGTAAACTAAAGTCAGCAAGATAACGGATGATTACATAACATCGTTATCGGAGTACAGCACCATAGCTTCCTATCACTAACCTTCATATTAGATCCAGTGAAATAGACTTCACTAAATTTCAGAATGAGAACATAGTCGTCATCCTCTTTAATAGGAATATCATAACTAAATGTTTCTGAATGATATCGTTCTGTCTGATAGAGAATCTGATCTGGTGTAGGCACGCGGTTTATAGACAATTGAAGGCCATGATCGGAATTGATCCCAACTGTATTGTAATCAGCTTGGTAATGGACACCATTTAAATCAGTATGTGCCGAGCCACCGCAATTGACAGCAAATATAACTTCACCGATTCCATGAACCGGTTGTATAGCCACCAAAGTTAACAAACAGATTAACTGAATTAATCTCTCATCAGCCATAGCTAAAGAAGAGAGAATTGGGGAGTTCCTTCAACTTACCGATCGAATCTTCTCGACTACAGTAAAGTTCGATGCGAATGCCCTTGTCGGCTAAGCGCTTCACCATGGCCTCTACCGCTTACAGTACACTGTACTGTACACTACCGTAGCGATAGAAATTGACCTTTGTGTACAGTACAGTACTGTAGATGTCGTCTAGAGCTCAGTAGAAAATGCGTCCTTCTATGAAACTCTATGTACAAAACCTTATGATTACGGATCAGTACTATCACAGTACAGTACAGTACTCTACTTTACAGTACTGTGTACTGTACACTGCCAGTCTGTAAGTGAGACTGTGCCTGACGCCGGCGCAGTGCAGGACATCGACTGACTGGTCTACAGTACAGTACAGTGCAGTACAGTACAGTACAGTACTATACTGTACAGTACTATCTTAATGAAGAGAGAATTGTACTGTAGGCCTTTGCAAAATTATGTCACGCTACTCACTAGAGACCATAGTCAAGTGAATGGCATAGGCTAGCATAGCAACCTTTACACAGAACTTTCGTTTATGTTTCAAATAGTAATGATTTACATTGGAAATTACTACAAAAATAGACCGAATCGATGCTAATGCAGTACTGTACAGTACAGCACTGTCTTAATCAAGAGAGAATTGTACTGTACTGTAGGCCTTTGTAAAATTATGTCACGCTAATCACTACAGACCACCATAGTCAAGTGAATGGCATAGCAACCTTACACAGAACTTTCATTTGTGTTTCATTTCTTTCAAATAGTAATGAATTATATTGGAAACTACTACAAAATTAGACCGAATTGATGCTAATCAATGAACAAGAATTTATCATTAGGTCTACAAAGTACATCACAATCCACTGATAAACGTTAAAATCTTGGCTTGTCCACCACAACAATACAGTACAGTACAGCAACCAGGCATCGAATGAGCGACATCACTTCTGCTCGCGTCGTCGTGAATACAGTACCCAATCATCGTCACTACAGTACTGTACTGCACATTCTACTGGACTGTACTGTACGAATGAAGATCTCTGATCTGTCGTGCACTGTACTGGACTGACTCACATGCAGTCACTGTGGTCTAGCGTGGTATCCGCTCGCAAGCTAATAAAACATGTCGGCTATTAAGGATTTAAATCCCAATGCAGAAATCGCTCGTGCAGCTCAAGCTTTACAACTCAATATTTCTGCTGCAAGAGGTTTACAGGATGTGCTTAAAAGTAACTTAGGCCCTAGAGGAACAATGAAAATGTAAGTACCCATTTTTTCGTAAGAGACTTCTTGTTAACTAAGGCAGTTTGCAACAACTGGTAATTAGCGTAGGGTCGATTTTCTCCATGCGCCTAAAACTGAATCAATGACCAAGTTGACCAGGCTTGCTAATCGAAAAAGAGCTTCTTGATAACTCTTTTATTCCTTGCAATTGACTTTAGAATGAATAAAAGACAATAATTTCACTTCTGATTCAGCCAGATTTAACGCAATTTCGACTTTGTAGAACAGTACTGTACTATTACCGTATGTTATATTACAGTATACTGTGGTACTGGCATGATGCACGTGATAGCAACTGTTGGATTTAGTAACCACTTGAAACGTGGAGTGGATTTGACAACCGCCAAACTCACCTAGAATGGACAATTTCTCACTCTGATACAGGAGTAGTATAGCTGTAATGATGTTAGATGATATGGGATCAAATTTATTATTTTAAATTGAATATCTACAAGAAAAAAATGTCGAATCTCTTTAGTACTGCGTACAAACATCAATCGCTTATCATTATAACTACCGTACGGTACAGTACTGGATAATAATCGATCTGATTCGTGTTTGCTCGCTATTCCATGCTTCTAAATGATACTTTAGCTATTTCCCCTTCATAATAATAAATAATTACGTATTGAAATCGACCGAATTGAAGTGATGCAATAAATGAAATAGTTATGATTGCCGCTAAAAATGAGTATGGCGATTTCACCCGATATCATTTTCAGTAAAACGTCTATTTTTTACAAGTTTTCAATCAAATTTTAAAAGAAGTAGTGGTACATTTACTGGCATTGCAAGAAATGAGAGCCATTGCAGTAATGATATAGTGTGTCGTTAATTGCTTATTTCTTGTCGGTAAAGATCTCGGATAATATCCTAAATAGTAATCTAACCAAGAAAGTTCGTACTTATGAAGAACAATTTGATACATAACTTAGCCATTGTAACATTAGCATATTGCCCTAAAATAGACTATTTATACATGTACTTGAAGTTATCAACATTTTACAATTAATACTATATACGAGTAGAATGCGTACAAGGAGCTAAAAATTGATCTCAATAGAGGCAAAAGCTTTCCTCTCGCTTTTAGACCAAAACTATATTCAATGGCTCCTTCACGTGCCATAGCTATATCTTATTATTATACCTCTCAACTTCATAGTGCAAACCTTTATTCGTAATCGCAAAATCTACACTAATAAGTGCTGTAACGTACAAACTTGCTAAATCAACGTGTCTATTGCTTTTATCTCTTGAACTGTAGGCTTGTTTCTGGTGCAGGTGATATCAAAATTACTAAAGATGGTAACGTCTTATTACATGAAATGGTAAGCAATCATAGGTTTTGAGCGTTAATTACGCTATCCGTCTTACTAACATATATACGAACATATTATCTTGTTAATAACCACGTTTTAGCAAATTCAACATCCTACAGCGTCATTGATTGCTAAAGTTGCCACAGCTCAGGTTAGTTTCCAACTCTCTTGAATGAGTTGGGAAATCCTTATTACAACATACTGCATATTTAGTATGTATCTGTACTCCAAAATATCGAATGCTGTAGTAAGTGTAATCTATCACATTAGGATGATATTACTGGCGATGGAACAACATCAAATGTATTGGTTATAGGTGAATTGCTAAAACAGGTTGGTAGCCAAAGATAAAAAATGCCAAGGTTTGACCCATCATTGTTAAATCATCACTTTAATAAACTTTATAGGCTGATCATTATGTATCCGAGGGACTACATCCTAGAATTATTGCTGAGGGTTTCGATTTAGCAAAGAAAAGAGCTTTAGAAGTTCTTGATGAAGTTAAAGTTCAAAGCGATATGGATCGTGATGCTCTAATAAATGTAGCACGGACAGCTTTGAGAACAAAATTAGCTGTTGAGATTGCTGACAATTTGACGGAGGTAAGAGATTAAACTATACCACAAGTAATGACGATAGCAGTCTCTGTAGACATAAAATGAGATTGACTTGGCAAATCTGCAAATATTGAAACAATTATTTTAGTTACTTTTGATTTATCTGGAATGTTACAATCGTTCCATTTACAGTTTAAAATATTCATTGATGTAATCTTATGATAATTATATAGATTATTGTAGATGCCGTCTTAGCTATACGTAAGCCAGATCAGCCAATCGATCTCCATATGGTAGAAGTTATGTCTATGCAGCATCAAACTGGAATTGACACTAGGTTTGTTTGCTACGTTTTATTATGAATAAAAGTGCGTTAAATGTTATTACTGTATCAATTTACTCCAAACTTACATTCGTTAACCTATTTTTATGTGTTTATTTATATAGATTGGTTCGAGGCTTAGTTTTAGATCATGGTTCTCGTCACCCCGATATGAAAAAGAAAGTTTCTAATGCGTATATCCTTACGTGCAATGTATCATTGGAATACGAAAAAAGGTAAGTAGCACTAACTAGGATTGCTACTGACTCTCTTCCATCATTAACGTTTCTATACTTTACAGTGAAGTCAATTCAGGATTCTTTTATAAGAGTGGTGCTGAACGGGAAAAGTTAGTTGCTGCCGAGCGCAAATTTACTGACGATAAAGTTCAAAAAGTTATTGATTTGAAACGAAAGGTATTTACACACTATTTACTTTACAGTCAGTAATTATAAACGCGTTAACGCCAGGCACAATGTTATCTGCTTTTAATTAGGTATGCGATACACCCGACAAAGAATTTGTGGTTATCAATCAGAAGGTTAGCTGCTTTCTTTTTTTAATAATAATAATCTATTAACGATGCAGCATAAGTCGCAGCAAACAGAATTTACTTCATAAAATTTTTCAACGATGAATTCCTGCATTAAAAATACATTTTATTTATTGCTTGAAGGGGATTGATCCCGTTTCCTTAAATATGCTAGCAAAGGAAGGCATTGTAGCCCTTAGAAGAGCAAAACGTCGCAATATGGAGAGGTAGATATACGTCGAATGAAAAGTTTTGTAGTTATCTTAGTGATCATAATTATTGAGACACTCTTCTACTTATATTCATCATTTAAAGGCTAACATTAGCTTGTGAAGGTACTGCCATGAATTCTGTGGAGGAATTAAGCCCCGATATTCTTGGTCATGCGGGTCTTGTTTATGAGCATGTTCTGGTTAGTTTAGTAACTGTGCTAACCTTTATAAATACTTCAATGATGATTTAATATATTATTCACCGTCTTGACATGACTACTGTAGGGCGAGGAAAAATTTACCTTTGTTGAAGACTGCAAGCAACCTTATTCTGTAACCATTCTAGTTAAAGGTTAAACTAAAATCAATATTTGTGTTATTACAATAACATATAAAATAGTAATTAATTCAACGATTGCTATCTCCATTTAATATTTTACTATATTTATTAGGACCAAATAAACACACTATCACTCAAATAAAAGATGCAATCCATGACGGATTGCGTGCTGTTTTGAATGCAATTGAAGATGGTATTATTAGATTATTTTATATTTCTTTATGACCATTTACGAGAGTTGTACGTCGTAGTCAAACCTTTCGGTATGAATTACAGTATCAATTAGTAATTGCTCTATTTAATTTTTAGGTGCTTTAGTACCTGGCGCTGGTGCTTTCGAAATTGCCGCACATGAAAAGCTTATGAAATATAAAGACACTGTGAAAGGTCGCGCCAGGCTGGGAGTGCAAGTAAGTTGCAACTAGTATAGCGCTAACTCACAAGAAAAATAATTTTTTACTTCACCTTATTGAGTGTACTTTTTACGTTTAGGCTTACGCTGACGCATTGCTTATCATACCTAAAGCGTTGGCTCAAAATTCTGGATTAGATGCACAAGACGCTATCGTTAAATTACAGGTGCGGATCGTATAGAAAATATCTTCCTTTTTAATCTATTAATAAGTGTATTTATTTATTATATTGCCATCCTATAGGAAGAATATCAGACTAATGGAACATGTGTAGGACTTGATTTAGTTTCAGGTTTGACTTATCATGTTGGTCTTAACGTTAATATAGATTTTATTGTCATCTAAGAATATTACAAAACTGTTTACAACAGGTGATGCGATCATTCCAGCTGATTGTGGTATCTGGGATAATTACCGCGTGAAAAGGCAGCTATTGCACTCTTGGTAAGGCTATTACTACGGTAGAATAACAAGATTAGTTAATGATCCTTTATAAACATGTTAATATTAATGTGTTTGCGTTTTCGTGATATAATTCGTGTAGTACCGTCATTGCTAGCAATCTGCTCCTTGTCGACGAAGTCATGCGGGCTGGGATGTCTTCTCTGAAAGGATAATATAGATTTACAATTTTACGATATCCGAGTAGTGGTTTAAACCTTTTCGATATCATTGATAATGAATTAATTATTATTGCTGAAGTGTAAGTTAATATTAGAAATTCTTCTAATATTACGTAATTGTGAACTTTTCAAAACATATAGACTTTTATGATTTTCTTTTCGTTTAATTTATGTATGATAATTTATCTCAGCGCATTTTGATCGTGCTACAGTTATGGTGCACGTTTGTCACTGTGTAGCTCCTTTATAGCAGACAATTTTAATAAATTCGAATTTTTGAAGAGGATTGAATTTCATATCTTGCGTTTTGGCTAACTTTTAAATTGAGTTTGGAACAGCTGAATATTGTTCTTATCCGAATTCGTAATGATTTAGAGAAAACGGTGCTACATGCAGTGTTCATTATTTTATAAGTTAGCCGACTTGTAGTTTTCACCATGGCTGACATACGGTACCGTACTTTTAAATTCTTATACCATATCCTTATGTAATGTTAGTAGGATCTACGCAGTTATATTATTAAAATTGTTAAAAAGACAACAGTAAATATTAATGAACCCGATGTATTTATGTCCGAGGTTTTAGGATCGTAAAAGTACAGAATAAATAAGAAATTTATTTGTAATAGCTAATCAAACCGTAATGTATATGTTACGACCGTTCCTAAAAAGAATGAATTTTGCCCTTAAGAAAGTTACGGTTAATCTTGAGAATCCAATCATTCTTAAGAATGTCCGGCCATTCCTAAGAATTGGCCGATAACATAATTTCACGCATTAAATACGAGAATCAGAATACTATATCCCGCCAATAGTGCACGGACCAGTAATCGCAAATACTACATAAGTATTCTATTCTTACGAGCATATAGCCCTTGATAGTAATTCAATACTTGGTAGGAATTAACCTGAATCCTTAATTCACGGTACCATAACAGGTTATACAGTACGAAAGCATGTAGCGATTATGGTGACACATGTCGTAGTAATTAATTTATCTATTAGCCCCAGGACTAACCATTAGCCGTCAGTATATTTTCACAAATAATTCATCTTACGATAGCTAGAAAGTTTACAAAAGTTGTTAAGGTATCGTGCATTTAGTTGAGTATTGGATATGAATATCGGATTAAATTATTTGCTGTTAGTCATGAATTCGTTAAAGCGCAATCTTGTAGATTACTATTCCATGTACAAACAATAAATTTATCTTGCAATAGACGGCATACGAACTAGACAGGGAAGACTGATCGAAAGTAATTTTAATAGCAACTATTATTTGTTAAGGAGCAATATTGTATTGATCTTATTTTAATATTAAAGTAAGTCACATCTATTAAAATGCTTTACAACAATACTAACATGTGTAATATCATGATTTACTAGCAATCTTAAAGATGCTATACTTATACATAGTAAAACTAGATTTAGTGTTGATAAGATGAACTTATTCAAAGCTAGCTTAAAAATTGCAACAGATGCGTGCATATGAACAACTATAACTAGGCTGTATATCATAGCAAACCATAAATGACCAAGATAAATATGAATGAATTACCCCTATTATTTGTAAGCCACAAATAAACCAGTTTCATGCAGTTAGATTAAATTTTAGCCATAAATAAATCAGTTAAAGAAAGCTTTATTATATAACGTTATCTTAATTAAAAGTATTTTCTATACATATATCTAACGCTTAAAAAATTATTACGAACATTATCAAACTCAAGGGTCAGTATAAATGCTTTAATAATATAATTTAAGTATTATTCTGTTCCCAATTATAATATAATAGGTTCAGTTTAAAGCTAATGTATGATACGCGTATAGACAACAACATTTTATTCCAGGAAAATCTGGCTAATTATTTTAAGTAATATTTAGCGATTCTAAATAAATTGTCATATGCATAATTCTGCATACTTTAATTCAATTACCACCTTATATAATATTGAATGGCATTTTTAAGTGTTTCAACAACAATATTTATATTTGTAACCATCTTTGATTAATGGATGGATAGACAATGCGTTAATACATGAGTTAAAAGGATAGCAGATCAGCATAAGGAGTGAAATTATCGCTATTTCTTGATTTATGTATTAAAAAGCTATCTGTTTCACGATTCTTACAAGCGTTTATGACTATTCTACATTATCCATCGACTTATTTACAAGGAAGTGAGCAATTATAAGCCACCTTAGTGCATGCATAATCATCTTCATCGTAATACTTGCTACCAATTGGTTTATTTTCTATCAAGCAATGCCTACTACAAAATTTAAGTGAAACTTTGCATTCTATGTCATTGGTTGGGACTATCGCTGTACCTAAAAGTAGAAGTTAAAACGAAATAAGATTGCCATTTTAGTCCGTATTCTGGTTATATACAGAACATTCTATTAAAATTTAAGAAGTAATCAGTTCGTTTTTACACGATATTTTATTAACAAATTTACCAGAAGGCAGCGAAGCATTTGTGCTTTCAACGGTAGGCATCAAGGTCATTTTATGGCGTTTGTAAATTTGTGAACTAAAATCAACTTGGCCTATAAAATTTGTTTTGCACATCTCAGATATGTAGGGGTACTTGAGAAGAGATTCGCGGAACATTTCTACCCGAATTTTATTACCATGCTTATATAATAATAGAACGATAACGTTAGCTTTTTTTCGTGTCGATATAACATTTTCCAAACTCTTCTACTTGGTAACAAGATTTACTAGAAATCTCCAAACCAGTCCATTAGAGCTAGAATATTGACTAAACTTTATTATTCTTATTATGTTATTATACAGTTGAATAAAGCTAGCGGTTAACTAACGGTTTACTAACGGCATATTAAAATAGCAACAAATGCAATAACATTCTTACAACTAAGATTACGGTCGATAATTAATTCATAACAAATGATATAATATCAGAAATGCATTCAGGTAACTATTTTATCTATAGTCTCTTCTATGGACTTACATACTGTAAATTTTGGGCTTAAAGGAATATGCTACTACAGTCAATCAGAATAAGTTTGAATCTTAATAAGCTTATAATGTTGAACTGTATCAATATACAGTAACTAAAAAAATCTCATTTCGTAACAGCCGATAAAATATATTTTAATCAATCTTGACTACTTCTGTAATTTAGACTTAATTGAACTATTAAAGCTATTCGAAACAATCAGCAGAATACTGTAAATATTGTATAATATACAAGAAACTCTTTCGAAACTAGTACAGTTTTAATGGTAATTACAGAATTGCACCGTAGCATATTAACAAAGCGTTATACATAATTCTAACGCTGAATTAGAGTGTAGGACCTCCAATTGTTATGATTGACTGTTGCAGAACACTGAACGTACTATATAAAATATAAAAGACTCTTTCTAAACTAAGACAATTCAGTCATAAATAATAGAACAATATCTTCGTATGGCGTGGTAGTATTTGCTATTAAATTGGAGCATAAAATCTTTGATATATAATTACCAGTATTTACAGTTAATAGTTTAGTAATATTGTTATAAAGATATTGCTTCATCCGAGCTCAGCAGTATGTAATTTTTACTCCCTATATATTTGGGCATTATCGTGAGGGCACTCATGTTGGATTCTATTATAATTATTGGCGTTTAATTAAGTTAGCAATATTGTCATGATAGAATGACTTCGCTTATGGGATAGCAGTACTACTCCATGTATCAGTGATAAAAAATATTAGAATAGGGGTTAGAATAGGTTTGGTTGAAAACATTATATTGTCATGATGAAAAGCTTAATTCTTTAGATGAGCAAAATCTATTGCTATATTTATTTTATAGCTAACATTTTGCCTTACAGGACTGTGTCTATGAGTAAAACAAACCTATCCGATAAATTTTCGTTTAGCATGATATTGCATACCTAAACTAGAAATTAACCATAGTTATTAAAAGCTACGAGTATAAAAGACATGCGTGCAGACTTGAGGCATACAGAGATTAGTGCATTCTATCTTCTGGAAAATGCTACAACTAGAGAAATAAAAGCGTAATTGCAAGAAGAGCTGGGATGAAAAGCGATATAGCCAAAACTATGTTTGCTTCTAAATTTAATCTCGTATACTTAGAAAGTCAAGTGGCTACTACCGCAGTATAAGCAATTTTTTTCAGACAGTATAAGGAATTTATTTGATAGGATAAATGTATCGACCACTTGTGCAGCTGGGAAGGTATTGCTAAATGCCAGACTGAACTTCATTTTAAATTGGCAAAAGTGACAGTAGCTAAAGAAAACAGGTTCTTTTGAAATTAATTAAGTAGGCACGGTATATTCCAAGATCTTCAAGTAAAGATTCACGGAGTGTTTAGGTAATTTTTTCGAGTATCAAAAGGATAAGAAATAGGCTCGCGTTACATTTATTTTAAGACTAAATAAAGCTAATGTAAATAAAATTGCGATCCAGAAATTTTTTGTGGACTAAATATTAACTTGGTTAACTTATTTTAAGTTGAAGAGGATTTCATCCATAAGAAGATGCTATGATAATAGTTGCATGAAAGAAAATAAACTGAGAATAATTGTGACTTTATTTTAGGTACTTACTTAGAAAGTAAATTTATCATTATCCATATGCAATCCAAATTAATAAAATTTAAGGAGAATTAATATAGGTCTAGTTTTCCATATCAGTTCAAGAGAGATTACTTATTTATAAAGTCGTTTAGCTTAACAGTAATAAATTTATAGAAATGGGATAAAGCTCGAAGTTTTACTATCGATAATTAAATTGTCACTAATTGTTTCAACTAGCGCATTCTTCCAATATCATTGTCTTATTAAACGATAATTCTAATAATTTAATTTCTGGGAATCAATCTTTAAATGGTAATTCAATTCTTTTTTACCGCCAACAGCGGATAGAAATATTCCAATCTTGCCGGACTAATTGAGATTTAGGAAATATTTTATAATAGAAAATAGTCGATGTAAAACATATCTGTATATAGTTAACAGCTTTTATAACTTAGATGCTTATCGTATTTATTTACCAATACAAATATAAAAGAAATCA